TAGCACATTTTTCCGTACATTGATAGGCTTAATTTTTTTTCATTTTTTTGCGCATGGTTCAGGTGATTTCTCAAGTTCGTACTGTATACGCATTCGGGGGAGAGGATAAAGCAATAGAAGCATATTCGCGGTCACTTAAAAACGCCCTTAAACTAGGGAAAAAGAGTGGGCTTGCAAAAGGGGTTGGGGTTGGCATTACTTATGGGCTGTTATTTTGTGCTTGGGCATTGCTTCTCTGGTATGCCAGCATTCTTGTCAGGCATGGACACACAAATGGAGGGAAAGCATTCACAACAATTATCAACGTCGTCTTCAGTGGATTGTAAGTCCAATCCAAATGATGTAAGAGCAATTATTACCTGTTCATCATTTTTCCCTGATAAGAAACAGGATTCTTCTTTCTGTAGTGCTCTCGGTCAGGCTACTCCTAACCTTGCTGCCATTGCTAAAGGCCAGGCTGCAGCTGCCAATATCTTTAGTATGATTAAAACAGATTCCAACTTTTCTAAAAGTTCAGATGATGGAATTGTGCTGCCAAAACTGGCAGGCCAAATTGAATTCTGTCAGGTCTCTTTTGCTTATCCCTCACGACCCAATCTGGTGTTCCAAAATTTAAGCTTTTCAATCAACGCTGGGAAAACCTACGCATTTGTCGGTCCCAGTGGATCTGGAAAAAGCACTATCATATCCATGGTTCAACGTTTATATGAACCGACTTCAGGTATTTGATGCTACTTGGCATAGAATAATGGTTTTCTTTAGCCACTTTGTTAGATGATTTTCACTGATAATTATAAATCTTCAATTTTCACTAGGTAAAATATCGTTGGATGGACATGATCTTAAAAGTCTCCGCCTGAAATGGTTGAGGGAACAGATGGGGCTGGTTAGTCAAGAACCAGCATTATTTGCTACAACTATAGCTGGCAATATTATGCTTGGTAAGGAAGATGCAGACATGGATCAGGTTATAGAAGCTGCTAAATCTGCTAATGCACATTCTTTCATTCAAGAATTACCTGATGGCTATTTTACTCAGGTACCTCATATTCTGAGCAAATTTCAATCTGCTTCAGTTGTTAAATTCCTAATAATTCTATTATACATGCAACCCATAGCCTCTGCTCGAATTCTAAGTAAAAACAGCCCGCTAGTGTTAGTGACGAGTATTTTTTTATTTATTTAGGTTGGGGAGGGGGGAACTCAGCTTTCTGGAGGGCAAAAACAAAGAATTGCTATTGCGAGAGCCTTATTGAGAAACCCAAAGATAATACTGCTAGATGAGGCCACCAGCGCTCTTGATGCAGGATCAGAGCTCATTGTTCAGAAGGCACTAGAAAAAATTATGTCAAATCGCACTACAATAATTGTTGCACACCGCTTATCCACTATCCGAGATGTGGATACAATCATGGTCTTGCAGAATGGTCAAGTTGTTGAGAGTGGAACTCATATGGACTTGATATCCAAGCAAGGCGAGTACGCAAATCTTGTGAGCTTGCAAGTATCAGAAGATTTTACAAATCCAGGCTCAATTTGTTGCTCAGATTCTTCCAGGCATTCTAGCTTTCGATCAAGCTTTCGAGACCTTCCTCACAGTCAGAATCAATTTAAGTCGACGTCAACTACAGAGCAGCAATCAGGCCTTGCTCCCACCCCATCAATTTGGGAGCTATTAAAATTAAATGCTCCAGAGTGGCCCTATGCAGTGCTTGGGTCAGTTGGTGCAATCCTGGCTGGAATGGAAGCTCCTCTCTTTGCCCTTGGAATCACGCATATCTTGACTGCATTTTACTCTCCTGATCACTCTCAAATCAAACAAGAAGTTGAGCGTGTGGCTCTTATTTTTGTTGGAGTGGCGATCGTTACTGTTCCTATCTATTTGTTACAGCACTACTTTTACACATTGATGGGAGAACTTCTCACTACTCGTGTTCGCTTATCAATGTTCTCAGGTTCTTAATTTCTTCCACTTTTTAATTGTAAAATGAATATACTTCTTCGCCTATAGATTTTGCATTATAAATTAATCTGAAAACTCATACATTTATAAACTGCAGCTATCCTTTCCAGTGAGGTTGGCTGGTTTGATTTGGATGAGAATAGTACGGGTTCATTGACGTCAAGTTTAGCTGCAGATGCAACTTTAGTGCGAAGTGCTCTTGCCGACCGCCTATCAACAATTGTGCAAAACGTGGCTCTAACTGTGACTGCATTTGTTATCGCCTTTACATTAAGTTGGCGCATTGCAGCTGTTGTCATTGCCTCCTTGCCCCTGCTTATTGGAGCGTCCATAACTGAGGTAAGTTTTAGAAATTACTTTGACAAACAATTGGGTTTGTTTTATAGCCATGTTAATAAATGTTTCTCTTTTCATCTACAGCAACTATTTCTGAAGGGCTTTGGAGGAGATTATAACAAGGCCTACTCTAGAGCAAATTCAGTGGCACGTGAAGCAATTGCCAATATACGTACTGTTGCTGCGTATGGCATTGAAGAGAGGATCTCAATGCAGTTTTCCTCTGAACTCAACCGACACAACAAACAAGCTCTTTTACGAGGCCATATATCGGGTTTTGGCTATGGAGTATCACAGTTCTTTGCATTCTGTTCCTATGCACTTGGCCTTTGGTATGCATCGGTTCTTATCAAGCAAAATCATTCCAACTTTGGAGATATCATGAATTCCTTCATGGTTCTCATAATCACAGCATTGGCAATAGCTGAAACCCTTGCCCTTACACCAGACATCGTAAAGGGAACTCAAGCACTTGGATCAGTTTTTAGCATTCTCTATAGAAACACAGCTATACAACCGAACGATCCTTCATCAAAGATGGTGACTGACATGAAAGGAAACGTGGATTTCAGAAATGTCTGTTTCAGGTACCCTGTAAGGCCTGATATCACAATTTTTGAGGATTTTCATCTAAGAGTTTCAGCTGGCAAGAGTCTTGCTGTAGTGGGCCAAAGTGGGTCTGGGAAGAGTACGGTGATTGCTCTTGTCATGAGATTTTATGACCCCATTTCAGGGTCAGTTTTGATAGATGGATGTGATATTAAAACCTTAAACCTGAGATCTTTAAGGAGAAGAATAGGATTAGTTCAGCAAGAACCAGCATTGTTCTCAACAACAATTTATGAAAACATCAAGTATGGAAACCAGGAGGCATCAGAAATTGAAATAATGAATGCAAGCAAAGCAGCCAATGCCCATGGATTCATAAGTAGAATGCCTGAAGGGTATCAAACTCATGTTGGTGATAGAGGGGTGCAATTGTCAGGAGGACAAAAACAAAGAGTGGCAATTGCAAGAGCAATATTGAAAGATCCTTCCATTCTTCTTCTAGATGAAGCTACAAGTGCATTGGACACGGAATCTGAGAAGTTGGTTCAAGAGGCTCTTGATAAACTTATGGAAGGGCGAACCACAATTATGGTAGCACACAGGTTGTCAACCATACGCGATGCTAATAGAATTGCAGTGCTACAACAGGGGAAAGTTGTTGAAATGGGGAGCCATGAACAGCTTATCAGAAAAGCTAATGGTATTTATAACCAATTAGTCAAACTACAGCAGGAAAACAACAAACAACAAGTTTGAGTAATTGCGAGAGTTCAATAATATGTTATCAAAACACAATTAATATGTATTGCTGTAACTGGAAGCATGTATAAGAGTTCGTTTTTTAGTTTCACTGCAAAATTTTCTACCAATTGATTGCAATTCATCCAATATAGATTGAAAATATAATCTAGTTATCACAGAACTCAAGCAAACAAAGAGATTTATATTTAGAGTAAACGACATATTCCCACCCAAGGTTTGATGAAATCCCAAATTCCATTTATTTCAGATTCCTACCCTTAAAGTAATGGAAAATGGTTAGATATAACGGCTCAAGGGTAAATTGGTCATTTCGCAGAGGAGGCGCACATTAGCAGATTGTCGCCCCTAACAAAGCTTCGACGCACGTTAGCCAACACCACCGCTGACGTTTTTCGCTCTTTTTCGGGGATTCTTCCACCCAAAATCACTCTTGTCAGCACCATTCAAACCCTCATCCTCCCCTCTACAAGACCGTACCTTTCACAACCCCTCATCACTCGTCAATCGCTAGCCACGACAGCCGCCACAGGCAACTGGTTTTTGTCGGTCTCCATCGGCGAATGGCCACTAAACGGTTGTTGGGGACATAGAGGTTTTGTAGATTTGGAGATGCTGGTTGCAATGGTGATGTCCAATTGCATTTTCGTTGCCGGAATCCAGCGAAGAATGACGAAAACCTAAGCTTGACGGCACCGACGATTGGAAGGCCCAATGAGTCGAGAACCAGAGGGGTTTTGGACGACGGACAATGGGGAAGGTGATGGAGGTGACCAAGGGGTTTCACCATCGGAAACAGCCCAAATCCAGTGAAAACCGAGACGGTGCACAGTCACTGAGGGTGTAATTGAAGTAATTTCAAAATAAGATGGTTAATTTGATAATTTTAGTAATTTAGGGGTTAAAATTTTTTATTAATTTAGGATTAAGGGTATTATGGTAATTGCACCCTCACTACCCTAAAAATTATTAACATTGTTATTTTAAGGGTGAGAATTTGGAATAAATGGAATTTGGGATCCCAACTTAGGATTTTGTCAAACCTTGGGTGGGAATATGTCGTTTACTCTTATATTTATCAGAAACAATATGTTATGCAGATTTAAAATTCATACCTCGATTCATGAGTAAAAGAATTATCTCATGAGGGAAAGAGTTGATAAACCCATTCATGGGTAACCCAGATAATTAAGACAAATTGGGAATAGTATATACATATGATTTCAGGATTAATTCCTTGTTTAAACGTAACCTGGCCTGGACACCTTGCCTTAAACAAAAATAATAAAGAGTTGACAAGAGACGGAAAAATATTGTAGCTGAATGACGTATGATAAATTTGGAGGACATAAAGATAATTATGCCTATGGTGGATCTTATTTGGGCGTTATAACCCACAATCAAGTTGTTCCAGTACAAAGCCCCAAGCCCCAAGATTTATTGTCTTAGGGTTTATACCATCTGCAAATATAGAGAGTTTCATAGACATTCAAATCGAGGTAGTTTTTCAAACTTAATCATATAACATAATATCGTTATTGGAAACTTCCTCTGAATCGGCCTTCTTCTTTCACTTTTATCTCGTTCAGTTAAACTATGATTTCTGAAATTATATTTGTAATTAACTATGCTTATTTTTTTTTTTTTTTTTTTTTTATTATTCATATCTCAACGTATTGATATTTTGATTGCTTAGTTCACGTGAGAAAGAAAATATAGCTTAGTTTATACATAGCTTATCACTTCGATTATGACTGTAATGCTTAGAATCTATGTCGTTATCGTGTTTCTCTGGTTTTACTTCTCTTTGTTTGTTTAGAACATTTAATTAGGTTGAATAATGTATGTGAATTTTAGCGTTTTCTATGTTGTATAAAACTCTCGCAGTTCAACCTTTTGTTTGAGGTGTAGCTCATGGCATGTTCTCAACGACGTGATTTCATGTTCTGCAACTTCTGTGGAACAATGCTATCGTTGGAACCAAAGTATGCCACATGTCCTTTGTGCAAATTTAAGAGAAACGCCAAAGGTATGGCCATAGAGCAATGAGCTTGCATATCAATTTGTTTACTGGTTTTAGAATTCCGTTCGTGTCCCTCTCTATTATGTTTGTAGCGTAACTAAACTTCATTGATGAAAGTCATTGAGGTCCTTGGTTCAAACCCTTTGACGTCAAACAGGCAACTTATTTTTGTCACAGAATAGTAAATAAAAAACTGTGAAGTGTGCCATAGAATTGTTTAGTAAGGTAGATGTTTGATTGCACTGTGATAATTGTTGTCATACATTTTAACGTATGAAAAGTTGTATTAATTGGTCCATATGTAATCATGTAATTCTTTCGACAAGTTATTTAAAATTATCTAATTTGTTCTTAGGTCAGTGTGCATTGGATGGTAACTGGACTAGTTTTTCTGTTTAATGATCACATCTTGAAGATGACTCAACTCTTTGAAATTATATGCTGGAACTTCTGTCTGCATTTGTGTTCCTCTCATTTTGATACCATAGGTTCAAATGCAGTAGCTCTTTAGTTCATGGATGATTTTGTTTCCACGAAATTTCTGTTTAGTAGGCATAAAATCTCTTCATATATTATTGTACCTGTTTTCTTAAATGGTTTTCTGCATTGCTTAATTGATTATCATTCTTGCAGAGGTTGCTGACAAAGAAATATGTTACACTGTTACTGCTGAGGTATGCCTTTAACAAATTGCTGATACTTATGAAATTCTGCTGATGGTTTATTGTTATTTTGTGGGCTGCTACTACAAAAGTGAATGTGTATATGGGATAAAACTAAAATTTTTTAAGAAGTCAGGATTTTGGATGAATCGGATGTGTAATGTGGGAAAAACAGTGATTAAGCTATATCTATTGCCAGAAAAAAAAAAGGCTGAATGACTAGTTAACAACAATTAATCAAGTTGTCAGTTGAAATGTTTAAGAGAGAGTTGTTTTGTTTTGTACAAATTTATCTCATAAACTTGTTTTATCTTTTCTGTTTTCAATCAATTATTACAGTGACTAAATTTATCTCATAATCAAGTTGTCAGTTGAAATGTTGAAGAGAGAGTTGTTTTGTCTTGTACAAATTTATCTCATAAACTTGTTTTATGTTTTCTGTTTTCAATCAAATTTTACAGTAATTAAATTCCCTACCTTTAAAGTCTGTTTTATTTCTTATGTCAAACATGCCATAAGAAATAAAGACATATTATGCATGAACTGTTGGGCTAGTCATTTCAAGTTGGCTTGTGACTCCATCATGAAAGTTGTGTCCATGGATATTGTTCTTTTCGGATTGGTTCTAGGATCTGCTTGTTGATGGTCTGTTTCTGGATATTCTGCAAATTCCTCTTATCTATCAATATTTATGTTTGAGATGCTCCTTTAAATTGTAAAGAATTGCATTGGAATTAATGAATTTATGGTTTTAAATTCGACTTTGTATCTCAAACTCTGTGTTTATGTCATTCCCTTTGTGAATTAATTTTTACATGTGTGCCCTTGTCATGATGCAGGATATTAGAAGAGAGTTGGGCATATCTCTGTTCGATAAGGGGGATAGTGGAGACAACAGTGTGCAATGGTCCAAGGTAACTGCATTTTAAAACACTGATTACAAATTAGAGGTATGATATTTCTGGGTATCTGCCTTAAATTTCTCTAATATTTATTTTGTTTTGACAGGTCAAAAAGACTTGTGAAAAATGTCAAAATCCAGAGATGCATTATTCAACCAGACAAGTAAGTTTCTCTGAATGCACATAACCTATATGCTCACGGCGTTGAACATGGGCTTACTTTTGAATCTGTCTCTTCGTATGTACAGACAAGATCAGCAGATGAAGGACAAACTACTCATTATCTTTGCCCTCGTTGTGGTTTCCAATGTCAAGAGAGTTGATGCTCAAGTTATGTTAGGGTTCTGCTCTATCATGTGCTGCAAGAAGGGCCTTTTGTGAGCCTGGAAAAGTCCTTAACTTATTGAAGGCCAAAACTCTGTACTTTTTAACAGAAATTTTGTGAAATCTAAAAATTCAACTGTATTGCAGTGTTGAAAATTTTTGTAATTAAACACTCTTATGTAATCGCAGACAGGTAAATCGGATGTGGCTATATAGATGATTTACCCGAAATTTTGTGAGAGAAATTTTAAGTTCAATTGTTTGTGATATTTCTGAATACAAAAGAGTATTATTATTCCAAAATTAAAATAAAATCCAAAGCCTTACATGTATATTTTGGTCACCCCAATTCAAAAACACAAGGGGTGATCTGATTCACCAACTTTCCCGATGATAAAAAACGTAGAGGAAAGAAGACCAAAAAAAAAAAGAAAATTACAATACAACAGACGAAGCACGGCCTCCTGTCATGCTTCTTTATTTACACGAAAGACCCCCAAAAAACCCAACCATCCCTAGCAACCAAACAAACATTGCATAAACGAAAACAAAATTCATCGGAGACGCAACAGTCGGCGGAGATTGTCTGTTGCTCCAGCATCAATCCCTGCAGCTTCAGCGTTACAACTGATGAGCTTAGGTCTGAGAGAAAACTTAGGCAAAGGCAAGCTACTTGGAGGTGGAGATATAGTAAACCCAGAACCTGAAAACTTCTCAAACTCAAAACCACTAACAGCATCAATACCTGCACATAAAACCTTAGATACATTCTTAGGAAGATCATTTGGGTCTGGTCCTAAAGGGTCGACCGATGTGAAGATCAAAGACTCTGCTATTGGTTTTTTAGCAGGTTTTAAAAAATCTGTCTTTGGCTCTTGTTCTGGTCTTTTGGTGGTGGGTTGTTTTGATTTCTTAGGGGTCAGAGATTGGTCTCTTGTCCTGTTGGACTTTTTATTAGTGGGAGGACAAGAGAGATTCCGGCTCAGAGATGGGAGAGAGGTGTGAAGGGTTTTATTGTTGGGTATTGGTAGAGGAAGGAGAGGTGGAGCCTTTTGATGCTGATAGTTATGAAGTGAATGGGAAGGAGGATATGAATATGAGAGAAGAGGAGGAGCTAACAAAAGACCTCTGTGCATGTTTTCACCGGGTTTGGAATTGAAAGAACGAGTGTTTTTCCTTGGATTTTTCATCTGCTTATTGTAAGGAAAGATTGATTGATGATCAGTTGAAGATTGTGAAAAAATACTCTCCATATCCAGATCCCAACACCTCTACGCACAAACTTTTAACGATTATAGAATACAACAAATATAACACAATTCCAGGCAGTAAAGAAAAACAAGAAAACTAGCTTCGCTATGATCTTAAAATAACACGATCAATCGCCTGAAGCTTTTAGCTTCTTTCTATATAAAGCTATATAACTTGAGTGTAATTAAACTACGAAAATCCTGACGGATTTTTCAACAAAGTTGATAATTAATAACAAAAATTTACACAACTTATACGATAAAGACATACAAATCCGTGCTTGAGATAGAAAAGGAAAACGGTAGAAACTTTGTGAAAACGATAATGAAAGGTTAACTCATATGAAAAACTATTGATCAAAGAAGTTAATAAATCACAACTTTTGATCCAGAAAGGATCTAGGCGCCCTTGTTTAAGGCGATATATTATTACTATATAAAGAAAAACTTTCATGAATCTTCATGTCAACTCAATACCTGCTTTTATAGAGCAGAAACCTCCAACGGCTACTTATTTAATATTTCCTTTTTATTTAATTAAAATGTCGCAGTTACTCCTAATTTACCGACAACCGTTGCAGTCGGCTACCCCAAAGTCCCAAGACCGGGGCACTGTAGGGCGGCAACCGCCGATTCGATCTGGACCGTCTGATTAATTTTTAGTTATAGCCGTTGGGTGGATTAGGATCGTTGATTCCCTCCTCGGGATCCTGGGAGTTGGTCTAGTCAGACAAAGAGGACAAGAATCCCATCCATACACGTTTCTATCAAATTGGGCCCATAGATTTTAGCGATTGTTTTAGTCTTGATGACCTCATGTGTAAGGCAATTAATTAAAGATTTTAGGGAGGGTGGTCCCATGATAATAAAGTGAGAGAGCTAGTAGTTTTCGTACACGTGGCGATTCATCAGCCAGACTTTGACATAGCATGATTAGATTTTCTAATGCATGATTGGTGGGTCCAATGCATGTGATTGGACAAAATTTTGGTGGAGTGTTGAAGAATTCACCTAAAAATAAAATTTGAGGTATTTCGTTCTACGGGTAACGTTACCGAATAATTATCAAGAGAAAATTACAAGCAATGATATTTATGTTATGGGTTTGATGAGGAGAGCGTGAAATTTACGAACCAATAAGGTGAGGCAGGCGAAAATTGCAAGAATTTAAGGATGACTTATGAAATACGGTATAAAATTTTGAATTTTTTTTTTTTTAATAACTGAGATATCCAGACTACTTTATGTATATTTCAATTAATCTTTAGAATGAGTTATCCTATAGTAATTCACCGTCATAACCCTTAGGTGAATTATGAGGGGAATCAAACCCGAAACTATGTGTTGGATCATTTACAGTCCCCTTAGTTCACCGTTACCATTTGGCTACGCATGGGTAGGTTTTATTTTGTTTTTGTATAGCACCGAAAGTGAAAGTTGTCTGTTTTGTTGAGAAGAAATTGAGGTCCCATGGAAATGGACCAATACTTGAAATATATTATAACAATGTGGCTTCAGCCGCCTTGTGTTACAATAACTTAGACCATTTGACAGCAGCAAAACCTGGAATTCCAACCCAAAGTGGGAAGGGCAGTATCCTCTTCTCAGAATAGCATTAATTAATAATATGAAGATAAATTATAAAGCACACATTACATGCACCACAGAATTGTCTCACATGCACATTTAATATCATGGGAGTGACGTGAGTAGATAGCTACCCCTCACATGTACGCACCGACCATTAATTTTATAACAGAAGCAAAGCCTTCCTTCTATTATATATCCCCCCGTTGAATACTGAAATATAAATCTTTTATTTATATATCCCACATTCACACACTTTTAACAATAAAAAGACAAATCCCACAGCACGTATCTAAAGGAGGATACGATATTGATATCTTGGCGGCCTCGTCCTCCTGTTGTTTTATAAAATTTAAGCTTAGCCATGGTGAAAAACTTTCCTTTAAGCTCAATAAAGTCAAATCATGACATAAAGGCCCATCGTGTGTCTCAATAAACAAGAAAAAGGTCGGTATCCGAATCAGATCTAAAGTCACCATATTCTCTCGAATTTTCCAATTTTAGCCTTTCCCGTAAGGTATGTGGGGAAAATCATTACTGATAAATGGGCTTTAACGGACAACCAGATCTGACTGGGCTTAAATTTCGTTATTTTATTTGTGTTTGGGTGGGCTCAGATTTTACCCAATTACGAACCAGACGGCCAATCTACGACAACATCTGTTATTTCAAATAAATATAAGAGAAATTACAGGGAAAGGATGAATTCATTTGACGGACTATTCCTCCCCCCCGCTTATTTTACATATATTCTATCTGAAACTCTCTTGTTGCTCATTCTATCATCAGTAATAAGGCAGTGACCAGAGCAATGACTGTTATCATAAACTTTGTAGTACCAAATGATGTGGTGTAGTTGTGACCCGACTGTTGGTGGCAAGTGACGTTGCTCTGTAAACAGAGGTTAGGATTTCCAGCAAATGAGGTCTGATTAAACACCAGAAATTGACCCCCAACAGGAACAGTGCCGTTAAAATCATTATAAGAGAGATCGAGAGTTGACAGACTTGTCATAAACCGAATTTCATCTGGTATCGGACCTGTGAGTTTGTTTCTAGAGAAATTAAGAATGTTGAGATTCCTCAGGTTAGAAATTCCTTTCGGAATCTCCCCATAGAGACTGTTTCCACTAAAATCAACTGATGTTAGAGAGCTGCAACTAGAAATGGAAGAAGGAATTTCACAGCTAATGTTATTGTTACTTGCATTTATCCTCGAAATCAGCTTGAGATTGAAGATCTCCTCTGGAATCTCACTGTTAAATCTGTTGTTTTCAAGAGATAGAATACTTAAATTCGGAAAATTTATGATTGCAGAAGGGATTTTTCCGGTGATTTTATTGTTGGCAATTTTCAACTGAGTGAGTGAGCCCCCTGACATCTTTTCTGGAAGTTCGCCTGATAACAAGTTGTTGTCTAACTCAATCATTTCGAGAGACGGCAAGTTAAAAATTCCGGTTGGAATTGTTCCATTAATGGAGTTGTTCATCCCTCGAATTTTGATTAACGACTTGCACCCTCCAAGCTCTTCCGGAATTGGACCAGAGAAGAAATTGTTCATTAAAATCAACCACTGCAACTTCCCTCCTTTGCACAAATCCCGAGGAATCATTCCGGTGAGGTGATTCGACGTAACGTCAAGTATTCTGAGCTTTCCGTTCCGGCCAAGATTTTGAGGCAGTTCAAGTGTGAAGTTATTTTCCCATATCTGAAACATATAAAGATTTGGAAGATCTTCTATAAACGTGGGAATGGTACCGTTGAGATTGTTCTTGAACAGATTGACGAGTGAGAGATTTTTCAAAGCAGAGAAACTCTCGGGTATCCCTCCTGTTAGTGAATTGAATGAGAGATCAAGTGATTCTAAGCTAGTCAGACTGGAGAGTTCATGAGGAATATGACCTGTGAGGCGGTTCATTTGAAGGAACAATGAGTGCAAGTGCTTTAAAGAGCCTAAACTTGCAGGAATCTTACCTGAGATGTTACAGGAAGCCATATCAAGAACTCGTAGTTCACTCAATTCTCCAAACTCCGGTGGGATTCCTCCGTAGAAGGTGTTGTAGTAACCAATATACAATTCTCTCAGGTTCTTCAACCGAGACAAAATCGCTGGGACTTTACCGTTCATTCCATTACCGTTTAAACCTAAATACTCCAAACCCTGAATCTTTGAGTAACTCTCCGGTATCTCTCCATTGAAGTAGTTGCCCCCGAAAGAAAGATGCTTGAGATATTTGAGGCTTGCAATCTCAACCGGAAGTGGACCAGTGAAGTTGTTGTCGTAAGCGTTGAGAGTTTCAAGCTCTGTCATTCCAAGAACGATTTGTCCAGGGAAATTGCCTTTAAAGACGTTGTTGGATATGTTGAAGACCTTGAGAGAAGTGAGGTTCGCCATCTCTAAAGGAAGTGTCCCAGTGAGATTAACATTGCTCAGAGTGAGGTTGACGAGCTTGTTTAATAGTCCAATCTCGGGAAGAATAGCTCCATAAAGAGGCAAAAACGAGACGTTTAGAGAGATTACACGTGAGTCTTCATTGCATGAAACCCCAGAGAAGGTGCAATGAGCTGAGGGAGAAGACGATGACTCCCAGTCTTTGAGCCCTGAACCATTTGGTCCAATCATAGAGGATTTGAGTTTCAACAGGACATCAAGATCACTGTAAGCAGAACAAACTGAGAATAATAATAGTAAATAAATCAAAGTAATTAGGAAGTGAAGATCAATATTGGAAGCGCTTCTCATCTCTCTAGTTCTTCAGAGAGAGAATCAATTAATGCAGCGTCAGTAAAGAGAATAACAGCGTGATAGAATCATAACTAAATTAGCAAACTAACTAATTAATAAAAGAACTGAAAAACTGCAAACTATTAGAGAATTTGGTAGAAACGGAGAACAAATTCATATTCTCCTCCCCAGCTTTAGATATTGCGTAAAGTGGGCTGGGCAACTTTGAAATAGAAGAATAAAACTACGTGTGTTTTGGAGAATAAAAAAGAATACCGCTTTTACAACTCAATTTTGTTTTCATTAAGATGCTTAGAGAACTTGGCATGGCAGTGCAATTGCCACGTACACAGGCAAGCAGTCTAAATTCTACTCCAATGACTTGGTGGCCACTTGGTGGAGACTGTGCCGAGTGGGAGCTTCCAGCAACTTCTTTAACGTCAGGTTCAGTCGAATAAATTAACGAGGGAGAAGAGATATGTATCTGGTGCTAAAGGTTTAAACAAGTAGGGATACCGTAGTATCTAGGGGTGAGGACATAATAAGAAATTTAATTTGTTTGTATCTTGATATGTATCCTTTTGGATTCCTTTCAGCATGCACTGACATTAATCTGACCACACAAACAAGCAAAACCACATTCATCTTTAGAATGAAGTTAAACTCAATATGTGATTTTGAGGGAACTGACCCCCAACAGGAATACTGCCGTTAAAATCATTATAAGAGAGATCAAGAGTTGTGAAGCTCGTCATATAGCGAATTTCATCTGGTTTTGGACAAGTGAGTTTGTTACTAGAGAAATTAAGGTTGTTCAGGTTAGCAATTCCTCGCGGAATTTCCCCATCTACTAAAATCAACTGATGTTAGAGAGCTGCATCTTGAAATGGAAGAGGGAATTTCCCCGTAAATTAATGTTTTTGTAACTTATATTTATCGTCGAAATCAGCTTGAGATCGAAGATCTCCTTTGGAATGTCCGTAATCTGTAGTTTTCAAGAGAGAGAACACTGAACTTCGGAAAATTTATGCTTCTAGAAGGGATTTCCCCGGTGATGTTATTGTTGGCAATTTTGAATTTTCAACTGACCGAGTGAACCACTTGACATCTTTTCTGGAAGTTCGCCTGATAAACGGTTATCGTTTAAATCAGTTATTTCCGCATAAGGCGAGTTAAAGATTCCAGCAATAATTATTCTATTTACCGAGTTATTATTTGCTAGAATTTTGGTTAGAGTTCAGCAATCGCTTAGCTCTTCAGGAATTGGACCAGAGAAGAAATTATCCATCAGAATCAATGAGTTCAACCTCCTTCCTTCGCATACATAACGATTAATGAGGAATCTTTCCTGGGAGGTGGTTTGATTAAACATCGACTGTCAAGAGCATCCCATTCTGACCAAGACTCTGTGGTAGTAGTTGATTTCTGAATTTCTGGATAACACTCTGGTATCTCGCCAGAGAAGTAGTTGCCGCCAAAAGTAAGATGTTTTAGATTTTTGAGGCTTACAATCTCAGTAGGAAGCGGACCGGTAAAATTGTTGTTGTAAGCATCGAGAGTTTCAAGCTGTATCATTCCAAGAACGATTTGTCCTGAGAAATTGCCTCTGAAGACGTTGTTTGAGATGTTGAAGACCTTGATCGAAGTGAGGTTCGCCAGCTCCAATGGGAGTCCCCCGCTGAAATTAACATTGGCAATTGTGATGTTCACTAGCTTGTTTAACAGCCCAATCTTCGGCGAAATCGAACCAAAGAGAGGCATAAACTACACATCTAGAGAGACCACACGTGACGTGAGTCTTCATCGCATGAAACCCCAGAGATGGAACAATGAGGTGAGGGAGAAGATGATGGCTCCCAGTCTTTTAAGTCCTGAACCTTGGGGGACCAATCATGGAAGATTTGAGTTTCAACAGAGCATCAAGATCACTTAAAGAATGAAGAGAGCAAGAGAAACAGAGAAAAGAAGAGGCGAAGAGTGTTTCTGTTAGTATTTCCTCTCATCTCTATAATTGACACATTCACAGTTATGTTTCAGGGGATACAGGCCGCTGCGTCAATCTTCTCCTGCCCTGAGTTTTACCCATATCACGCTGCATCAATCTTCGCCTAACCTAAGTTTTTTCCAAATTCCGGTACGTCAATCTTCTCTTCACCTAAGTTTTATATGAGCTTTGTAAAACCTGTTGGCATGTGGTTCCTAAAAAAATACGTAGCCCCTCCATCTAATTTGAAGGACACTTATGCATATGCAATTGTCATTGAACCAAATGATCTTTATAATTAAATCTCCTTACTTTCTCTATCCTGCATTTCTCCATACATGAAACTCCACAACTCATTGGAGTTTCTTAGAATACTACGAATTTGTAAATGATCCAAATCTTCCATATGCTAAAAAATATATTCCATAATGATGCTTATAATATGATACATAAAATGATTTGTGATGGGTTCTATTAGATAAAAAATGGGAAACAAATAGCATCACTCTAAAATCAATTGCATACTTATTTGGAAAGTGGAAATAAGAATTGCTAAATAATGGCTTTATTTGAAAGACAACATCCGTCTTACCAAAGAAAGACTATCTTTTGCTTATTATTATTATGTATATGAAAGTCTCTTCTTGCTCATTTTATAATCAGTAACAAGGCACTGATCAGACCAATGACTATGATTACAAGCTTTGAAGTACTAAACGATGCCGCATGGTTGCCTGAATCTTTTGCTGGGTTTAACACTGCTGGGCAAGTTACCTGAGGCGGGTAACAAAGGTTAGGATTTCCTTCAAACGAGTGCATGTTGAATGCAAGAAACTGACCTCCGGTGGGAATATTACCCAAGAAATTGTTATATGAGAGATCAAGAGTTGTGAGACTGGTCATATATCGAATTTCATTTGGTATTGGACCAGTGAGCTGGTTTCTTGAGAAATTAAGAATGCCCAGATCTTTCAACTCAGTAATCCCTTTTGGAATCTCCCCATCGAGCTTGTTTCTACTGAAGTCAACTGATGTTAGAGAAATGCAATTGGAAATTGAAGGGGGGATTTCACCGCTAATGTTGTTGCCACTAATGTTTACTGTCGCAATATGCTTGAGATTGAAGATCTCCTGGGGAATTTCACCATTAAATCTGTTGTTATGGAGAGACAGGATATTCAAATTCGGCAAATTTCCGACTGCTGGAGGAATTTTCCCGGTTATACTATTGTTAGCCACTTTCAACTGATTGAGAGAGCCACTTGACATCTTTTCTGGAAGTTCGCCTGATAACAAGTTGTTGTCCAACTCCATCATATTCAACGATGGCAGATTAAAAATTCCAGCAGGAATTGTTCCATTAAGGAAGTTAAACATTACTCGGATTTTGATCAGAGACTTGCACTCGCCCAACTCTTCAGGAATTGGACCAAAGAAGAAATTGTCCATCAGAATTAACGACTTCAACTTCCCTCCTTTGCATAAATCACGAGGAATCATCCCGGTGAGATGATTCGATGTAACGTCGAGTATCTTGAGCTTCCCATTCCGGCCAAGATTCTGAGGAAGCTCCAGTGTGAAGTTATTTCCCCATATCTGAAGTACCTCAAGATTTGGAAGATCTCCTATGAACGTGGGAATTGTACCGTTGAGATTGTTCTTGAACAGATCGATCAGCTTGATGCTTGTTAACGCAGAGAAACTTTCGGGTATCTCCCCGGTGAGTGAATTGAAGGAGAGATCAAGCGCTTTCAAGCTAATCAAATTGGAGAGTTCAGGAGGTATATGACCTGCGAGGTTGTTCATCTGAAGGAGCAATGCGTGCAGGTGTTTTAATTGACTTAGACTAGAAGGAATTTCGCCTGAAACGTAACAGGAAGCCATATCGAGAACTCGGAGTTCACTCAGCGTTCCAAAAGCAGGCGGGACTTCCCCGTCGTAGATGTTGAAGTAACCGATATAAATTTCTCTGAGGTTCTTTAACCGAGATAAAAATGCTGGGACTTTACAGGTAAGTTTATTACCGTTTAAGCCCAGGTACTTCAAACTCTGAATCTCTGAATAACTCTCTGGAATCTCGCCGGTGAAGTAGTTGCCGCCAAAAGTGAGGTGTTTGAGATTTTTGAGGCTTACAATCTCAGTGGGAAGTGGACCGGTGAAATTGTTGTTGTAAACGTCGAGAGTTTCAAGCTCTGTCATTCCAAGAACGATTTGTCCAGGGAAATTGCCTTTAAAGACGTTGTTGGATATGTTGAAAACCTTGAGAGAAGTTAGTTTGGCCATCTCTAAAGGGAGTTCCCCGGTGAGATTAACGTTGGAAATTGTGAGGTTCACAAGCTTGTTTAACAGGCCAATCTCCGGCGGAATCGTACCAAAGAGAGGCATAAACGACACGTTCAGAGAGACTACACGTGAGTTTTCATCGCATGAAACCCCTGAGAAGGAGCAATGAGCAGTGGAATTAGATGATGGTTGCCAGTCTTCGAGTCCTGAACGTTTGGGAGCAATCATAGAAGATTTGAGCTTCAACAGAACTTGAAGATCACTGAATCCATAACAGACTGATGATAGTAAGAGAAACAGAGAAATGAGAAGGTGAAGATTATTACTATCTGTATTTGTTCTCATCTCTGTGAATGTAGTGTTAGTTCAACGATACAAATTGGTCAGAAATTGTGTAATGTAGTGCCCTGTTAAGGAAATCGCAGCCTGCCCTCCAAGAATCATAACTTGAAAGAACAAACATTTTAAAAATCAAAAGCAACCCATAAAAACTGAAGTCTAAGTAGGAGTCGCATAAGAACAAATTCATATTCTCCAGTATTTTAAATGCGTTAATGTGAGAATTCTTAATAAAAGAATATAACTGGGTGTAGTGGGGAATAAATGTAACCTATCTATTGCACTTCAAAATGCTTTGAGCACATAGTAGTTGTAATAAACGTAGATATCTATTCTTCATGGAATCCAGGCAAGGAACCAAGATGTTTAAATTCTATTTCTATACAATGATACGCTTCAACTAGAATCAGAATCGTCTGTGCTGTCCGCACCGATGGGTTTTGGGTTCTTTACTTGGACTTTTATACTTCATTGGGACAATGTAGGCCTTTTGTTGAAGCCCTTGATAGGTCTGCTGAAGAGAGAAAAATGTCGCATCACCTTCAATGGAAATGTTTACAGACTCTTATGGATGAACGGGTCTAAGTGGGCTTTCTATTGAAGCCCTTGATAGTCCGGTGAATATAGAAAAGTGTCTGTGTGCCCATTCCATCGCTTTTGCTACTGTAGTTTTTCAGATTATCCAACCACAAAATTTACTGTTAAAAGAATACATCTATACATATATAAGGTACTCCCTTTAATGCAAATTTTTTTTTTTTTTTATTGATGGGGTTTGCAAATGATAGAACAAGAGTCAATGACTGATGGAATCTTAGTTGATTAGCTCATCGACATGCCTGCCGACATGAATGAGCCTTAATTTTGTTGCTTCACTTTATAGTTTATATTATTGAGCATGACTATTCATCATTGAATGGACACTGAAACTTTCTAGTCGTGTTCTGATATAAAGGGGGCCTCTTCTGCCTCCTGGAATTAGTGGGAAAGCCACTAGTCTTTATTGTGTTTTATTATCACTGAAACCCAAAAACATTACCTCTTATCATTATCTACCTCTTCTCTGACGTTCAACCACATCCACATGGTCAAATTAATGGTAGACAGGTTGAGTGGTTGGTGCTTAAGGCTTCAACCAAAATCACAACATTACTACACCCCATTATTACGCTCCAATTCTTGCTCTAAGAAATACGGTAGTCAGGAAGAATTATCATTCAATTGTGGTCCAAAAATAACCCTTGAACCATTGCAAGAGGTTCATATCCACACAGTAAATGCCAGTTGAAGTAAACAATAGATGGGTGACGCTACAGTCCACATCTGGGCAACCCATGTCATTCTGCAACTAATCTCCCTGTCTCTTCTGTTCATTAGATTATATAGAAATTTTAACACCAAAAAACGACAGCGTATCAGTAACAGAAACCCTATCCATCTTCATCCGTCACAGTCACTCCCTCTCTTTGTTGTTAAATCAACGACATTTCAAAATAAACGATTATAAATTAACTAATTAATTAAATAAATAAACAAAACGTCCAAGATCCCCCAGCCACTTGGACGTTACCGACAGTCTCCAAATATCACGCTCTTGAAAATTTCCTTGCAAAGCCGTTGTTTAAATCCAATGGAACGTTCAACGTAAAGTTAGCCACAAGAATTTAATGCTCCTTTATTGCTTTTACCCATAATGTCAAGATTAATCACAATGACAACCATTTTTCCTTCTATGTTTCTTCAATGCTCATCAGTTTTTTATATTATTCCTTGAATCTTCTTCTCTTCATTTCATTTGATCAGCCAAGAGCTTTGTCAAATGGGTTTCTTTAGTACTGTATTGGGTTTCTTTGGTTTTGGATTTGGAACTTTCATTGGACTCCTGATTGGTTACTACCTGTTTATCTACTACCAGTCCACTGATGTCAAGGTCAGTTTCTATTTCTCTTCTTCTTTCTTATTTTTTCTCAGATTTTGCATCCTTAATCTGTTTTTTTCATTTGTTTTTCGATTTCTTGATTGCGAAGTTTGTGGGGACTCAGCTATTTGTGCAAATTTGGTCTACGTTGATTTTTTCAGAATTAAAAAAATGCTAAACTAAAACATACCACAATTTTGAGAAATCGGATATGAGATTAGGAGGAAGCTAATCTTTCTTTCATATATTATGAGCATTATAACTTTAGCGACTTACCTCTGCTATTTAATTTATTTTTCACTGGATCATATTTTGCTTAGCAATAAATTAGATAGGAAACTAGGAAGAATCTAAATCTTTATGACCAAATTCTGAGTTGATTGCATTTGCTATGGTTGTTTACTCTTCCAGGATCCACAAATTCGACCTTTAGTTGAGCATGACTCAAAATCATTGCAACAGCTGCTGACAGAAATACCCCAGTGGGTAAAAAATCCAGATTATGATCGTGTATGTTACTACTTGCTTTTGCCAAAACTTTTTCCCTTATACAAGTGCGCGGCATATGTTTTACAACATGCTTCTTAATTCTTATAGTTTTGTTTTCCTGAAGGTTGACTGGCTTAACAAATTTATTGAGAATATGTGGCCTTATCTTGACAAGGTATGCGTTGTACAATGATGTTTGAAATTTTTGTTGTCTTCAGTTTCCTTTCTGACAGATTGTTTTACTTTCATATATTGAGTACTATGCTACAAGTTTTCCAGGCAATTTGCAAAACTGTAAGGGAGATAGCAAAGCCTATTATTGCCGAGCAGATACCAAAGTACAAAATTGACTCTGTTGAATTTGAAACACTTACCTTGGGTTCACTACCACCAAGTTTTCAAGGTTCAGTCTTTCACTCTCTCTCGCGCACACTCAAGACATGGGCACCTTTTAAATGTTGCTTTGACAATTGGCATTATTTAAATCTCTGTCTGCCATGTAGTGTTTGAAAAAAATTATGCTCATTCTTGGTTTATTTTTTACGCCAGGAATGAAAGTATATGTGACAGATGAAAAGGAGCTGATTATGGAACCAATAATGAAGTGGGCTGGCAATCCTAATGTCATTATTGTAGCAAAAGCTTTTGGGTTGAAAGCCACTGTTCAGGTATTCTCTCGTATGATTCCTTGATGAAGAGGAGATTATTGTTTTTCTAAGTTAGCTGAATGATGTTGAATGGCTATTTTTGCAAGCATTGAGAACAGAAGAGGTATGCACAGGCATTCTCTCTCTCTCTCATGCAGCCCACACATACACACAAAGACAATGGATTAATGGGAGCAAGAGAGAGAGTTAAGTAACATTGGTTGCAAGTTCGCAATGGTTATATTGATTCCTTTTAGAGAATTTCAGGTGGTTGATTTACAAGTGTTTGCAGCTCCACGCATCACCCTGAAGCCATTGGTTCCTACCTTTCCTTGCTTTGCAACTATATATGTGTCTCTAATGGAGAAGGTATGTTATCATTCAAAACTCTAGATGGCTAGTCAATAGTTATACAGAGAAAATGTTTTAGTTGGTTGTTATGGTTGTCTTTAATGTGATAGATTGAAGTGAAATTGTGTATAGCACACTGTTTGATGCCAACAACGATTCTTTTCTGAAGGTTGTTCCAAATAGCTCTAAAATCTCATCTGTTTATTTTCTGATAATTAAAAATATTTTCCTTTGTCTCACTGTGTAAGATTAACTGTCATTTAGGGCACATCCTATTGAAGTAGTGCTTACTGTTACTGTCAAGTGGGAGTTCTCAATTTTGTCACATTCTTTCTTCCTGCCTTTTCCTTATGGTTATTCCAATCTGATTTTGCAGCCGCATGTTGACTTTGGGCTAAAACTGTTTGGAGCAGATGCTATGTCCATTCCTGGCCTATACTCCTTTGTTCAGGTAGTTTATTACTCCGCATGGATTAAGTTATAATATCTTTGATAGGGCTGCTGTTAACTATCTCTTTTCTGAATTTCCTCAAAGAATTTTTGCATTTCTTTATCATTTATTATTTTTTGCTTATTTCATTCTTCTCATTTTTTTATTTTTTTGTGGGGGCGCGGTGTCTATAGGAGCTTATTAAAGATCAAGTTGCAAATATGTATCTCTGGCCTAAAGCCCTAGAAGTACAAATAATGGACCCGGCTAAGTGAGTCTATATATTTCTTTTTTTCCATTATGAATTAAACTATTAAAGGTGTTTGCCAGGACTTGCTAATTCTTTTTTAAAATATTCAGAGCCATGCGAAAACCAGTTGGAATTCTGTGTGTCAAGATTCTGAGGGCTACGAAACTTAAAAAGAAAGATCTTATTGGTTCATCAGACCCTTATGTGAAATTGAAGCTCTCGGAGGAAAAGCTTTCTTCAAAGAAAACGACTGTAAAACATCGAAACTTGAATCCTGAATGGAATGAAGAATTTAATCTGGTTGTTAAAGATCCAGAGTCTCAAGCCTTGGAGCTTCAACTCTATGATTGGGAAAAGGTACTAGTCTTGGGATGCATTATCCTCGATTATCATTTGTCAGCGGTCAGTTTTGGAAGAATGTACAAGGTTTTATTTTTGAGCATGTGGGAGAATTGTGATACATCCTTTGTTTGTTTTTCTTCTTCAGTGCAATTACTTATTGGTATTTGGTCTAAAACATCCTCTTCCTGGTATATAGAGTATCTGATTTGCCCCACTTCTTGTTCAGTACATAACACATCTTTGGGACTTGTGTATCTCTATCTATATATTTCCTTAGGTGGGCAACCATGAGAAGATGGGAATGAATATCATTCCTCTGAAAAACCTTGCACCTGATGAGACAAAAGTTATGACTGTTGATCTGCTAAAGAATATGGACCCAAATGATACACGAAATGAAAAGTCTCGTGGACAACTTCATGTGGAATTGTTGTACAAACCTTTCAAGGATGATGAAATGCCAAAGGATGAGGATCCAACTTCGGTGGAAAAAGCTCCTGAAGGAACACCTGCCGGCGGTGGTTTGCTTGTCATAATTATACATGAAGCTCAAGATGTTGAAGGGAAATACCACACAAATCCCTCCGTCCGCATACTTTACAGAGGAGAGGAGAAAAAAACCAAGGTAACCTATGCCTTCCCATTTAGCTCACAGTCAGTTGATCATATCCTCACTTTCGCCTTCACTTACTATGCCTAAACAGAATTGGGAAGTTTTTTGCTCTAATTTTGGGTTTTCTTTTTCGATTCTTTAATGTTCATGGTTTGCATGCTACAGCGTATAAAGAAAAACAGAGACCCAAGGTGGGAAGAAGAGTTTCAATTCATGTTGGAGGAACCACCCACAAACGATAAACTTCAAGTAGAAGTATTCAGTACCTCCTCAAGGATGGGACTGCTCCATCCCAAGGTATACATTGATTATGACATTCTTGTTAACTTCATGTTTCAATTGCACTTACAATTAGACTTTACATGCATATCTTTTTTATAAAAAAAAAAAAAAAAAAAAAAGCTTATTCTAATTTCCGCTTTTCTAATAGGAAAATCTGGGTTATGTTGTTATAAACCTTTCTGACGTTGTAAGCAACAAAAGAATCAACGAGAAGTACCATCTCATTGATTCGAGGAATGGGCGAATTCAAATTGAGCTGCAGTGGCGAACTTCATCCTAAGGAGTTTTCAAGTTAATTTTCGTTAGCCGCTTGAAAGGGACTCCTATTCATGTGCTAAAAAATTTGACCTTGTAATTGACTTGAAAATAATCTAAGGTTGCTGGCATCTCGTCTGCCTTGGTTAACGTTTAGTTTTGGATCAGTAATGTCAAAAACTGCGTGGATATTTCAACCAAACCCGGACTTGGACTTTTTATATGCACCCTAGGCCTAACCCGGTTATGCCCAATAACTATTATCAGAGACTAAGAGAAGCAAAAGTCGAGCACATTAACGGGCCAACATTCTAACGAAAATGAGAAGCCCTTTTTAAAGTGATTTAAGAACAATAGTGTTAGATGTGACCTTTGCCGACTTCTGCACTCCATTTGATTGAGAATGATACTTGAGCATCATTGCACGTAGGAATTGTTGTAGCTTCTGTTTCTTGAAAGACGGGCTATCTCTATTGTCTGCTCCACATCAATCAATCGTTTCCAAATTCCAAACAAGAGAAAAAGGTCATTGGCTTTACTAGAACCAGTAAAAGTAGGCATCATTACCATAGCTTCCTAGCCTCCATTCTTCTTGATCTTGTCAAGATTCGTTCTTTCCAACTCCTATGCAATGGGCGTATTTTCTCATAGTATTCGGTTTGGGCACATTCCTCAAACGATAGTTAATCCATTTTTGCTGCAAGCACATAAATGATAGTGTTGAGTACAGTATTGGAATCCTCGGTTACAGGTTTTTGACCAATGGTTTTGAACTTTCAAGGGAAGCACTTAAAAGATGCTTGCTGATTTAAAAGGGAATGCCAAGGGTGGACTTCTCATGCAAGGCGGCCATGCAATTTGAAAAGTGGGTTTCATTTTTTTTTTTTTTAAACTGCAGAATGATAGTAGACTTTTATTAGTATAAAACAAACGAACGGCGTGGCATTGAAGTCCTATGAAGCACTATACGTGGAAATTACAACACCAAACAGAAAGAAAAGCAGTTATCTTTATTCTCCATAACGCTATTTACAGAATTCCCCACTAAGGCTTTTTAAAGGAGGAAGCCAGAATATGAATTTGTTCTCCAACAATCTTAGTGGAATAACATTCCCTTAAAAAGAATGAATGAACGTTAAGTCTTGGTTGACACAGGTAATGCCGCTTTCAAATTATACCCGTAGTTTTATATAATAACACCCCATAAAGTCACAACTTTATTAAAGAAGTAGATAAATACGATCTCAAAGTCCACGGTTGAACTTCAACTCAACTCAACGAGTTTAGTTGAGTTGATAATAGGATTCGGTTCTAGAAGATGACATGAGATCTTATAGGTTGGATTTGCTAGGTTGAAATGGGTGTACAAGTATAGGGCTAAGACAAATATAGAGAAAGTAAACGTAATGGAAGCATCCCAGAAGACATTTGACTTGAGGGCCCACCGCTGGACGGTCCAGATTTGTGTAAGAAGAGTAAAGGACCAAAAAGAGTGGACTTTCCGGTCACAGACGGGTGGAAAGTGTCTGTTAGGGAAAACGACACAAACAGCCTTTGCTCTGGGCCCAGCTATTTCCCCAAAGCCCATTCACCATTCACCATTCCTCAGTTCTTTTAATAAAAGGACAGTCTATCCACATTGTTATTTGATTATCCCAAAAGCCTGTAACGTAAGTCAATACAAATTTTATTTTATCAAACCAACCAACGGCTTTTTGAATTTTTACATGGGTAAAACGACAGCGTATTTAGATTTTACATTTACACAAAATCTTTAATGCTCTTGGTAGATTGTGCACAACCTAAAGAAAGAAAACAAATCTAAAAATAACTCACCGCGTTAACCATACAACTGGCGGATCTGACACGAGAACAGAAATCTGCAACATTATCATGCTATTGTCTTTCAAACCGCGCCACATCAAGCCGTCAAAACACGCCTATTAAATGAGCTCGTACCATTACCCCATAGGCCCCAGATTGCCCTTTTTAACTCTGTTAAAATCAACGCCTATCTTACTCTTGTGTTCTCAATCTCAATTAGTAAGTAAGGAAACGTCGTTACTACACCGTAAGTTACAACTGTACGAACTGGTCATACAAAATTGCAGGCGTGAGGGCTACTACTCCCTCTCCGTCTATCACTTTCAACTGTTTTTCAATTGTTTATTCATTGAGTTTTGATATTTAAAGGCTACGATACGATTCTCTTTACAAAGCCAAGCCACTGCACAACACTACTTAATAAAGCTTGAAGCTCACTGTAATTGAAGAGCATGCACTGAATTAACGCTACAGTTATTCCCTCCCTGAAAAACAAACAACCAGTGAGAGAGAGCAGATATGAGAGTTCCTTATACTACAACTACTTGTCTTCACCTTCTCATTTCTCTGTTTCTCTTACTATGTTCAGTCTGTTATGGGTACAGTGATCTTCAAGTTCTGTTGAAGCTCAAATCTTCTATGATTGCTCCCAAACGTTCAGGACTCGAAGACTGGCAACCATCATCTAATTCCACTGCTCATTGCTCCTTCTCTGGGGTTTCATGCGATGAAAACTCACGTGTAGTCTCTCTGAACGTGTCGTTTATGCCTCTCTTTGGTACGATTCCGCCGGAGATTGGCCTGTTAAACAAGCTTGTGAACCTCACAATTTCCAACGTTAATCTCACCGGGGAACTCCCTTTAGAGATGGCCAAACTAACTTCTCTCAAGGTTTTCAACATATCCAACAACGTCTTTAAAGGCAATTTCCCTGGACAAATCGTTCTTGGAATGACAGAGCTTGAAACTCTCGACGTTTACAACAACAATTTCACCGGTCCACTTCCCACTGAGATTGTAAGCCTCAAAAATCTCAAACACCTCACTTTTGGCGGCAACTACTTCACCGGCGAGATTCCAGAGAGTTATTCAGAGATTCAGAGTTTGGAGTACCTGGGCTTAAACGGTAATACACTTACCTGTAAAGTCCCAGCATTTTTATCTCGGTTAAAGAACCTCAGAGAAATTTATATCGGTTACTTCAACATCTACGACGGGGAAATCCCGCCTGCTTTTGGAACGCTGAGTGAACTCCGAGTTCTCGATATGGCTTCCTGTTACATTTCAGGTGAAATTCCTTCTAGTCTAAGTCAATTAAAGCACCTGCACTCATTGTTCCTTCAGATGAACCACCTCACAGGTCATATACCTCCTGAACTCTCCAATTTGATTAGCTTGAAATCTCTTGATCTCTCCTTCAATTCACTCACCGGGGAGATACCCGAAAGTTTCTCTGCGTTAACAAGCATCAAGCTGATCAATCTGTTCAAGAACAATTTGTACGGTCCAATTCCCGCGTTCATTGGAGATCTTCCGAATCTTGAGGTACTTCAGATATGGGGAAATAACTTTACACTGGAGCTCCCTCAGAATCTTGGCCGGAATGGGAAGCTCAAGATGCTCGACGTTGCATCGAATCGTCTCACCGGGATGATTCCTCGTGATTTATGCAAAGGAGGGAAGTTGAAGTTGTTGATTGTGATGGACAATTTCTTCTTTGGTCCAATTCCTGAAGAGTTGGGCGAGTGCAAGTCTCTGATCAAAATCCGAGTAATGTTTAACTTCCTTAATGGAACAATTCCTGCTGGAATTTTTAATCTGCCATCGTTGAATATGATGGAGTTAGACAACAACTTGTTATCAGGCGAACTTCCAGAAAAGATGTCAAGTAGCTCTCTCAATCAGTTGAAAGTGGCTAACAATAGTATAACCGGGAAAATTCCTCCAGCAATCGGAAATTTGCTGAATTTGAATATCCTGTCTCTCCATAACAACAGATTTGATGGTGAAATTCCCAAGGAGATCTTCAATCTCAAGCATATTGCGACGGTAGACATTAGTGGCAACAACATTAGCGGTGAAATCTCCCCTTCAATTTCCAATTGCATTTCTCTAACGTCAGTTGATTTCAGTGGAAACAAGCTCGATGGGGAGATTCCAAAAGGGATTGTTGAGTTGAAAGATCTGGGCATTCTTAATTTCTCAAGAAACCAGCTCACTGGTCCAATACCAAATGAAATTCGATATATGACGAGTCTCACAACTCTTGATCTCTCATATAACAATTTCTTGGGTAATATTCCCATTGGAGGTCAGTTTCTTGCGTTCAACATGACCACGTTTGAAGGAAATCCCAACCTGTGTTTCCCGCCTCAGGTAACTTGCCCAGCATTGTTAAAGTCAGGTAAACATTCAGGCCACAACCATGCGGCATCATTTGGTACTTCAAAGCTAGTGATCACAGTCATTGCCTTAGTCACTTCTTTGTTGTTGATTATCGTCACTGTTTATAAATTAAGAAAGAAGAGACTTCAGAAATCAAGGGCGTGGAAGCTCACTGCATTTCAACACTTAAATTTCAAAGCTGAGGACGTGCTTGAGAGCTTGAAAGACGAGAACATAATCGGCAAAGGCGGTGCTGGGATTGTCTACCGTGGGTCCATGCCAGACGGTGTTGACGTGGCAATCAAACGGTTGGTAGGTCCAGGGACTGGACGGAGCGATCACGGTTTCTCAGCGGAGATTCAAACTCTTGGTCGAATCAAGCACAGAAACATCGTGAGATTGTTTGGTTATGTGTCAAACAAGGACACCAACTTATTATTATACGAATATATGCCGCTTGGAAGTTTAGGAGAGTTGTTGCATGGGGCAAAGGGAGGGCATTTGCAGTGGGAAACGAGATATAAAATTGCTTTGGAGGCTGCTAAGGGGCTGTGTTATCTACACCATGATTGCTCGCCCTTGATTATTCACAGGGATGTCAAGTCTAACAATATATTGCTTGATTTCGATTACGAGGCTCATGTGGCTGATTTTGGCCTCGCCAAGTTCTTGCACAACCCAGGTGACTCTGAGGGCATGTCAGCCGTTGCTGGTTCCTATGGTTACATTGCGCCAGGTTCATAATCCCTCAATTCTTTCTCTCCATTTTGAGTTTTTAAATTTCAGTCGTATGTATCAATCGTTTGCATTCATGATTTGCTAAACCTCAAGCATGTAAATTAGCAGGGAATTAAGGATATAATTGAACTATAAAATCGTAAATTAAAGAGTGAGTTGAAGATGGGCATGGGCTGGCTTGCGGCGACTGACAGTTGATCACATGATGTTGGATTTGTGATTTTAAAGTTTGCTATTTGGGCCGTCAATCAGTTGCTTGATGGCCCAAATGGTAAGCCAATTTTGTCTCATTTGATTTGATGTACCAACTGATGAACTGTGTCTCTTCAAATTGAAGATGGCTTCCATACAGTAGGCTTTGGAACTCGCATATATATATATATATATATATATATATATATGTATATTCTACCATGACGTAAGTGATAAGCCTCTTCAAGTTGAATCGTAATTAATTAATCCTTGTGTCTGTTTGCTCGTGATTGTACAACAGAGTATGCCTACACGCTAAACATAGACGAGAAAAGCGACGTTTACAGTTTCGGTGNACTCTGAGGGCATGTCAGCCGTTGCTGGTTCCTATGGTTACATTGCGCCAGGTTCACAATTCCTCATTTCTTTCTCTCCATTTTGAGTTTTTAAATTTCAGTCGTATGTATCAATCGTTTGCATTCATGATTTGCTAAACCTCAAGCATGTAAATTAGCAGGGAATTAAGGATATAATTGAACTATAAAATCGTAAATTAAAGAGTGAGTTGAAGATGGGCATGGGCTGGCTTGCGGCGACTGACAGTTGATCACATGATGTTGGATTTGTGATTTTAAAGTTTGCTATTTGGGCCGTCAATCAGTTGCTTGATGGCCCAAATGGTAAGCCAATTTTGTCTCTTTTGATTTGATGTACCAACTGATGAACTGTGTCTCTTCAAATTGAAGATGGCCTCCATACAGTAGGCTTTGGAACTCGCATATATATATATATATATATATATATATATATGTATATTCTACCATGACGTAAGTGATAAGCCTCTTCAAGTTGAATCGTAATTAATTAATCCTTGTGTCTGTTTGCTCGTGATTGTACAACAGAGTATGCCTACACGCTAAACATAGACGAGAAAAGCGACGTTTACAGTTTCGGTGTTGTACTGCTAGAGCTAATAGCTGGGAAAAAGCCAGTGGGAGAGTTTGGAGATGGAGTGGACATAGTGATGTGGGTCAGGAACACCAGATCAGAACTCTCTCAACCGTCTGATGCAGCTGCTGTGATGGCAGTAGTGGACCCGAGGCTTAGTGGGTATCCACTTGCAGGTGTCATTCATCTGCTCAAAATAGCTATGATGTGCGTTGAGGAGGAACCCTCTACTCGACTCACCATGAGGGAAGTTGTCAACATGCTGGCCAATCCTCACCAGTCTACTCCAAGCCTCATCACCCTTTAGTTATATATATATATGGTTTTGGGAGGTTGGTTTGAGTAAATAAAAACCAAAGCAAATTGTAATAATTTTGTCACAAGAAAGCCACACTAACTTCAATAGTGGGACAAGGTTGTGTGTGTGTTTGTTTGGTGAAATATTCTTTCACTGCCTGTAAAATTCTGATTTCGGTTCTTTATTTTGTCTTTGTTTGTAAAAGCCAATGAGCGAGCTACTTTTTTTTTGTTATTTATTTTTTTTTTTTTTATTTTTTTTTCTGTTTCTTTCTGGTGCTTGCGATTGGGTGTATATGACCTACCAATTGGTATCTTTTGAAGACAAACGGAGAAGACGGGGTAGATGAGATGAGTGAAGAGTTGGGGTTTCTTTGACAAGGGCAAGATTGTCCAATAAAAGATAATTAAGAAAGTGGTATTAAAAGTTTAGTTATATACATTATATCTAAATCGGTCTCAAAATAAGGTTATATATATATAGGTTCTCTTCCGATTCATACACATTTTCGTAATACTCGAGGTAGTCATAGGATAAAATAGTCATTTCGCCTAATTCAAAGCAGTACTAATTTTATTGGGGCGGGTCTTTATTTCCACACTCACTTGGGAATTCAAAAGTCCATTTTCCGCCAAATCTAGAGAGAGGGTTGAGAAATGGAGACGGAGAGCCCATTCACTTGTCCAAACACGGTAACAGTCCGGCGAAATCCTCATCGGAAGGCGAGGCCGACGCCCTCTACGATCGCACCACAAACTCATGCATCACCCACAAAGTTACAAGAAATTTCTTCTTTCCCCATCGATGAAATCCTCTCCATGCAAATTCCGCAATCCAATCGATCATTAATCGAAAACCTAAATGTGTTTCTTCGTATCAAGCCACAAAAAATTGTTGAGAATTCTAGGCCCAGAAGTAAAAACGTTTGGCCCCAAAATCCAGCTAAGAAGAAAGCACTGAAAGAGAAAAATGAGAAGAAAAAGAGCGAAGCTTGTGTAACAGTTAATGATCCTCATTCCGTGACACTATCACCTCCGTTGGCCTTGCAGGCGTCTAAACGGATAAAGTCTGAGGTTTATGAAGGCTTTTCCTGCGTATTTTCCGCCAATTCATCACAGGTTCAGAATATATTTAATTCAATGTCTATGCAGAATTAATTGAATAGATTTAGGTTTTCTTTTTATTTTATTTTATTTATTTTTTCATAGGGTGAAGTGTACGAGAGGATGGTGAGTCCTTTGGTGGAGGAATTTTTAACAGGTAAAAGTGGAATGTTGGCTGCACTGGGACCTAGTGGCTCTGGCAAGACTCATACAATTTTTGGCACACCCAGGGAGCCCGGTATGATTATGCTTGCGCTACAACGGATTTTCAAAAAAACTACCGAGAGTTCTTCTGATTCGCCAAGGTAATTGGTAATCTTCTCTACATGGTACCTGTTTAATTGAAGATTTTTAACAGAAAAAATTGAATGCCTCCATTGTATTGTTTTGTTTATTTGTGAAAACATGTTACTATACTAGGAGCAGATCAATTAAGGGCAGAACATAGAGGTGAAAAGTTGTTCTTAATTCAAAACTTTAAATAGTTGATGAATTTTATAAAAAATTATACAGATTCTACCTATCTATTTTTGAAATATACTCTGAAAGAGGGAAAGGGGAGAAAATGTTGGATTTATCCCCAGATGGAACAGATCTGAGCATGCAGCAGTCAAGTATTAAAGGTCTAAAGGAGGTTGGTAAATATTTTTGCACTATGTTGAGTTATATAGCTTCTTCTTTCTATATATATTCATGATGGATACCGATAATGACTTGTGTTGATCCATGTGAACAGGTTATCATTAATGATGCAGCACAGGCAGAATCCCTGATAGCTTGTGCAATGCTGAAACGTGCCACAGCTACTACAAATTCAAACAGCCAATCAAGGTGCATGACAAACAAATTATCATTTCAATTTTGTAGTTATGTAACTTAGTTCTTCAATGGAATCACAATTTGGTTGGTGTTCTGTCAGCAGAATTATAAGAAGCCTAATCTTGCCTAAGGGTGACTTGTAGATTTAACCGAAAACCTGTTTAAGTATCTGGAGAAAATAAAGTAGAATTCTGTTTGGATTTTGATGCTTGAAAATGAATTGTATCATTCATATTTTCTACTCTCAATGAAGATTACTGGTCTAAATTTTGCAATATAATATTTAAATTGTTGATGTGGAGAACAAACCCGGCTTAAAATGAAGATGAGCAATATCCAAACATTTCTACTATAGAAGCTACCCTTTCATATATGTGTTTTTTAATGGTTAAATAGGTCTACAACAATTATTATATCAAATGTTTGTTTTTTCGCAACAAAGTATTCATTTCAGCAATATCATTGTTTTAATGTATGCAGTCGGTCACAATGCATCATTAACATTCGCTGCACTGGGAACAACCTTGACCGAGAAGGTTTCATTCAAGAAAATAATTCTGTCTTAACTATTGTAGATCTTGCTGGAGCTGAAAGAGAGAAAAAGACCGGGAATCAGGTTTGGAGATTTTTCTTGCTTGATCTATTGCTCCTGTCCATAAATTATGTGGAACAATGGTCATGGACTAAAAGTTGTTGATACTATATATCTCAGCTTTGGTTTTATCATCTTGCAGGGTTCAAGATTGCTTGAAAGTAATTTTATCAACAATACATCAATGGTTTTTGGCCTATGCCTTAGGGTATGTAAACTTAAGTCACTTTTTGTACTTTATTATTGTGTACCTTTAAGCCCCATCTCAATGTTCTGTGTTCGCTGCCTTCTCTCCATGACAGTAATTATGTCATTTTGTTTGTTTTCAGTCATTGTTGGAGCACCAAAAAAATCCCAAGAAGCCTTTGCAGAAGCACTTCCAGAACTCTTTGGTATTGTTCTTCCATTCAACACTTATACTTTTGATATTTGAACAATACATATGGTACAACATGTAACTTTACATGCAAACAGTTGACTAGGTACCTGCGAGATTATTTGGAAGGAAAGAAGAGGATGGCACTGGTATGTTTCAATTCCAACATTGGGGTTGCTCAGTCAAGTTCCATAGTAGATATGTTGTGTTTTTCATAGCTTGCTAGTCCATAATCTAATTATAAGTTAGCATTACAAATTATTAAGTAATTTTTGAAAAATCTGTTCTTGTCTCTCTTGTATTTTTCCAGATTTTAACTGTAAAATCAGGAGAAGAAGACTACCTTGATACTTCCTACTTGCTCAGACAAGCTTCACCATATATGAAAATTAAGTAAATTCCTCATCTTACCTTAATCTCACAAATTCCAAGATTCCTTTTTATATATTTTGAGTTCACATCTATAAATTTTTCAGGTTTGATAATGTTGAGGACGTGTCCAACATGGTCTGTAACAAGAGACCTCTTCAAACATTATCTAGAATTGAGCAGCCCAAAAGAATGAAAGTTAGTGGTCCTGAAGCTTCTTTGGTATTATATTTTATCCTTTAAAGTGCTATTTTTTCTTTGTATTGTTTGCATCTGTTTCTTATTGTAACTTCTCAGTTCAGATTAACTTGATAAATATATGAGTAGATGTTGCTTCTGGTACTCTGCATGAAGCAATGACTTCTTAATAAAACCTGTCCTGAATCATGGCTCTAAATGACACTGGATTATACATTATACTCTGCAGTATGGGGATTTCAAACATTTTATGTTTTCAGGTTGAAAGCCTGGGTCAATTTCTACTCACAGTATTTGTGGTGTTGATACTTGATTTGGCTGGATTAGCATTGAGCATATGAAGTGGCCTTTTAGGTGATTTCGTAGATGAATATAGTATAGGAAGGTTAACTTCACTGACGAAAGATAATGGTATTGATTATTGAACATGGTTGTACAAATGGAGAAAAGTTGTCATTCTGAATAACATTTCAATGATTATCATTCCTTTTGTATTTAACTTTTAGTTTTTGTTTGTTTTCAGATTGAAGAAAAGAGCATCGGGAAGAAAGACAAACTTCCTGATAAAGGTTATTCAGAAGGCAGAATTAATTTCTGTTGCTCCACTCTTTCTTTTTCTTGTCATATTGTTAAGCTCCTCGTCTACTTTGCGGGGTTTTCCTTCAGACTGTGTAACTTATTTTCTCACTCTCATTACAGAGGCCAAATTTGACACTAAGGACTGCACACCTCTAAATTTTGATTATGTTGATTTGGCAAAGAAAGAAAGAAACAATCAGATCATGCAAAATTTTGCTAAGGCTTTATGGAGTGTTTTGAAGCAGCACAATGAAAAACTTAAGGTGAGGTGATATATGGAATTTGTGCTTGATCTTTTCAGTAAAGTTTGTTTTTTCCCTTTTTTAAACTTCAATGATGATTTAATGTGCCTATTTATGTAATTTCTGTCGTTAAATTATCATGTTATACCTCACAACTCTTATTATAATCAGGTGGCAGAAATTGAAATAGAGAACCTCAAAGTAAATCTAAGCAATGAAAAGACAAGAAATCTTGAGCTGGTTAAAGAGCTTAAGGATTTGAGGTCCTGCTGTACTTGTACCAAGGAGAGTTCGTCGGAGACAACTTTTGCTAAAGTACCTACCAAGTTTGAATCTGAAATAGAATTAGAGGGAAATAAATTTAGTGAAGTTTGTGAGGTACTGATAGCAATCTATAATATTCAAACAGAAGCACATATATATGTTCTTTCACAGTAAATGTTCACTTATTACAATTCTAGCACATAATATAGATATGATATTCATCCATTGCTTTGAGGAAGTAGTTGACTTTGGAAGCTTTTGTTCCATGTTTAGATCAATGTGGATGCTTATTCACCAAACCAAAAGGAACCAATGTGCAATCTCAGTCCCATTGTTTATGATCCCAGTCCGGGACAGAAACAAGATCTACTATCTCAGGTACATTGACAACGAAATTTTTTTCTTTCTTTCATTGCCTCGGTCTATGATTACTCTATATTTGCTCCAAATTTACTATTGGAAGAGCTTTCATTATTTGTAGATGATACCAGGGAAGTAATGGTATGGTAAATAATTAATTTTAAAACATTTTTTTGTCATATCAAATGAGATATTCATTCTACCCATCTCAGGACATTTGAATGCAATACCATTTCTCAACAATATGACTCCCCTCTAAGAGGCCACGGAAATTTATTTTCTCTGATATACCTGCCAGATATACCTGCCAAGGACAATTTGTCTTCTATATTCACTTGTGGTATTTTAGCATTGACATGGAATGGTTATTTATACATTACTAGTCTAAGTTAGTCTTGGAATCTTTATGTTTAAGTAATTTTTAATAGGGAAATATTTTAGCAACCTTCTGGGAGATTGGGTTGAAATATAACCTTTCTTAAAATTGTTAGAAATCTCTCCTGAAATTTCATAAAATTTATTAAAATATTTCACTTGTATGGATAATTTCCTTCTAATTTTCACACCAGACAAATTGCTTGTAATCAAGTTGAACTTCCAAAAACAAATGCAACTTTCCTCTTTAAGAGAGACCCTGTTTCTCGTGTTAGTTTACATTACTTTAATGTGCTTGGGTGTATAAGTGAAGGGCAAGTATCTGATACCACTACAGAGCAGCATCAACCTTTTATTTTGTCAATGAATTCCTCGGAGAATTTTTGTATAGTGAATTGAAAGTTTTTAACCGGAATGTCAGGGGAGATGTTCTACTCTTGAAGTGGTCAATACTTTATCACTATCCGTTGAAAACTCTAATGATCCGAATTATCAGGTATGAATGTTGTTCATTCTTAATTCAAGTTGCTAAGGTTTGATCACTATATCCTGATATTTTTTGTATATATATTTCAGAACGAGCCAGAATGCAAAACACCTGTTCAAGAGTGCCTGTACCAGACATCTGAAATCATTTCTAGAAATGATGAGGATTTAAACGAGTGTGACCACACGGCAGAACGTAATCCTCCAAATCTTGATATGGCAGGTTTGCATCTAATTTTTTTTTTTTTTTTTTTAAATTCTAGACCATGATAACTTCTTGTAGCATGGTTTGAGAATCAGAATCCGGATCATTAGATAGAAAACAAGTTCGCCACCAAGTTTATGGTGGAATTCATGGAATTGCCGGATTAGATGTGCTGGGATAAAACTTTGGCACAAACTGGTTGGACACCAAATTTAGACAAGCTTCACCTATATAAATTAAGTAAATTCCTCATCTTACCTAATCTCACAAATTCCAAGATTCCTTTTTATATTTTTGAGTTCACATCTATAAGTTTTCAGGTTTGATAATGTTGAGGACGTGTCCAACTGGTCTGTACAAGAGACCTCTTCAACATTATCTAGAATTGAGCAGCCCAAAAGAATGAAAGTTGTGGTCCTGAAGCTTCTTGGTATTATATTTTATCCTTTAAAGTCTATTTTTTCTTTGTATTGTTTGCATCTGTTTCTTATTGTAACTTCTCAGTTCAGATTAACTTGATAAATATATGAGTTGATGTTGCTCTGGTACTCTGCTGAAGCAATGACTTCTTAATAAAAGCTGTCCTGAATCATGGCTCTAAAGCACTGGATTATACATTATACCTGCCGTATAACTCATGCATCACCCACAAAGTTACAAGAAATTTCTTCTTTCCCCATCGATGAAATCCTCTCCATGCAAATTCCGCAATCCAATCGATCATTAATCGAAAACCTAAATGTGTTTCTTCGTATCAAGCCACAAAAAATTGTTGAGAATTCTAGGCCCAGAAGTAAAAACGTTTGGCCCCAAAATCCAGCTAAGAAGAAAGCACTGAAAGAGAAAAATGAGAAGAAAAAAAGCGAAGCTTGTGTAACAGTTAATGATCCTCATTCCGTGACACTATCACCTCCGTTGGCCTTGCAGGCGTCTAAACGGATAAAGTCTGAGGTTTATGAAGGCTTTTCCTGCGTATTTTCCGCCAATTCATCACAGGTTCAGAATATATTTAATTCAATGTCTATGCAGAATTAATTGAATAGATTTAGGTTTTCTTTTTATTTTATTTTATTTATTTTTTCATAGGGTGAAGTGTACGAGAGGATGGTGAGTCCTTTGGTGGAGGAATTTTTAACAGGTAAAAGTGGAATGTTGGCTGCACTGGGACCTAGTGGCTCTGGCAAGACTCATACAATTTTTGGCACACCCAGGGAGCCCGGTATGATTATGCTTGCGCTACAACGGATTTTCAAAAAAACTACCGAGAGTTCTTCTGATTCGCCAAGGTAATTGGTAATCTTCTCTACATGGTACCTGTTTAATTGAAGATTTTTAACAGAAAAAATTGAATGCCTCCATTGTATTGTTTTGTTTATTTGTGAAAACATGTTACTATACTAGGAGCAGATCAATTAAGGGCAGAACATAGAGGTGAAAAGTTGTTCTTAATTCAAAACTTTAAATAGTTGATGAATTTTATAAAAAATTATACAGATTCTACCTATCTATTTTTGAAATATACTCTGAAAGAGGGAAAGGGGAGAAAATGTTGGATTTATCCCCAGATGGAACAGATCTGAGCATGCAGCAGTCAAGTATTAAAGGTCTAAAGGAGGTTGGTAAATATTTTTGCACTATGTTGAGTTATATAGCTTCTTCTTTCTATATATATTCATGATGGATACCGATAATGACTTGTGTTGATCCATGTGAACAGGTTATCATTAATGATGCAGCACAGGCAGAATCCCTGATAGCTTGTGCAATGCTGAAACGTGCCACAGCTACTACAAATTCAAACAGCCAATCAAGGTGCATGACAAACAAATTATCATTTCAATTTTGTAGTTATGTAACTTAGTTCTTCAATGGAATCACAATTTGGTTGGTGTTCTGTCAGCAGAATTATAAGAAGCCTAATCTTGCCTAAGGGTGACTTGTAGATTTAACCGAAAACCTGTTTAAGTATCTGGAGAAAATAAAGTAGAATTCTGTTTGGATTTTGATGCTTGAAAATGAATTGTATCATTCATATTTTCTACTCTCAATGAAGATTACTGGTCTAAATTTTGCAATATAATATTTAAATTGTTGATGTGGAGAACAAACCCGGCTTAAAATGAAGATGAGCAATATCCAAACATTTCTACTATAGAAGCTACCCTTTCATATATGTGTTTTTTAATGGTTAAATAGGTCTACAACAATTATTATATCAAATGTTTGTTTTTTCGCAACAAAGTATTCATTTCAGCAATATCATTGTTTTAATGTATGCAGTCGGTCACAATGCATCATTAACATTCGCTGCACTGGGAACAACCTTGACCGAGAAGGTTTCATTCAAGAAAATAATTCTGTCTTAACTATTGTAGATCTTGCTGGAGCTGAAAGAGAGAAAAAGACCGGGAATCAGGTTTGGAGATTTTTCTTGCTTGATCTATTGCTCCTGTCCATAAATTATGTGGAACAATGGTCATGGACTAAAAGTTGTTGATACTATATATCTCAGCTTTGGTTTTATCATCTTGCAGGGTTCAAGATTGCTTGAAAGTAATTTTATCAACAATACATCAATGGTTTTTGGCCTATGCCTTAGGGTATGTAAACTTAAGTCACTTTTTGTACTTTATTATTGTGTACCTTTAAGCCCCATCTCAATGTTCTGTGTTCGCTGCCTTCTCTCCATGACAGTAATTATGTCATTTTGTTTGTTTTCAGTCATTGTTGGAGCACCAAAAAAATCCCAAGAAGCCTTTGCAGAAGCACTTCCAGAACTCTTTGGTATTGTTCTTCCATTCAACACTTATACTTTTGATATTTGAACAATACATATGGTACAACATGTAACTTTACATGCAAACAGTTGACTAGGTACCTGCGAGATTATTTGGAAGGAAAGAAGAGGATGGCACTGGTATGTTTCAATTCCAACATTGGGGTTGCTCAGTCAAGTTCCATAGTAGATATGTTGTGTTTTTCATAGCTTGCTAGTCCATAATCTAATTATAAGTTAGCATTACAAATTATTAAGTAATTTTTGAAAAATCTGTTCTTGTCTCTCTTGTATTTTTCCAGATTTTAACTGTAAAATCAGGAGAAGAAGACTACCTTGATACTTCCTACTTGCTCAGACAAGCTTCACCATATATGAAAATTAAGTAAATTCCTCATCTTACCTTAATCTCACAAATTCCAAGATTCCTTTTTATATATTTTGAGTTCACATCTATAAATTTTTCAGGTTTGATAATGTTGAGGACGTGTCCAACATGGTCTGTAACAAGAGACCTCTTCAAACATTATCTAGAATTGAGCAGCCCAAAAGAATGAAAGTTAGTGGTCCTGAAGCTTCTTTGGTATTATATTTTATCCTTTAAAGTGCTATTTTTTCTTTGTATTGTTTGCATCTGTTTCTTATTGTAACTTCTCAGTTCAGATTAACTTGATAAATATATGAGTTGATGTTGCTTCTGGTACTCTGCATGAAGCAATGACTTCTTAATAAAAGCTGTCCTGAATCATGGCTCTAAAGACACTGGATTATACATTATACTCTGCAGTATGGGGATTTCAAACATTTTATGTTTTCAGGTTGAAAGCCTGGGTCAATTTCTACTCACAGTATTTGTGGTGTTGATACTTGATTTGGCTGGATTAGCATTGAGCATATGAAGTGGCCTTTTAGTTGATTTCGTAGATGAATATAGTATAGGAAGGTTAACTTCACTGACGAAAGATAATGGTATTGATTATTGAACATGGTTGTACAAATGGAGAAAAGTTGTCATTCTGAATAACATTTCAATGATTATCATTCCTTTTGTATTTAACTTTTAGTTTTTGTTTGTTTTCAGATTGAAGAAAAGAGCATCGGGAAGAAAGACAAACTTCCTGATAAAGGTTATTCAGAAGGCAGAATTAATTTCTGTTGCTCCACTCTTTCTTTTTCTTGTCATATTGTTAAGCTCCTCGTCTACTTTGCGGGGTTTTCCTTCAGACTGTGTAACTTATTTTCTCACTCTCATTACAGAGGCCAAATTTGACACTAAGGACTGCACACCTCTAAATTTTGATTATGTTGATTTGGCAAAGAAAGAAAGAAACAATCAGATCATGCAAAATTTTGCTAAGGCTTTATGGAGTGTTTTGAAGCAGCACAATGAAAAACTTAAGGTGAGGTGATATATGGAATTTGTGCTTGATCTTTTCAGTAAAGTTTGTTTTTTCCCTTTTTTAAACTTCAATGATGATTTAATATGCCTATTTATGTAATTTCTGTCGTTTAATTATCATGTTATACCTCACAACTCTCATTATAATCAGGTGGCAGAAATTGAAATAGAGAACCTCAAAGTAAATCTAAGCAATGAAAAGACAAGAAATCTTGAGCTAGTTAAAGAGCTTAAGGATTTGAGGTCCTGCTGTACTTGTACCAAGGAGAGTTCATCGGAGACAACTTTTGCTAAAGTACTTACCAAGTTTGAATCTGAAATAGAATTAGAGGGAAATAAATTTAGTGAAGTTTGTGAGGTACTGATAGCAATCTATAATATTCAAACAGAAGCACATATATATGTTCTTTCACAGTAAATGTTCACTTATTACAATTCTAGCACATAATATAGATATGATATTCATCCATTGCTTTGAGGAAGTAGTTGACTTTGGAAGCTTTTGTTCCATGTTTAGATCAATGTGGATGCTTATTCACCAAACCAAAAGGAACCAATGTGCAATCTCAGTCCCATTGTTTATGATCCCAGTCCGGGACAGAAACAAGATCTACTATCTCAGGTACATTGACAACGAAATTTTTTTCTTTCTTTCATTGCCTCGGTCTATGATTACTCTATATTTGCTCCAAATTTACTATTGGAAGAGCTTTCATTATTTGTAGATGATACCAGGGAAGTAATGGTATGGTAAATAATTAATTTTAAAACATTTTTTTGTCATATCAAATGAGATATTCATTCTACCCATCTCAGGACATTTGAATGCAATACCATTTCTCAACAATATGACTCCCCTCTAAGAGGCCACGGAAATTTATTTTCTCTGATATACCTGCCAGATATACCTGCCAAGGACAATTTGTCTTCTATATTCACTTGTGGTATTTTAGCATTGACATGGAATGGTTATTTATACATTACTAGTCTAAGTTAGTCTTGGAATCTTTATGTTTAAGTAATTTTTAATAGGGAAATATTTTAGCAACCTTCTGGGAGATTGGGTTGAAATATAACCTTTCTTAAAATTGTTAGAAATCTCTCCTGAAATTTCATAAAATTTATTAAAATATTTCACTTGTATGGATAATTTCCTTCTAATTTTCACACCAGACAAATTGCTTGTAATCAAGTTGAACTTCCAAAAACAAATGCAACTTTCCTCTTTAAGAGAGACCCTGTTTCTCGTGTTAGTTTACATTACTTTAATGTGCTTGGGTGTATAAGTGAAGGGCAAGTATCTGATACCACTACAGAGCAGCATCAACCTTTTATTTTGTCAATGAATTCCTTGGAGAATTTTTATATAGTAAAATGAAAGTTTTTAACCGGAATGTCAGGGGAGATGTTCTACTCTTGAAGTGGTCAATACTTCATCACTTTCCGTTGAAAACTCTAATGATCCGAATTATCAGGTATGAATGTTGTTCATTCTTAATTCAAGTTGCTAAGGTTTGATCACTATATCCTGATATTTTTTGTATATATATTTCAGAACGAGCCAGAATGCAAAACACCTGTTCAAGAGTGCCTGTACCAGACATCTGAAATCATTTCTAGAAATGATGAGGATTTAAACGAGTGTGACCACACGGCAGAACGTAATCCTCCAAATCTTGATATGGCAGGTTTGCATCTAATTTTTTTTTTTTTTTTTTAAATTCTAGACCATGATAACTTCTTGTAGCATGGTTTGAGAATCAGAATCTGGATCATTAGATAGAAAACAAGTTCGCCACCAAGTTTATGGTGGAATTCATGGAATTGCCGGATTAGATGTGCTGGGATAAAACTTTGGCACAAACTGGTTGGACACCAAATTTGTAGTAACCATCCTTATGCTGATTCTTATGAAACATTATGGGCGTTTGAGTTGAAATTGGTTACTTAAAATTTTGCTACACTTGTATCTTACCTGCATTATCGAATCTAGTTGGTAAACAGGATGTCACCATCTAGCACCCATATATACATAAGGAGGCTGAACCATGTTAACTCCATAATTTGATTTATAAATGAGATTCAGGATTTGGCTAGAATAATGGATAATAAATTGGTTAGTCCATGGAGCTTTTAGCCCAATTAATCTTGGAGGGGTTGTGTGGCCCAGTTTCGAGCCCTTGGCAGGCATTGAAGCCCGCACATGAAAATGTCAAGAAGAGCCATTGTTCCTTTTTTATTTTTCTTTCTTTTTTCCTCATTCCAAGACATGAAAATTTCCTAAAGGGGCTTGTTCAGTGGTAGGCTGGACTTTGTGGACTGTACATAAGATGAGACATAGATCTTAGTATTGTGATTTGAGTTACTTGTCATATTCATTTTTTATTCAATATGTTAGTAACAAATTGAGGCTTTCAGATTTTGTGGTTAGCTCTTCCCAGTCTCATGTCATTGTTAGTGATGACGCCTCTTCATCAGTGGAACTAGTTCAATCGCAAAGTGAGAAGGAAGAGGTTAAATTCTCTTCACTGGTCTGTGTTTTGAATTCCATTTTCTTTCTCCTTTTAAATTTGAAGGTTTTGGTTTTAATGCTTTTAATAATGTTGGAACATATCGTGTTTATTCGTATGAGACATTAGACAACGCTTAACATATTAGTTACTGCTAAAAGGCATTTTTTAGTTATAGTGATGAGTACATGCCTCCACATATGCATACAATTGTTAACTTTTATTTTCTGTTTTGTAGGAATCATTGCATTCATCAATGTCCCCAAAGCAAGTTGCATCTGCAAAAGGGAGCAACAAAGTTTGCCTACCACATAATGAACCAAGTCTAGATACTTACGAAAAACCTTTGAATATGCAGAAACCGAAAAGGTTAGCTGGGTAACATCTCGTGTTAAAAAGATTTTTCTCTTCATGAATCATGATGAATAGATATATAACAGTTCATTTTACTTTCACTTTCACTTTGGTATTATAATGATCAGGAGACTTTTGCCTGCCTCATCCATCTTACTGAGGGATATGAGTGCCTTTGATGTTGAGGATGAGATTGAAAAACCAAAGGTAAGCGGATACTGTTTTGGTATGCTATTTTAGTTGGCATATAGCGCTTTTAAATGATTGAAGTTGCTCAGATTTAGTGTGAAAGATTAGTTAAAAATCTCAGCTTTCTCTTGTAGAATGTTCCTTTTACACATGGGATAAACACCATTTAAAAATAGAGTTCATATCTTTAAGTTCTCCATTGTGCCTGCGAAAGGGTGGACCAAAAAGAAAAAGAAGAGAGGGAATAATTTTTGTATCAGTCTTTTATTCATTTATTTTATGCCCTCTTTTTGCTCTTTTGCAGGGGAATAGAAATGCGAAGAAGTTAGAGGCTAAGGGAGGGAAAAGAACTGAAGGTAGCATGTCTTTATTGCGGTTGCTTAAGAACAATCTTAATATCTAGATAGTCACTTATTATAATTGTAAGAAAACTCAGCTTTTGTAAAGGTGGGCCATTTTGTTTGACGGGTCTGTGCTATGATTTGAGGTGATATGTAATCTAAAACAGTTGATGCCAATACACTTTTGGACTGAATTTTCAACTGTGTTGTCATGCGCATGCTGCACTCTCTTAAGCACGCATAGCCATTGGTGTTCAAATTTGAGATTTGTAAAGTTTTCTTACTGCTTGTTAAGATACTGTTAGTTCTCCCGTCAATTAAAGGTTGGAATCCTAAGGTTCTCTAACTTGACCATAATACTTCTCTTAAACTGAGCCCAAGTTGCCACGATTCTTCTCCCGAAGGCCCATTATCCTATTATATATATTGTATAAAGTGTAGTCAAAATGATTTGAAGTTTGAAGATGTTGAATGAAATTGTGAGTGTTATGGCGTTACATCAAATAGTGAAGCAGAAGCAGGGTGGTCCATGAGGGGCACTTGTTTATTCTTTTTGGTACATGGTTGCCATCATCATAGTACTTCCTTTTCATAACTTTTGTTAATAGATTCTAAATATTCAATAATAATTAGGATTTATTAGGACTAATGAGTGGAATGTTGAATTTAATGTCTCTTTGATTACCTCACTTTAGTGCTTATCTTTTCTGCACCCCGCTCCAATTCTATCACCATTTAGGCTACGAGACATTATTTAGAGTATTTCCAGCTAATGCTAAGCTATGTTTAATAGTTAGATTTAATGAAAATATTGACATGGTCTGTACCCATCACCAGAACAGTAATATATATTAACAACTTTCATTGAAAAAATGCACTTAATTAATGGAGTTATTGGTAGCTTTTCAGAGGCAATTAAAAAAATAAAAATAAATAATTTCATCTTTATTACCTAATGCTTGGAATAAGGTCCCCCCACCGAACTACAAGACAAATCAACATAAAATCATTTTAAATTCAACATCTCTTGAAAGATTTTTGTCAAAATAAATTATTTGCACATCAAATTAAATAAAAATGCTACTTTGAATTAGGGCTTTAATATAATATATAAAAATTAAGCTTATTTATTCATTCAATGACGACCCATTTACATGCCACACGTGCTAACCTGATACACTGTGAGACCGTAGACATATGATATCTGTCAAGGTACATGAAATGCAAATATGAAATGCAAACCGGTTTGTTTATACACGTGTAAACTAACACGTGATAGAAGAGAGGGGACCCACTGACAGTGACAAGAATAGACCCATCTCCTTTTCAAAGTATAGACCTTGTCTACCTCCCCCTTTCAGCGAAACTCATCGTAAAAAGCCCCACAAAAAGCATACCAGAATTGACAGTTTTTGGTGCTACTTCTGTCTTTTTTATATTCCCTATAAATATACCGTTACCGGTTGACCGGACTAACCGGTTTTCTCACTTGACCATTACCCCGACTCGACCCGACCCATCATCCCCCTCTCCCCCTCACATCTCACGCGTGTGACTGCCCCCAATAGTGAACTAAAACCGACCAGAGATTTGACAAAAAAATTAACTCCAAAATTATAAGTTAAAAAAATTAAATATAAATAAAAATATAAAGAAGAAGAAGAAGAAACGTTGCTCTCTTCTCTCTGTGGTTCGCGAAAAGAAAGAGAATAAACACTTCTCTTTTGAGAGTGATTAAGGTAAAGACCGACACAGAATTTCACTTGTTCAGAGCTTGCTAGGGTTTCTCTTTCGTTTCACTGAATTTTATTGATTAAGGTGAACTACTTTCTCACCCTTTCAATTTTATATATATGTATATATGTATATATATTTTTTTTTATGAATTTTTTCAACTGTTTTTGGTTATCAGTTTGTTTCCATTTTAGGATTGGCGTTATTAATCACATATCTATCAGTGTTAATTATGATAAATCTTAATTAAATTTTATAACCTCTCTATTAGCTTCACACCCCGCCTCACCATATACAGTTCTAAAGTTAGGGTTTTTCTCTTCCCTGCCTTCACTTTTCGTTTTTCAAAATATTAGGGTTCGATCTTCTCTGCCTGTGCTTATCTCTTTTTCATTGATTTGTTTGGTTATATGAGCTGTTTTAGAGAAATTTTAAACAACTATAAATTGTTTCTCATTGTTTTTATCAATTTGTTTTACAAGTTTTATCTTTTCTGATGATTTAGTGAGGTTTTGGGTTTTGTCTTTTTGTGTTATTCAGTTCATTTCTAGGCTTAATTTTACTGTTAAACTATGTGGTCATGTGGTTGTTTCAGGTTTGAAATTCAATACATTTATTTTGGAGGTCGTGAATGGAAAAGTTTCATCTTTAGATAGTTCACCTTCGCAAATTGGGCATTGAAGTGTCTGGTAATTTACTGCTTTAGCTTTTTGTATATTCTTTACTCATGCAGTTTGGGATTGTCAGCACATTTGTTCAATCAATTATATGAATGATGATCTTGTTGTTTGGAGTATATTTTATAATGGTATTAACTCTTTTTGGTTCTTTTCAGTTTGTTGTGATGTTGAGTTAATATATTTAGGAATGAGCAGACTTTTATAGGTTCCAGTATTGTAAACGGGTTTTTGGGGATTCTCTTGAACATTCATCAATTGTGTTTATAGTTAATAGACTTGTGTTTTTTGTCGTCTTTTAATTTAATTTCCATGACGACTTTATGAAGTAACTGATGGGGATTTCCAGATGTTATTAGCTTCCTGTTTATGTGAGCCTTACTAGATGAATCATTACATATGATAGATTTACTATTCAAAAGCACAGGGCATGATGAGACGAGTTGGGGGATCTAGGACATTAATATTTCAAGATTATGCAAGTTGTAGAATTGTAAGTTCATTAAACTTTAGTACTGTGGTGAGATTGGTTATTGATTTGTCTTCTTCCAATTATGGAACATATGCATTAACTAGAACTAGTGCATATGATTAATTCTTTAGCAAAGATTATTTAAACTAAAGTACTGAAAAATTGTCTCATGACCTTGTACCCCTATTGAATTTTAACACTTGTGTTTGAGTTCTTGTTAGATATGTTTTGTCATCGAGGATGAATTATTTCGTTTCAGTAGCTCAGACAATGTTCTTATGATCAATATTCATGATTGTTGCATTAAATCAGTTAAATATGGAAATCGATTCTCTTTTTTTGTTGGCATTTGTATTGTTTAATCCTAATTTATTATGGCTTAGTTATTGTGGTACATTCCTGGTCTTGAGTTTTATGACCGTTTTACATGTCCTTTTTGTTATTTTTGAACTTGCTCATGATTTGTTGCTTAATCAAGTCCAAATGAAGTTTTTGTTAAGGAGTAGATTAGTTAATTCATTTCTGTCTAAGTCTGTTGAGAACGTCATATTGTTCATATGGGTGTTGCATAACTAATAAATGGACTTAGTGAATGAGTTCTTGAAGTTAAATAGTTGGATGAGTTCAGGGTCAGCAGCATACACATGTCAATGTCAAGCAGCATATATGTGCTTTAGTTTTTGTTTGGGTGGGGATAGTAAAGGAGATATTTTCTTGTCCTCCCTAGTTGATTTGGATGTTTGCTATTTTTCTTTTTCAATGTGCACTTGATGGGGTGGTATAATTTTATTATATGTATGATTTGTGGACACAAAAAGAAGTGTTAGGTTTCTCTTTATTTAGTATGCACGGTTAGTCTTGTTTGTGTTATGTCCTCATTAACTTTGGATATCTGGAGTAGTTCTTCAATGTTTTAAAATTGCTGGAACCAATGTGTGTGTGTGTGTGTTTCCATCTAATATAGTACCATTACATCAGTTATGTGGGGCTATAACTGGACCAGTGGTTCAGTCTCCCAGTTTCATATATGATTTTTTCCATAGCAATAAATGTCCGACTTATTATATAAGATCCATGTTATAACACATCTTACTGCTTTCATAAATGATTTTTGGCAATTTACTGGAGTTCTCTGATAGATTATGTCTTTTGAAGTTTCTACTTTTACTGAGTTCACCATCTTTTAACATTCCATGCTGTTGTCTACTGCAATTTTAGTAATCTCATAATGGTCAGATGTTCAGTTTTATGGACACAGCTGCATCAATGGATTTTGTTATTCTATAAGTAGGAATGATTGTTATCTCTAGCAATATATTTTAGATTCTCAATTCAAGCATGGCAAGCACTTTTATCCAGATTCTATGCAAAAAGTATCTTGTCATACTCCTTAATCTACTTCTGGATTTATTATTTAATATAACTCAAATATCTTATTAGTATAGTTTAAAGGCTGGAATACTTGCCCCCCTTTGCCAAACCAAAAATTGGAAATACTTTTGTATGCACATGATTATATTTTCATGTTTGTTACTTATCCATGGGTCATATCTTTTACGTCCATTTCATCATTTTTCTGTTTGCAATCTGTCATGTATATATCTATGCTTAAGAATCAATATAGGACCATGTATGATTTGCCCTTTCTCAAGTCAATACGCATACGCACTTGTTCTTAATGAGCTAGTGATTGGTTGAGCTTCTGATTGCAGTGCTTGTTTTCAAGGTTCTTGGTTCCTTTATTGTTGTATGTACTGGAAAAAAAAAAATATTATTAGTGACTGTGTATATGCTTAGGCAGTTCATGTTGTTATGTCATGCAGGGTATCTCAATAATGACCTGGAAGGTGATTGCAGCATTTGATGGAAAGAAAACCTATTAGCATGTCATATTGACCTTTGGGATTGTTTTGAAGCATGGTATGTGAGGCACAATGACACTGGAAGATTTCTTTTCAAAGACCAAGATGAAGGATGGTCTCACAGACCTGTCACGAGTTGAGGAACTAATCAATGTAATGCAGAAGGAGAAACATAGTGTTGTGAAGAACATTGGTGATGGAACCAGGCAGTGGGCTGCTATTGCAAATGCTATTGCTGCTACTGAGAGCAGAGATTGTCTTGACCTTTTTGTTAAATTAGATGGACTATGGTTTATTAATAGGTGGCTGAAGGATGCTCAAAAGTTTTGCAATGAGACTAATGAAAGTGGTGTAGAAGAGTCAATTACTGCAATGTTGCAAGCGCTCGAAAAGCTACATATTGACAATGAGCGTTCTATTTCTTCTGGGATCTGGATTACTGTCAAGAGTCTTCTTGACCACGGTAGCTCTCAGGTTCAGGATAGAGCCAGAGCACTATTTGATAGCTGGAAGAAGGGTAGAGTTAGTGATGCAGTTGACCATGAAGTTGATAGTGTTGGGCCTTGTCATACTGAGGGGGTTGCAGTCAGTTCAGTGGATGTTGAAGAAAGTAGTCAGTCAAAATGTTCCGCATTAGATGTTCCTACTGAAGCTAGTTTTAAAGAAGAAAATGGTGGAGCAGAAATTTCGCCATCAAATTCAGAAAGTCTTAGACAGGAAAAGGCAGAAGAGGTTCAGACCCAAACCCAGAATAATGAGCAACATTCTCTCGTAAGTTTGGACCAAACTAACATTGAGGATAAACCTCCAGATCATCTGACCTCATCTGTCTTGTCAAACAATTCGGTTCTAGAAGGTACTTTAATCACAGAGAAATCCCCAATAAGTACAGTTGAAGGGATTTCGTGCATTGAGATTTGTAGTTCTCCAGTTCCAAAACAAAGCCATGATGAAGAGCAGTTGGATGATCTGAAGATGAATGAGTTCACTAATGATGAAAAGCAGACCCAAAAGGTGAGCAGCTTCTCAGACAAATTCCGTGTGACGGTGGGTGCCTCTACTTCTAATTTAGTGGACTCTAGAACTGTTTCCTCTGGTGCGGATGTCGCAAATGCTCGTGAGATTGTGACAGAATCCGCTCTAGAAAACAATTTTGACAACAAAGAGGATGAATTACATATAAAAGCTACTGCACTCAGTGATGTGAGAACGCTTGTATCCGAGCTTAATAGTGGGAGAGATGATATGCCTGCTGCAAATAGTTACAGTAGACAGTTGTTGAAGACAACAGGTGAAGATGATGAATGTCATTCTGATGCGATGCAGGATTCATCGGGTAATGAGTGTATATATGGAAAACACAAGGATTTAGAGACTTCTTTTTCAAGAATAAAAGGAATTGGTGCAATTGATGATGATAAGGAGCATACTAGTGATGAAGGTTCTGATTCAAGAAATGATTGTGATTTTTCGAAAACGTCAATGGGTAGCCGGAGTCCTGAGGTGAATAATCAACGGAAATCTGATATTGAACTTGAGTATGGCATAGTTGATGCCTTAGCAGTTGCCCGAAAAGTTGCTCAGGAAGTGGAAAGAGAAGTTGTAGACTATAGAGATCGGTCGTTCAGTTCTTCTGAGAAAATTTCAGATGGTGGCTTTAGACGGCCAGATAGCCCAGATTCTATAAATGGAAAGCAGGATCTAATTAACGAGGTCCCACCAAATGAGGTGCCAACTGGACAAAATTATTCTGCTGGGGCATATCCTGAGGGTGAGGGCCATGTAATTAATTCAGATAATGTTGGAACTGAACGAGAAAATGGTATAGCTGACATGGAGTCCTCTCAGGTGACTGAAGCTGCTCATGAACCAGAAGTTAAAGCCCTTTGTGATTTTGATCTGAATCAAGAGGTCTGTTCAGATGATATGGAACGTCTAGTTAATCCTGTGTCGACCCCTGTTTCTGTGGTTTCAGCTTCTAGACCAGTAGCAGCACCTGGGTTGCCTGCGGCCCCTCTGCAGTTTGAAGGGACTCTTGGATGGAAAGGAACTGCTGCTACTAGTGCTTTTCGTCGTGCATCCCCTCGAAGAGTCTCTGACTCTGAGAAAACATCTCTCACTATTGGGGGAATCAGCAACAGTTCAAAACAGAGGCCAGATTGCCTCGAAATTGATCTGAATGTGGCTGAGTGTGGAGATGATAAACTTGTTGATGTAGTTGCAGAGAAACAGATTCCACTTCCAGTTTCATCTGGTCTCCATTCTGCAGAATCTTCGTTGGATGTGAGTCCAAGAAGATCAGAGAGATTGAAGCTGGATTTAAATCGTATCAGTGATGATAGTGATGCTCCACCTACAGATCTGAGGATGGATGGACGGTTCCATTACAACCGGAATGGCCATCGCAGTCCATCTCCTGCATCCTCATCGTCATCCATGCAACCGCCTTCCCTGAGGAACATTGACTTGAATGACAGACCATATTTGCAGAATGATTTTTCAGATCAAGGACTCTATCATGGTAAATTTCCCCAAAATGTGAGTGCTTTTGGGGCAGTGTCTAAATCAGATGAGCCTGTTATATCTCTCATGGGAACCAGAGTGGAAGTCAATAGGAAGGGTTTTGTTCCTCAGGCTGCACCCTTGTCAAATGGAAAGGCACTTGAAAATGCCATGGATACTAATATGGCAAGGACTGGAAGTGTTTTGGCATTGGGTCCTACAGTGTCTTACACACATTCCCCTGTTTTGGGATACAATGGATTTGCAGCTGCAACCACATTGTCTTACTCTTCGCCCATGTATGGACCAGCAAGCTCAATTCCTTATATGGTGGATTCAAGAGGAGCCCCTGTTGTGCCCCAGATTGTGGGTTCTGCAGCAGCTGTTCCGCCATCTTATTCCCAATCGCCATTCATGATGAGCCCGAGCAGTGGACCTTCTGGATTAAATGGGGCAGGGCCTTCACGGCCTAACTTTGATCTGAATTCTGGTTTTCCAGTTGAGGGAGGAAATAGGGACTCGCTTGGTCTGAGACAGCTTTTCATGCCTGGTCAAGGCCGTTCAATGGAGGAGCATTTAAGGGTAGGCTCGCAACCGTCGTCAAGTTCTGGGGTTGGTGGGAAAAGGAAGGAACCTGATAGTGGGTGGGAAGCGTACCCATATAATTATAGAAATCAGCAGCAGCCTCCATGGAAATAGGAAGTTAATATTTATCATTGCTCCTTCCTCCCTTGGCAATCAATCATAAAGCCAATCAAGCTGATTGATGCTCGCATTGCCAAGGTAATTGAGAAGAGTGAGTAAGCCCATTGGCTTTGACGGGACGGGAGGGGAATTAGAACTGAATAAAAGGTGGGGATTATGAATGTAATATAGTTGGTGAGATTAATTGCTGAAGGAAAGAATTAGGTTTTAATTAATTGTTTTTTAACTTTGGTTTATTTTCTAATTTTTCATTTCTGTGTTTTATAGAAGGCCATTGCAAACATAGAAGGCATGGTACATGATGTAGCTGTAACTTCTCCCATATATATCACAGAAATTTTAAAGAAGCTGGTCAGTGGTGCTTATATTTTACAATGTAATTGATTTTATCTCAGTTAAGCTGTGGTTGGAAACCAGTTGGCTAGATTTGCGTCTGGGTCTGACACCAGTTACATTCTTCTGTTGGCAGTTGAATTGTAAGTCCTCCTTTTGACATGTACGAACACACTATTATTTTGAATTTTTGAGGGCAAAGCACAACACATAAGCTTTGTAGTAGATTCTGGGCACAGGATATTCCAAGACGTCAAGCAAAGAATCAAACAGCTTCATTCAAGAGGATATGTCTTGGAAGTAAGGTCCAGCGAAGAGAAAACTTATAAATTCTAGTAATTATGTAGAAGTGGGAACAAACAAATGTTTTTTTAATCTAGGAAAGCTTTTATTCTTGGGATACTACTACCTTGGTGGCCTCATCTTCATCCAAATCATCACTTTTAACTTACGCCCTTTTTGACTTGTTCACATTTAATCAAAATTCTCGCATTTCAATATTAGTGCTAAACGGAAAAGAAGCAATTTCAATTATTAAAAAAGAAAAGGCGTTAACTTGCCAGACAACCAATTGATTTGATAGCATGGTTGAAAGGCAAAAGGAGTCTAAAACACAATAATTAAAAGCCAACTGAATATCCAAAACACGCTGCAGCTGCAAGGAAACACTAATCTAAAGGATAAACATACATCACACTACTTTCAGTTCTCTTAAATAAACCGTGTATTGGTTTCTACTTCCATACAGTACCCATGGCGCCAAATACTTCAGCAAGTTTCAATAATGATTCAACTTGAACTGAACAAGGCAAAGTAACCCCTGAGCAAAAAGAACAAAAGGACCCTTCTTTTTATATAGCATAAGCCCCAAAAGCAGAAATAATTTGTTATGCGCTTGCCCGTTAAAAATGATTAGTCCATCTATACAAAGTTTTTCACTAAGCATCTATCATTTAGGAGATATAATATGAAACTAAATTAACCAATATGCTATAAGCAAATACTTCAAAATCATTCAAACACAGACATATACCTATTGAAAGCAATCTGTGAAATTGTTAACCAATCCTCTGCACAAGTTCACTATGAACTAGATTGCATATATTTTTTATACAAAAAAAATGCATTCAACACACCTAATGCAAATCCAGGAGTTCAAAAAGTGTTCATAAAACGTTCTAAACTAAAAAAAAGAAAAGAGAACAAATAAACTTCCACCAACAAAAAAATCGCAAAAGGAAGACTTGTCTGAAACAAAATAGAATGTAGCTTATGGCATACATCCATTTACTAGTTCACAACCAATGATGATTAAGAATATTATCCATCTTAGGAGGGTGGGTTGATAAGCTAGACATGCAACCGTATATTATCCATGGGAGGAGTACGGATATAACCACATAAGAAACAGCTACAGAAAGCAGGCCTGATATGGTAGACATGCACCTACAAGGTGAAGAAGCTGCATAATCATAAAACAGATAAACCACAAATTCCAAGAACACACAATTTCCCGTGATATAGTGCAGCATGAGTAAAAGCACTTCCAGAATGGAAACTGTTACAACACATACACACAGCAAGATGCAAAGGAAAGACCCAAAATGTGCAAAGAGCCAACTGATGGTTTCCATTGAAAAGAAAATTGCCCAGCAGGAGCAACCACCACCTTGCCATCTCTTAAAGTTCTATCAACAATTGAAAATATTCCCCACCCTGTTCTTCTTTCCCATGCATTATGCATATAAAAGTAAATAAAACCAAATAAAAAATAGTAGCTAAAATCGATGATTTCAAAACATACCATACATTACCCTTAAAACTACAAGTTCTAAATGTTCCAATGTGTAAAAATTTGAAGGAAATAATGAGGCATAACAGTCACTATAAATTAAGGAAAAAAAACCATGACACTTGCAAACTTAAATCGGTCTCAAACTAAACTAAGAAAAATGGTACACATCTAGTAATTTCCAGTTCCAATGTTGGGGCATACTTCAACTTCTCCAATGAATGCAATGCCTCCTATGCTTTTATTTCAATCGTCAGTATAGAATTGGGTTGCACATGAGCATTAAACATCCCATATTGAGCTAATATTTATATATATGGACAGTAAACTTTAAAAAAAAAAAAAAAAAAAAAAAAAAAAAAAAAAAAATTGTCACTTGGTTTAATTCACAAGCAAATAAAAGCCAAAAGTCCATAAACCAGAAGTTAAAAATAAAAATGAAAATCACATAAATTCGGAGGATACCAATTCATATCAACCCGAACTCGTATTCTCTCCGGATGAAACTGAAGCTCCACTGACACTAACTCTCTTATTCCTCTCCTCCTCATACTCCGGATCATCAGTTGGCAACTCGAATCTACAAACTGGACATGAATTCCTCGAACCTAACCACGGCACAATACAATCCCTGTGATACAAATGTGCACACGGTAACTTCGTCGCCGTTTCACCAACATTCACCATGTCCTTACATATTGCGCATACAATTGCCTCCTGCTCCGACAGTATCTCCACCGTCGGTAACTCCAATACAGCTGATTTTGCTGCAGGTGGGGCCCCCCTCCTTCCACCGTCACTTTCTGCCAAATTCTGCAGCAAAGCTTCATAGCCAGCGGCGTCCACGTAATCCTCTGGATTACCTATGTAACGGTCAGATTCTGGAACTTCTAGGCGAAATTCGATTGAGTTGTCTTCTAGGCCCATCAGAATCTCAGCCCAGTCCAGGATCCGGTTGCGTCCGGTTCTTGCTCGTGTCGCGAAGTCTCGGATCCGGAGACGGAGTTCTGCGCGTCGCCTTCGTCTCAGATCTTCTTCGTCATCAATTTCTCTGTTCTCTTCGTTCTCGTTATCAGAGTGATCTTCTCCTCCTCCTTCATGGTCTTCGTCGTCTTCATTGTCTTCCTCCTCCTCGTCGTTTTGATTCTGTTCGTTTTCATTCGCATCGTCATCGTCATCATCGTTTTCCCATCCATCGAGCTCAATTCGAAGAAAATCTTCTTCCGACTGGGGATCTTGAGTTTGTTGCTGAGGAACGTCCTCTTCACGCGCGGCATGCGCGATTAAACGGAGGACCTGAAGGAACTGGGATCCAAAAGAAGGATCGTCGACGTGATCAGGAGTGAGTGTAGGTGGTGAGAAGGTTGGAGCGGGGATTGATTCGACGAAGCCGTTCTTACATTCGTGGCAAACAACATCAGGAAGATTGGCTAGGGTTTCTATATAGACGCGTTTTTCGCAGTGATAGCACCAATACTGTGTCGTATCAGTATCGGAAAAGGCGGTAGGTGTCGTCGGTGAGGGCGTCTGAGATGGAGATTCAGCCATGTCTTTTTGGTGAGGAAAGAGTGAAGAAAGTCAGGGGAGTTTGATTTACGGTGACTAGGGGAGAGAGTGTCAAATTGTAAAAGAAATTTTGTAGGATGTTATTAAGGCGGTTGTTTGCCTATGAACCGTAGGCGTTGGATGATCTGATAAGAAGATGTAGGATGATGAAGGGTGGCTGATTTGATGTGAATTTAGGTGACTTGTGTTGTAGTCAAATTGAAAAAATAAAAATATCGTGGGGTAGGTGGCTAATTACTAAAATACGTACCACATGAAAAATGATCCTAAGACTCTTCCACGTAGGGTCGAAAAAAAAAACCGAAAAAAACGACGACCGAGAAAACGGATCGAAACCGAACCGAAAAACTGGTTTTTTCAAATCAAACGGTTCGGTTTCGGTTTTCAAAAATAATTAAACCGAATTTTCGGCTCGGTTAACGGTTAAGGATAATATTAAACCGGTTAACCGAACCGGTTTTGAAAACCGGTTTTGAAAAAAATAAAAACATAAAAAAATCCCTTATTTTTCCCCCCCTTTTTCTGGTATCAGCTACGCAGACCTGCAGTCTGCTACCTGCGCATTTTCTTGGGTTTGGTTCTCACGCAATCTTCACTATTTTCTTTCTTCTTCTTCTTTCTCCTTTCACTTCTTTCTTGTCTTTTTTCAGTTTTTTTCACATTTTCGTTCTTCTCTCTCCTCTCCTTCACCAACTTTTTATTTCTCGTCTTCTTCTCCTTTCACTGCTTTCTCTTTCTTTTTTCAATTTTCACATTTTCGTCTCTCTCTTCCTCTCTCACCAATTCTCTTTCTTTTCCTCTCTCTTCTTCTCCCTTCTCCACTTTCCTTTCTTTTTCGTCTTTCTCTGTCACTTTTCTGTTTTTTTTTCTTTTTCGTCTCTCCATTTCTTCTCTTTCACAGCTTTTGTGTTTTAGATTTGGATAAGAAGCGAGAACAGAACACCATGATTGGACTTCAGCCTCCTTCTCCTTCATCGTTTGGTAAAGCATAATTTTAATTCAAGTAAAAAAAAAATTGGAAAAAAAAATGGAGTGTGACGAACAAATTGGGCCAAAAAAAGCAGCCCATATCATTATTGGGCTAAATAATGCAACCCAATATTAACCGGTTTAAAACCGGTTAACCGGTTAACCGAACCGAATTTTCGGTTCGGTTCATAACCGGTTTTAACCGAAACCGGACCGGTTTCGGTTCAATCATTTTTTTAAACCGAAAACCGGTTCGGTTCAAGTTTTTGGTTAACGGTTTTTTCCACCCCTACTTCCACGCTCTACGGTCCTGGACATGGAGCAACAACAAATTAACCTCAATTATTTGCACTGTGATAGTGTTATTCATAATACAACCAGGTCAAGTAAAAGATTAAAATCCCATGTGTTATGGTTGATTACAAAACAAATGTTAAACCATTAGCCTTGTGGCCAAGACCTCTAAAATCCAATTTATCTATCTGTTTTACAGATCTAGTATAAAATAGGCAATCAAATGAGAAAATTAGCTGCACGACCATCCCAGTTTCCATTTAACAAAATGGCCATGAAAATTTTTTTGATTTTTTTTTTTTTTTTGGTAAAAAATATGACGTGGCACACTTAAGTGTAATTAAAGCAGCAAAAAGGATTAGGGTGACAAGATTTAAACATTTGTGGGTAGAGTATAATAAAGTGAAGTTGATTTAAAATTTGAAAGGCAAAACACATTTTCTCAGCTTCTCTTTCAAACAGGATTCAAACACCTTTCTCTCTCGTTTTCTTCCAATTTTCTGCAATTTCTCAATTCTTTGCTTTTGCATTTTTGTCATTCCTTGCCATTCCCGATTAAGGTATAATGGTTGAGATCCTTAAAGAAACAGAAAAAACTCATCTACTCCCCAAATTGTAGGCACCACTAGGTCTACCGAAAATGGAGAAGAAGAAGTTGTGGTGGAGTAACTTCCGATGACTGAAGGCTCCACCAGGAGAGGAGACGGGTCGACGGAAGACATTCTATTGGCGGAACAAGGGAGGGCAAGAGTTGAAATTGAAACTGAAGAGGAGGACGCCAACGCAAATTCCAAGCATGGACATGATCGCTTAAAGATCTAAATGCATAAATGACCAAGAGTAAAAGCAAAGGATCGCTTAAGCGATCTTGGTAATGACAGAAGATCTAGTATAAGCGATTTTAGATTGCTTAAGCGATCGTGCATCTGTGAAGAGTGATTTGCCTCGGACATGATTGCTTAAGCGATTATAATCGTTTAAAGGACCAACGTTAAAAGCAAAGGACGCTTAAGCGATCATGCGTATGGGCACTTATTTATGTCTTGTTCATGATCGTTAAGTGATCGTAGATCGCTTAAGCGACCAACAGTAAAAGCGAAGAATCGCTTAAACGATCTTAATCTGGGCACTTATTATTGTCTGTTCATGATCGCTTAAGCGATCGTCGATCGTTAAGCAACCAATAGTAAAAGCGAAAATCGCTTAAGCGATACACTTAATCGCTAAGGATTGTGCGTCTAGGCATCAGTTATTTTATTCTGCCTAGATGCACAATCGCTTAAGCGATTACAGCGACTAAGGTTAAAAGCAAAGGATCGCTTAAGCGATCGTGGGTCTGGGCATTTATTGATTTTGTCTTGTTCGTGATTGCTTAAGCGACCAAGTGTAAAAGCATAGAATCGCTTAAGCGTTAACATAAATACAACCAAATATCTTAAGGACTAAGTCTAAATACACAAGATCGTTTAAGCGAGAAATGAAATCTCTTAAGGATCCAGTGTATTGGATTATTTTTATTGTATTTCACTAGATTGGTTAAGCGATTAACGCTATCTTAGACATATGAGGTGTACGATTCATCAGTGGACCATGACCATTTCATATTTAATTAAATTAGTTCTTTTACGCTATATTAAACATATTGGTATAGAATTTACATCTATAAAAACATATCGGTGTACGATTCGTTCAGTGGACCATGACCGTTATTATATTTAATTAAATTAATTCTTTTAGGCTATATTAAACATATATGGTGTAGAATGTTACGTCTATATAAACATATCAGATGTACGATTCGTTCAGTGGACCCTGACCGTTATTAATTATAATGAAATTAGTTCTTTTACGGCTATTTAACATATATGTGTAGAATGTTTACGTCTATATTAAACATATCAGGTGGTACGACGTTTAGTGGACACATGACCGTTATTATATTTTTAAATTAGTTCTTTTACGGCTATATTAAACATATATGGTGTAGAATGTTACATCTATATTAAAACATCAGGTGTACGATTTGCTCAATAGAACTATTTTAATTAAATTATTCTTTTACGGCTATATTAAAACATATGGTGTAGAATGTTTACATCTATATTAAACATATCAGGTATACGATTCGTTCAGTGGACCATGACCGTTATTATATTTAATTAAATTAGTTTTTTACGGCTATATTAAACATTATGGTGTAAATGTTTACGTTTGTATTAAACATATCAGGTGTACGATTATTCAGTGGATCATGACCGATATTATATTTAATTAATTAGTTCTTTTACGACATATAAACATAATATGTGTAGATGTTTATGTATATTAAATATATCAGTGTACGATTCATTCAGTGGACATGACCGATATTATATTTTAATTAAATAGTTCTTTTACAGCTATATTAAACATATATGGTGTAGAATGTTCAAGTCTATATTAAGCAATCAAATGTATGATCCGTTCAGTGGACCATGACGTTATTATATTTTAATTAAATTAGTTCTTTACGGCTATATTAAACATATCTGGTATGAATGTTTAGTCTATATTAAACATATCAGGTGTACGATTCGTCCAGTGGACCATGACCGTTATATATTTAATAAATTAGTTCTTTTACGGCTTATTAAACATATCAGGTATACGGTTTGTTCAGTGGACCATAACCGTTATTATACTTTAATTAAATTAGTTTTTTACGGCTATATTAAACATATCAGGTAACGGTTGTTCAGTGGACCATAACCGTTATTATTTAATTAAATTAGTTTTTTAGGTTATATTAAACATATATGGTGTAGAATGTTTACGTCTATATTAAACATACAAGTGTACGATTTGTCAGTGGACCATAACCGTTATTATATTTAATTAAAAGTTCTTTTACGCTATATTAAACATATATGGTGTAGAATGTTAAGTCTATATTAAACATATCAGGTGTACGATTCGTTCAGTGGACCATAACCGTTATATATTTAATTAAATTAGTTTTTTATGGCTATATTAAATATATATAGTGCAAAATGTTTACGTCTATATTAAAAATATCAGGTATACGATTCGTTCAGTGGACCAGACCATTATATTTTTAATTAAATTTCTATTTTCAGTATATTAAAAATATATGGTGTAGAAGTGTTAGTCTATATTAAACATATCGGGTGTACGATTCGTTCAGTGGACCATAGTCGTATATATATTTTAATTAATAATAGTTCTTTTACGACTATATTAAATATATATAGTGTAGAATGTTTACGTTATATTAAACATATCAGGTGTATGATTCGTTCTAGTGGACCATAACCGTTATTATATTTTAATTAAATTAGTTCTTTTATATCTATATTAAACATATGTCCATAAACATGGAAAATAAATATTGAAGTAAATTACCCTTAATCGCTTAAGCGATCCCGTTTATTTAGTCTTGGTCTACAGAGTGCATAGAAGATGGTTGCAGAGTTCAATTTTATATCAATTTTATATTTTTTTTATATTACTTTCTTGCCAAGAACTAACAAAAATAATAGAATAACAATAAATCTTTCAGTTTTATGTACGGTGTTGATCGACAAAAACCGAAGTGTTATTTTCACATTCTATTGAATTGAAAAAGATAATTAATAATAATAAATAATTAATAAAAAATGACTAAATATTAAATAAACATTACGGAATATAATTTCTTACTCAAACGTTCACAATATCAAAAGATTCGCTAAGCGATCGCTAATAAGTTATTAACTGATATATTAAGGGTTAGATAGATTTTAAAAAATATTTGCAGAATCGCTTAAGCGATCTGGTGTATCGCTTAAGCGATCTAATATAAATAAGCCTGATCGCTTAAGTGATCTACTGCCATATACCCGATCGCTTAAGCGATCTGCTGCCATATGCCAGACTTATACCACATCGCTTAAGCGATCTGCTGCTATATACCAGACTTATACCAGATCGCTTAAGCGATCCATTAACTCCAAAATACATTTTCAATCATCTTCACCTATAATCGGTGCTACCACCCCCAACCACGCACAATGCAAGAAAATCATCAACAAATCTCACTCCTTTTAACTTGCATTACATCAAACACAACCCAAGAACCTAAACCACTAAATCAAAATCATAACCCAAACCCAATCCATCATTAAATCTTTGTAAATAGAAATATAAAATGCAAAGAGGTGATATACATCCCTGGACGAAATGTTAGGAGTAGGAAGAGGCAGATCTTTGGCGAAGAAGATGTTAATGGCGGAGGAAGAATAAGGTGTTAATGGTGGAGGAAGAAGAAAGTGTTAATGGCGGAGGAAGAAGAAGATGTCCAGGAAAAAGAATATGTAGACGAAGAAGAAGATGCAGAAAAAAGAAGAAGATGTAGACAAAGCTTAGAAGAAACAACAACCAAGGGAATGATGCGTTAATGGCGAGAGGAAGAAGAAGAAGGTGTTTGGGTTTGTTTGCAAGATTTTTGACTCTTTGGAGACTTATTATAATTTTTAAAAGATTACATAATTATTCACTAATCCTAATTAACCCTCTAATTATGTTTAATTAAGTTTAATAAAAAGCAAGGCCATTTAGTTAAAATTTACTAACTCTATAGCCTTTTAGTTAAATTTTAAGTTAAAATGGTGTTTTAATAAAACGCCCCAAATCCAATCAAGTGGTGAAGAGTTGTCCAGCTCAAATTAACTGAATACACAACCGTGGCAGTGGTCGGGAAGCACCGCGTATTTCAGCCCGCCCTTTACAAGCAAAATACCAAATTTGAGGCGAACTGGGTAATGAAAATTGAAAAATTCAGCATCAGCTTCACCGCACCGCTGCCACTCTTGAATTGCTCATATGTTTGTTCAGCATTGGCCATGCCTCGAAGATAGCGACCATCAACTCTTAACCCTTGGTCGTATCCATTTACAGGATCTCTCGTTATCCACTAACACATTTAATTTAAAGCAAAACTCGAGGGTTAAATAAAAGCTTCAACAAACATGCTTTCTGCGTCATCATATTCATTTATACACAAAACTTACTTTATTCCATTCCGTATATCTTATAATTATACATATATAATAATCCTTATTCCTCTCAATCAAAAACGCAAACACCTCGTGGCTTCGGCAACGAACACCAACCACCCAAAAACATATTCTATATATACATCTATCTTACACTATATTAAACCTGATCCTTTTTTTTTATTTATAAAGCACCGTACGGAACTTGCTGAGGCAGCCGGAACCGGACCTGAGATGCCGGTGACCTCACCGCCACACCGTGCCAGCAAATGCCACCCTTGCATATCTCGTGGCTGTGCACGTGATGATCACGAGTAATTACATAGGTGGCTTTACGTGACACGTCCCACGTCAGCGTTCCAATCAAGATGGCACCCACTACCGTGGTTGATGCAATCAGCACAAAACCACTACTGAAGCTCCGTCCAGACACCAGTCCGTATGCCTTGATTCCTGCTATAACTGCTATGTAGATCGTCGTCAAATTCCCAATCACGGCATCAGATACTGCCATCTCTGTCACGCTCTTCCTCTCTTTGACTGTCTGTTTTGTTTGAAAAATGAGAAAACAAATTGGGCTATTTAAGGGGAATCAATTTAGCAGTGACATAAATGAGTATGTGCGATTGCAAATGCAAATCTAGAGGGATTAAATACTAAGTTGTATTGGGAATGTCGGGGTGGTGGGTTTCAGATTACGAAAATGGGATGGTTGGATTGCTCTGGTTTTATTGAGTTTATCTTCATTCTTGGCCTCTTGGGTGTTTCTTTTGAAGGGAAAGTAGAAGGTATCTATTATTTGTCATGCACCCGCCCATTTTTGACAGTCCAAAGAGCTAATGCCACGTGTACTAACTTTTTAAAACTCACAGACGTGGCTTTATCATTATCCCTTTGTTTATTACCCAAATATTTTTATGAGGACGCGACGTCGTTATGCACGCGTAAATTATTAATCTATTCTATGTATCTGCCACAGTTGTACAGTGATAGTAAGGCTAGAAAAAATATATGAGAATAGTACCCCCTGATGGACGTTGTGATTTCGGCCACGGAACATTTGTCTTGATTTGGTCTAAAGAATGAAATTGAGACGTGAACAAATCCCAAAAGACTTTAGCCGTTGCTTAAAGTCTCTTCCTGTTACTATAATAATGAGTTAACACAATAATGATTGTGATTTGAAATCATGGACTATTATCTTATATTTATCTTATGTTGTTAGTGCATAAGTTGACAGCATCATTTTAGCAATTGGTTTAAGGTTAAACATATAATCAAAACAATTTGCTGGGATGTCACTCTTCATTCAGGTAAAGAAAATTGGGTCTTCCTCGTCCTCGATAGGCTTTAAAGGCAACCAAGATTTAAATTTTAAAATCAAATCCAAATGGGGTTTTACAATTCATAGCATTTTGGCTAGTTTTCATTGATGTCGTGATCTCTGCGCTCCTGGATTTGTGTGAATATATATATATATATATATATATATTTTAACGTGCTCTTGTACCCATGTCCACGTTACATTTACAAACACGTTAAATTCAATGGATTTCAACCAGTAACTTTAATCAATAATTAAATTAATCACACTTGAAGCTACTACAGTATTTACCGGTTGAAGCACTGTTACTAGTCTTCCACTAAAGTCACATTGATTTTTCACAAAAGCTGCATGACTGACCAAATGGACTTTGACTGGAACAATTGCGCAAAAAGGACGTTCATCCCACCTACTACGAAATATCCACGAATTGGTTGGTTTTATTTATATGGCAATTGATGATTCACAAGGACTGCCCAGTCAATACGCCCAAAAATTTAAAATATCTATTCAGTTACGTATTTACAATTTTTATATCCTATCATATGATTTATTATACAAAGTGATGTTATTCATGATGTGGAGTGTTACACTTTCGGGCATCGGCCTCATTCTCAGCCCACTGACTGTCTAATTTAGAAGAATGGGTTCACAAAGAGTAAACCACACGTTCCCACCCAATGTTTATCGAAATGGCAAGTTCTTACCCTTGATTTCATAAATTCCAGATCCCCACCCTTAGGTTAACAGCGTTAATGATTTTTTGGTTTTGATAAAGTATAGAAAATGCTATTACCAAAAACAAATAAATTAATAAATTATTTTAAACTCCCTAATTAGTAGAATTAGAACAGTAATCTTTTACTTTGATACGATAAAACATGGGTATACGTTGGTGAGAGAGATAAGGTTTATTTGTTTGTTTGTTTCATTTTAGTTAATAATTGTAGAGCTCAGTCCTGGTCTTCAGGTGGCTCATTTTTATTTGCTTTCAGTTAGTATTGTTGTTATTTTCATGCCACGAATTTGCAACGTGGGTGTTTAAATATTTGTAAATTCTCGCTTATTTAAAGGGCGAAGAGCAGTGAATAAAAGGGGACAAGAAAATAACACCATGTTAAGTAATTGCTTAGGTGGTCGTGGTCTCCATTATCAGACCAAAGAAACTCAACTTCCATTGTTCTTTAGTCATTTGATTACTCTGATTTTCCAGCCACTAACCACAATAGGTAAATCCAAGGAGTACGTCCCAAGGTGTTATCAAAGCACAAGCATGGACCAGAGAGTGGAGCAACTAGAAAAGATGGTCCAGACCTTAACAGGAGGTCAACAAGCCATTCTTAATCAGTTAAATGAGTTCTCTGTGCAGTTGAATGCAAAGTTCGAACAAATGTATTTGCACAAAGAGGGAGAGTCCTCATCTGCCCAAGAAATTTCAGCAACGACTCACAGGAACAATAACAGCAATCACTCCTCAACAACATATGCACCAAAATTCATTAAATTGGATTTTCCCAAATTTAATGGCCAAGAAGATCCCACAAGCTGGTTATGTCGTGCAGAGCCATTCTTCATGTTCCATGACACCCCTATCAATGATCGAGTTTCGCTAGCTTATTTTCATTTGGAAGATGACGCACAACTATGGTACCAACTTCTCAAACAGGAGAAGCAGGTTGTCACTTGGGAAGAGTTTAAAGAAGGACTCCACTCAAGATATGGTCCAAATCAGTTTTTCAATTTTTTTCAGCGAGTTAGCAAAGTTACAACAACAAGGGATGGTTCAAGCGTATCAGAATCAATTTGAACGATTGTTGGCCAAGGTGGGTTCCCTTACGATTGAACGACAAGTCAGCTGCTTTGTAAGCGGACTCAAGGATTCTATCCGCACTGAGGTCTAAGCAAATCGGCCACAGACACTATCATCTACCATCAGTCTGGCGCATTTGTATGAGGCCAAACTTCTGACCCAATGAAAAACTCTTCCACCTAGCAAACTTGTTGGAACGGTATCACGTCCCCCAGCTATCACAACCCCCAATCCTCCAGTCAAGAAGTTAAATTGGGAGGAACTGAACGAGCGAAGAAGATTAGGCCTTTCTTTTTGATGGAATGAGCTGTTCGAGCCAGGACATCGGTGTAAGCGGCTATTTTCCATTCAGGTTATCCTTGATGATAGCGATGAAGATGTGGAGATGGAGACCGAGGAGCCTTCACCAACAGACACACTAGCCATATCTCTCCATGCTATGACTAGTTTCCCAAACCCACAAACCATGAGTAAAAGGACGAATCAACAATAGAGTTGCACTCATTTTGATTGACTTAGGAAGATCCCATAATTTTGTGAACAAAGATTTTGTAGATAGTGTAGGGTTACAATTGAACCATAAAGGAAAGTTTAATGCAATAGTGGCTTCAGGAGAAAGCTTGACAAGTTCAGGGAGGTGTGATCCAGTGCAAGTAATTTTACAAGATATTCCTCTCACTATTGACTTGTATGTGCTTCATTTAGAAGGCTATGATGTTGTTCTTGGCATCCAATGGTTACAAACCTTAGGGCTCATAACATGAGATTTTTCAAAGATGCGAATGAGATTTCGATATGAGGGAAGAGAGGTAATATTGCAAGGAGAGTTGCTTCCAGAAAACAAACTTTTCAACAGCCACCAAATTGAACAAGCCACACGAAAACAGCGACATGGGGTTCTCCTACACATGGTGGAGGCTACTCCTTAAGGAATTAAGAGCACCATCATTCTACCTGAGATTCGACAAGTGTTGCAAAGGCATCAAGTAGTTCTTAAAGAACCAATGGGACTTCCTCCCATCCGTGCACATGACCATCAAATTCCTTTGAAAGAAGGTTCTAATCCTATGTCAGTAAAGCCTACTGATACCTGCATTTCTAAAAGACAGAGATTGAAAAAGTTGTGACTGACTTGCTAAACACTGGAGCAATTCAACCAAGCAACAACTCATATTCATCTCAAGTAATCCTAGTAAAAAAACAAGATGGGTCATGGAGAATATGCATGGATTACAGGGTTTTAAATAAAATCACAATCAAGGACAAATTCCAGATACCAGTAATAGATGAGCTTCTTGATGAACTTCATGGGGCACAATTCTTCTCCAAATTGGATTTACAATCCGGTTATCATCAAATTCGAGTTTATCCGTCAGATATTGAAAAGACAACTTTTATAACACACCTGGGTTACTATGAATTTTTAGTGATGCCCTTCGGGTTGATCAATGCTCCATCAACATTCCAATCTCTCATGAATGAGGTATTTAAAGATTATCTTTGAAATTTTGTTCTTTTTTTGTTCTTTTTTTTTTTTTTTTTTTTTAATGATATTCTAATTTATAGCAAGAATTGGACTACTCATATTAAACATTTAGAAATTGTATTTTCCATTTTACAAAATCACCTATTGTTAGTAAAATTGGAAAAATGTCATTTTGGCCAACGAGAAGTTAAGTACCTTGGCCATATTATTTCTAATTGGGGAGTTGGTGTAGATCCAGAAAAAATTGAAGGGTGCGTTTGACTTATTGTTTTTATCCATATTCCCAATCCTATTTTTCAAATGTTGTTTGGCATGTTATTCCCAAAATATTAGTCTATTTTTTTAATTACGTTAAGACCCTATAAGTTTATTAATTTCATTAAATACCCCCCAAGAAAAAGTTTAAAAACTAACAAAAACACCCCCACCCACCAATACCTGCTAGATTTCGGCTACCACCGCCGGTGGTAGCCGGAATCTATCACAATAGTCACATAGCCACCGAAAATAGCCGGTAATGGCTAGATCTAGCCTTTTCCGTGACAGTCAATGATGGCCGTCGTTTCAGCCTTTTCTGGCCGTCGTAGGCACAGCAGTGCGTAGATCTGGCATTTTTCGGCCAGATCCGTGGTGGATCTAGCCGGAAAAGGCCATAACGACGCGTTACAGCACATATCCGACCGGTCTATGTCGTAACGAAATTTTTCGGCTAGTTTCCGATGGTGGTGGCCGGAATCTGGCACTGCAGGTGATGGAGTGTTTTTGTCATTTTATATATTAGGGTCTTTAATTAAATTAGTAAACCTAAGGGCTTTTTCATAAATTTTTAAAGTTTACCTCGTAATACTCCCCTATCTAACAACCCAATATTATCCCCAAAATCCTATCCAAAATAATAAACTAAACGCACCCGAAGCTATCTTAAATTGGCCCCTGCCGAAAACTATGAAGGCAATTAGAGGGTTCCTCGGCTTATGCGAGTACTACCATAAATTCATTAAAGATTTTGGTAGAATTGCAAGCCCCCTTACCAAAATGCTCAAGAAGAATAATTTCACTTGGACTATGGTGGCCGAAGAAGCTTTTGACACTCTCAAGAGGGCTATGACACAAGCTCTAGTTCTTGCACTTCCTGATTTCTCCAAGGAGTTCATCGTAGAATGCGACGCATTAGGATCTGGTGTTGGTGCAGTCTTGAGGCAAGAAAGGCCTATTGGCTTTTTCAGTAATGCCTTGCAAGGGAGACATCTTCTCCTCTCAACTTATGAGAAAAAGATCTTAGCTTTAGTCATGGCAATCCTAAAATGGAGACCCTACCTCCTTGGCAGACAATTTATTGTGCAAACTGACCATTAAAGTTTGAAACACTTATGGTCCCAAAAGATCACTACTTCTACTCAACAAAGATGGCTATTTAAGCTCATGGGCTTTGACTTTACCGTGGAGTATAAAAAAGGAAAAGAAAACATTGTGGCAGATGCGCTTTCCCGAAAGAAGGAAGAAACCAATAACCAAGACAGGGAAAATCATGCGATATTTCTAGCATTGTCTCAACCAATTTCTAATACTTCCAACCCCAAAACTCAAAATCTCATACGGTTGGTGTAAGAAGATGAGGTGATGGGACCTTGGCAAGTTCACAATGGCATCCTATTTTACAAGGAAAATATTTACTTAGATAAAGGCTTTGGGTTAATTAATTAGATCATCCAACAGTTTCATAATAGCACACATGAAGGTTTCTTAAAAACAGATCATCGAGTAAGAGCTAACTTTTATTTCAAGGGTTTAAGAGGAAAGGTTAGAAGATTTATTCAAGAGTGTGAGGTTTGTCAGCAAAACAAGGTAGAACAAACTTTGGCAGCAGGGCTTTTTCAACCGCTCCTAATTCCCACCAAAATTTGGGAGGACATTTCAATGGACCTCATTGACGGTTTGCCGAATTCAAATGGAAAAACTACTATTTTGGTAGTTGTTGATAAACTGTCGAAATTCGCTTACTTCATGGCTCTTACCCATCCTTACCCCGCCACTGGAGTTGCTCAATTTTTCTTCGACAATGTTTTTCGTTTACATGGGTTGCCTAAGACTATCGTATGTGATCGTGATCCAACATTCACCAACATGTTTTGGAAAGAACTGCTTAGGCTGAACAGAACTGCATTTAACTTCAGTTCGGTGTATCATCCCCAGACAGATGGCCAAACTGAAGTAGTCAATCGAACCTTGGAGATGTATCTTCATTGTTTCGCAAGTTCTCAGCCACGAAAATGGTATAAGTGGATGTCCTAGGCGGAGTTCTGTTACAACACCAGCTTTCATTTTACAATTGGAAGAACACCGTTTGAAGTAGTTTATGGAAGAGAAGCACCAAAGTTGTTGACATATGTTCCAAACACTGCTAAGGTTGCATCCGTGGAGCAACAACTCATTTAAAGAGATTCTATTGTGAGAGAAGCCAGGGACAAAATAGCTCAAGCTCAAAATAGGATGAAAAAAATTTATGACTCAAAGCATCGGGAGAGAGAATTTCAAGTTGGTGATTACGTGTATTTAAAGTTGCAAGCGTAAAGGCAATCTTTAGTCTCTCGACGACAGTCACACAAGCTAGCAGCTAGGTTTTAGGGTCCCTTCCAAGTCGTTCAACATATTGGTGCTATCGCTCACAAATTGGAGTTACCACTTGGAAGTCATATCCATCTATTTTCCAGGTATCTTTGTTGAAGAAACATTTGGGTGCTCAAGTAACAGTCCAGTAGCAACTACCCAACATTAGTGTCAAAGATCCTTTTCCTTATCCGCTGGCCATACTTGAGCGAAGAATGAAGGGAAAGACGTAGGAAGTTCTAGTCCATTGGGCTCGGTGTTCACCTTCAAAAACAACGTGGGAAGTCCTTGAGATCCTTCAGCAGCAGTATCCATGTCTCGCTTTTGAGGACATGAGCACTTTTTAAGCAGGAGGGAATGATATAATGGCACATGGGTATACGTTGGTGAGAGAGATAAGGTTTATTTGTTTGTTTGTTTCATTTCAGTTAATAATTATAGAGCTCAATCCTGGTCTTCAAGTGGCTCATTTTTAATTGCTTTTAGTTAGTATTGTTGCTATTTTCATGCCACAAATCTGCAACGTGGGTGTTTAAATAGTTTAAACATATGTAAATTCTTGCTTATTTAAAGGGCAAGGAGCAGTGAATAAAATGGGAGAAGAAAATAACACAATTTTAAGCAATTACTTAGGTGGTCGTGGTCTCCACTATTAGACCAAAGAAACTTAACTTCCCTTGTTCTTTAGCCATTTGATTACTTTGATTTTCCAACCACTAACCACAATAGGTAATCCAAGAGTATGTCCCATACTTTCAAATTTATTTCAATGAAACCTCTTCTTCAACCTTTGCATCATCCTCATCTATAGCCACCCAGCCACTGTCATTGCCATTGCCACCACCACCACCGTCACCCAACCACTATCAACATCCAGCCAAATTAGTAAATAGTTGTCACCAACCCTCAAAATAGAAACGATATATCTTTTTTGTTCTTTTTCTTTTTTAGTTTTTTTTTTCTTTCAATATTAAATCTTCTCTTCCGCATTTAGTCTATGCCTGCCTCACTACGACACTACCTGCTTCAACATCCTATAAACCAAAGAAAATCTCCATCAATTCATACAAATCATTGTAATACTTGGCAACCTGGACAATTAACTGAACTTGCTCACATGGATCCAAATCAACACAAAATCCCAACCCATCTAGCCTATTGCACCAGATCTTGCCAACTATAGCCCCCACCATCCCCAGCCCATCGCCTACCTTTAGTGGCTGCGCCGACCGCATCTTCCTGGTTTCCTTTGCATTTGCATCGCCAAACTTCAAGATCAGTCGATCTCATGAATGCATCACGACAAGTTCGCGGTGTCTTTCGGATTTTGGTGGTTGGTGTTGTCGTGACTTTGCTGTGTATTGCTGCTCGTAGTCATGCCCACCTGACTCTCGTCTTCTCTTTGTGTCGTTTGCTGCTCACCGGATGCCCACCTGATTGCTCCCCGACGTTGAGAGTGTTCTTTCGCTGGAGGATTAAAGACGAGAGTGATGTGGACAATAAACGATTTAATTACGGCTTCCGATTTGGCCAGATTGGGTTAGGGAGGGAAAGAGGTGCGCAGTTGCCGGTTAGGGAAAGAAATGGGAGGTTGTGGCAGAGGGAGTGAGAGAGAAGTGCCAGAAGAGATTAAGTAGTTTTAGAGGGAGGGTGTTTGGGAGAGAATTTTGAGATGTGGAGGGTTATTTTAAGATTTTTATTTTTGTTTCAAATTTAACATAGTTCAAATGACAATTTTACCCTTTAACTATTATATTAAAAGATTTTTTAATAATTTAAGGGTGGTTATTTGGAATTTATGAAACCAAGGGTGAAAACAATAATTTTGCTAAAGCTGGGGTGAGAACAGGTCGTTTACTCGGTTCACAAGCCTAAATTAACTCAACCTTGGCCCAGAGCAGACGAGTATGAACTACGGGTATCCTATTCCTGGGACCCAAACACTTCCGTGGAATTATCTAGAAATCTTGTATAGTTGAAATCTACACATTAAATAGAAAATAGATCAACTACATTCTGCCACGTTCACAAATAAATAATAGTCGTCAGATCAGCCATCTTGGCAAAGATCGGCCAATCAGATTGGTTAAGTTGACTCCGGTTCTTAGTCTTCTCGTGGGGCCGTCCAACACACTTAAATTCTCCACGTCGAGGAAACAAACTAGTCCAATTACATTACGCCACGTATCAATTAACAATTGTAAACCGTCGGATCATCCACGATGGCGTTTAACTCGGAATAGCGAAGTCGCTTCTACCACACTATATAATGAAGGGAATGCCGAAGGGGTTATTTAGAGAGATAGATTGTAACTGATTAAAGCTACTAAAACGAAAGCTGCGAGTGTACCATGAGGAGGTGGACAATCCCTTCCCTTTTGATTCTATTTTTCTTTATCGCTCTCATCCCAGATCAAGGTAAGCTAGTGTTTTTTTATGGATCTGGAAACTAATTTTGTGTTTAGGAACTTACTGAATTAATTTGGCATTGGATCTATGGTTGTTTAGGCCAAAAGTTCCAGGCGAAAGCAGAAGATGAATCTGATAAACTAGCGGATCCTCCAAAGGTGGAGGAAAAGCTAGGTGCTGTACCGAACGGTTTGTCGACAGATTCTGATGTAGTGAAGAGGTTGGTACTATATTTTGTGTTTTTGTGTGTGTGTGTTTCTTCTCGTTGCAATTCGTGGCATGCTACTAAAATGTATTTTTTGGTTTTGATTTTGGTATTAGGGAAGCGGAGTCGATCTCGAAGAGGTCGCTTCGTAATAATGCGGAGAAATTTGAGTTCCAGGCTGAGGTGTCTCGCCTCATGGACATTCTTATCAATTCTCTATACAGCAACAAAGATATTTTCCTTAGAGAGTTGATCTCCAATGCTTCTGATGTAAGTATGTCTTTCTATAATAAGTTTCTCAAATTTTGATGCATTTTCACTGAGATTTTAATGGAATTTTTTCTTTGAATTTCAGGCGCTGGACAAGATTAGATTCCTCTCCCTAACAGACAAAGAGGTTTTGGGTGAAGGAGACAACACTAAGCTTGAGATCCAGGTTTTTGTCGAATCAAACATAGCGATACTTACTACCTAGTTAGATTAAGTTAATCTTGTGTAGCTTTGAATAATACCTTCTAAATTTACAGTTATAGGCTAAGATACTTAGTGGATTTAGTATAATTGTAGAGACCTTATTTGATTTGTTTGATTCGTTTTGAAATACACAGATTAAGTTAGACAAAGAGAAGAAAATTCTCTCAATTCGTGACAGAGGTATTGGTATGACCAAGGAGGATTTAATCAAGAACTTGGGAACCATAGCGAAATCTGGAACTTCAGGTACATTTATTCGTGAACGCTAGATTTATTCGCTTGACAATATGGCATTACTGTTATAAAGCCCAGTGTTGAGCAATATTAAGTATAATTATTGCTTTTTTGTGCAGCATTTGTGGAGAAAGTGCAGTCTAGTGGAGACCTCAATCTTATTGGGCAGTTTGGTGTTGGCTTTTACTCTGTGTATCTTGTTGCTGACTATGTTGAAGTTATTAGCAAACATAATGATGACAAACAGTAAGCATTTTTGCACTGATTTGATATGTTAAATTTGATACTCCAAACTTTTGTTTTTGTCAAATGATGGTCTTGCAAATTGTTTGACCTTCAGGTACGTATGGGAATCAAAGGCTGATGGGGCATTTGCAATTTCTGAGGATACTTGGAATGAGCCAATTGGACGCGGAACTGAGATTAGATTACACCTTAGAGAGGAAGCTGGGGAGTACTTGGAGGAGTCCAAGTTGAAGGTGGGTATTTCATCAAATTTGACCTTTGTACATTTAACTTTCTCATTTACTCTTCTTTTTTTTAGTGGGTAGAAATGTTCATTGTCATCGAAGATTTAATGGAACCACGTTTTTATCTCCACGGGCTACAAACGTTTTTACTTTTCCTACTTGATATTAATGCATCTTTTTCCAATGGATATGCACCAAACGTTCTTATTTTTTGCCCTAGTTTCTGCTCACTGATTGGAAATTAGCACTAGCATGTTGACATGGATGACAGGAATTAAGGGTTATTGTTTCCCCATTGCATTTTGTTTTTCGTGATTAATTTGTTTTCTTTCTCTGCAGGATTTGGTGAAGAAATATTCTGAATTTATCAACTTCCCCATCTATATTTGGGCTAGCAAAGAGGTGGATGTGGAGGTTCCCTCAGATGAAGACGAGGAAGAGGAAAAAAGTACACACTTAAATCGCTAAGTTTTTGTTTTATTATATATATATATATTTGCTTTTGTGTTATGCTTATGTTACTCTATTGCTACAAACAGCTGAAACTAGCTCTTCAGAGGAAGAAGAGACTGAAAAAAGTGAAGATGAAGATGAAGATGAAAATTCTGAGAAAAAGCCAAAGACAAAGACCGTAAAGGAAACCACTTATGAGTGGGAGCTCCTGAATGATGTTAAGGCTATATGGCTGCGAAATCCAAAGGAAGTGACAGAGGAAGAATACACCAAATTCTATCAAACGTTAGCCAAGGTATTGTACATATTTTGTAACTGTGTGGTACTTGAGAATCATAGGATTTTGGAGAATTAAATTCTGAATTAGTTTGCCAAATTTTAATTCTACAGGATTTTAGTGATGAGAAACCTTTAGCATGGAGTCACTTTACTGCTGAAGGTGATGTAGAGTTTAAGGCTGTTTTGTTTGTGCCTCCAAAGGCACCTCAAGATCTGTATGAGAGTTATTACAACACCAACAAATCCAACTTGAAGTTGTATGTTAGACGAGTCTTCATCTCAGATGAATTTGATGAGCTTTTACCCAAATATCTGAGCTTTTTGAAGGTAAAACTAAGTCTCTGCTATGTTCCCTGGGATTGGTTCTCCAAAATTGAGATAAAAGTGGTTTAATTACTGGTTCTCAAATTGTGCAGGGACTCGTTGATTCTGATACACTGCCACTTAATGTATCACGAGAAATGCTTCAACAACACAACAGTTTGAAAACAATCAAGAAGAAACTCATTCGCAAGGCCCTTGATATGATCCGTAAAATCGCTGAGGAGGATCCTGATGAGTCCACTGACAAAGACAAGAAGGGTAAACTCTAATTTGTTTAAAGCTTTTTCCTATATAACATGGGGTTATCCTTTTGTTGTTTCCTTGTGCATTATATCAAAACTAAGTGTCAGCCATACCTATTGCCAAGTCAAATTGCATTAATTTAATTTTCGTGAGCAGGCTGGGCTTTCTGGTTAAATCTTTATGACTATCTAAAGCAAAACAAACTGCCTTTTTTCTGTTCTATGATTTATGTTTTGCTGTTATATGGTATCAGTTAAAATGGTTACTGGAAATTGTGCTGATGTTTAATCTTGATGGTGACGCAGATGTTGAAAAATCCAGTGATGATGATGAGAAGAAGGGTCAATATACAAAATTCTGGAATGAGTTTGGCAAATCCATCAAACTTGGTATCATTGAGGACGCAGCTAATAGGAATCGACTGGCCAAACTCCTCAGATTTGAGAGGTATTTGTTTTTATTTATGAGTTTATCATCATACATTACTGTCCAAGGCAGCATGCTGTTTTTGAATCTAAGATCCTGTTGTCAGAGAGATCAATCATGGAATTTGTACTTCCTTGCAGCACAAAGTCGGATGGCAAGTTGACTTCACTGGACCAATACATTTCAAGAATGAAATCCGGGCAGAAGGATATCTTTTACATAACGGGCACCAACAAGGAACAGTTGGAAAAATCTCCATTCCTTGAGGGGCTTAAGAAGAAGAATTATGAGGTATGGGAATGATTTGGTTGCTCCTGAAATGTTTTATGTACCTTTCTTGTTGCTTTATTTATTTATTTATTTATTTTATTTATATTTGACTATTCGTTTGCATTGTTGCCAGGTTATTTTCTTCACAGATCCAGTTGATGAATACCTGATGCAATACCTAATGGATTACGAAGACAAAAAATTCCAGAATGTATCCAAAGAGGGTCTTAAACTTGGGAAAGACTCCAAGGATAAGGAACTTAAGGAGTCATTCAAGGAACTCACCAAGTGGTGGAAGGGTACTCTTGCCAGCGAGAATGTTGATGATGTGAAGATAAGCAACCGTTTGGCTGACACACCCTGTGTGGTTGTGACATCAAAGTATGGATGGAGTGCAAATATGGAGAGGATTATGCAGTCTCAGACTCTATCTGATGCTAGCAAGCAAGCATATATGCGGGGCAAGAGGGTGCTTGAGATCAATCCAAGGCACCCAATTATCAAAGAGCTTCGGGAGAGAGTTGTGAAGAGCGCTGAGGTATTTTTCATAAAATTTTTCGCATTTTCTTAATGACACTTATATTTGCACTTCACTTGGATGAATATTCCTTGCTGTGCTAGGTTGATTAATTGTTTTTGAAAAGTATTTAGTTGCAAGATTTCTTGAATTTCTGTTCTTAGCACTGATTGGGCTTTTTTTTTCAGGATGAGAGTGTGAAACAAACAGCTCATCTCATCTACCAGACGGCACTCATGGAGAGTGGCTTCTTGCTCAGTGATCCGAAAGATTTTGCCTCCCGAATTTACAGCTCAGTGAAGTCTAGCCTTAACATTAGTCCTGAAGCGGGAGTTGAGGAGGAAGATGATGTTGAGGAGGTGGAGATTGAGACAGAGACAAAAGAAGATTCAACTAGTTCCAACAGCCAAGGCGAAGGTGCTAAAGATGATGTGGATACAGAGCCTTCAGCTGTCAAGGATGAGTTGTAGATTGCCTGAAGCATGGGCAACATTCCAGTTTCTTTAGAGAACCCAAAAGCACTGCAACATGCATTTTAAGTTTTCTAAACTTTGGTTAAATTAAACTCGAGATCGTAGATTAAATATGTAAACATAAACAGCAGGAATTTTGTTTTTTTAACGTCTTATTAATGATGAGTTGCGTAACTTCTGATGTTTGTATTTTTGCTTTTGGGGCCACAATTGGTTTTGTTGCCCTATGTTAAGTGGTAATGGGCATATCAATCCAGTTGTCAAAATCTATCACCTAATTGATTTGAAAGGTTTTCAATAGCCTTCTAAACTGTTATAGCTTATTTACCAGGCCCACTGTTATAGCTTTTGACTCCGATCCTTAAAAGGTGCCAAAAGAAGATCGGGTCTTTTGGGGTCTTCCCAGTGATGGTAATATATTTCACTTTTTTTCCCTCTCTTTGCAGAGTCTGTGACTGAATAAAAATCCATTATGTATTGTTCCTTAGTGTCATGAAGGGGCCAAATTATTCTTCTTATTCTTTTAGTTAATAAAATATATAGCCTTTCATGCTCCATTGAAGGTAGGAGAGAATGTAGCTTCAAGCTGCGAATACATAGTAGGATTCTCGCACTTTCTAGGTAGCCCAAAATACATAGATTTCCAAATCCATGTTCTTTATAATTGTAGGCAACTGTCTTTTCCTGAAACTGTACCATTTCACTCTTGGTCAATCATTGAATTTCGATCCTTCAATTTTTGAGCTATATAATGACAAATACCCAATGAAGTCCAGTTTTTGCATAGAATGTTGCTTCTGATAAAAGGTTTCCTCAGCTATTGTTTAACCTGACGTTCGGTTTAATTCAGGAGAAAAAATCCTTTTGCTTAAAATTATTACTCTGCGGAGGGTCATGTGATGTGAGTATTGGTTTACGTATTGCCTTGTATAAGTGAAAATAAATATTATAATTTGCTTAAACCTAAGTCAAAGAATTAAAGAATTGATGAAGATATGGGCATTCCTTGGTAGAAATTGCAGGCGAAATCAGAAGACTACCATGCTTGCATTTGCAGCAAAGTGGGCATAGTCATCACCAACCAAATTACTCAAATTCATAGTTAAGCAAACACTTTTTCAAATGCCTTATAAATCAATTAAAATAAAGACATTTCATCTCCAAAAGCTCTTCCTTTCTTTCTATTAATTAAAACTACAAATTAACAATAAATGAAGCAAGTATATATATGCGTTATTATATTTTTGAAATAATAAACTATACATGGGAATGGGATGGCCTAGAAAAATTGGGTTTCCGATCTGGACTTGGTTAGCTCAAATTAAAGAACCCAATTAAGTTGCTGCTGTATGTGCTTAGTGAGCTACAAATAAAGGATAGGAGGTCAAGATGAAGTAGACTGCAGAAGCAAATGATGTCCATAGCAAAGATGAAGAAGAAACCGTCCTAGACGAGTCTCCGGTAACAAAATTTGGTAACCATGAACCATTATTGCCTACAGTTGGCACATCACTTGACCCGGTAACAGATCCATTTATTGCGTTTGTTGTTGGGGACGAATCTCTTGCTGATTTTTGACTGCATAAAATACATAATTATTTAATGGCTTGTGGCTTACGAGAGAAATAGTATCAATTCTATTGTGGGCTGTGGCTTACCTTGAGACTGAAGGGCAGAATGTGATGGTATAATCAGCTCCCATACACGTAAATGTACTAGTAGCATCATCATAAGCGTAACTATACGATCTTGGACACGCCGCTTTAAACATCTCTGAATAAACAGACGGCTTACAGGTGGCAGGTGTACCATACGCTCCACTACAGCAATATTCAGGATTCCCAAACGCTTCACATGCACTCTTACAGCCATCACCCGATTCCACCCGCAACTCAGCCGGGCACCGCTGGTTCAAATCAACTATGCACCCGGTCGCCAAGCAATTCCCTGTCCCACCGCTTGGTTCAACAATCATTGGTAAATTGTAGCCATCAACCAAACTCACGTCATAAAAGTCCTGGGTACCCGACCCCGACCCAGTTGTAAACTCGGCTAAAGAAGCCGGTGGGCTTGCACTTAAACCATTGCATTCTATTTGGTTTGACCCACAGTCACCGGTTTTGCAGGTCCCTTGACCTGTAGTGGGGTCGAATGTACAACCGGTTCGGCCCCAGAATCTTCCGGACCAGGTTGGTGGAACTTGAAAGGAGCGGGAAGTGCCAGGATTGAGCTCAAAGCCGGTGCTGTCTAATTTTGCATTGCCAAGAATGCCTGGCCACACTGTGTAGCTACATTTATTAACGAGTGTGAATGTAGAACCTGATATTCCTGTACAAAAGATAAATTAAAAACTCCATTATATCAATGAGGAATTAATGCATGGTAAAGATAAAGAAGCATGAATGAAAATATATTAGACAATTACCTCTGCAGAATATAAGCAAAATGAGAGTGATGTACAAAGGCGAAGGAGAACGAGAGAAGAGTTGATCCATTATTTTGGATATAAAAGGGCGCCTATTTGTAACGATACTGTTGAGTTTTAATGTTCTTCTATTCTATTGAAATTGAGGCTGCATTGCCCTTTTAAGAACAAAGGTAAAATTCTTGACTTGATAGAGATGGAAGTGAGAGAAGAGGAAGGAGAAACGATTGAGGTTCGCCACCCATAAACATATACTTTCACACCAGAGGACTTGGGGGAGAGGATTTGATTCTAATCCTCTACAACATTATATATAATATGAAGAGCTTGGTAATTAAAAAATATATGATGAAAAAAGTGAGGGTGAGCCTCGTAATACAGTAGGGATAGTCAAAGCAGGGATTGGGACGTGAGTAAAAAATATATATTCTTAAATAAAGGTACCACTAGGGCACCCACCTTAATTGAATTTTTACCTAAATATTATTGAAAACTGAATGCGTTAAGCACAAGTATTATCAGAGGATAAGAGTCCTTAATTAAAAAAAGCAATTGTGATGGAATAATAAGAAACACAATAAAAGGAAATAAGACTTAAATTAACGTAGAAAAAGAGGAAATTCAACAGTATATTAATTATGTAAATGCGAGAAAATCTTAAAAAGAATGAGGAAACTACTAAATAATTTCAACAAAACAGGCAGGCATCCCTTGATCCCACTATAAAAATATTCCATAATCCATAACGTAGAATTTGAGACCAATTAAAAACCTGGTTTCTAAGTTGGCATTAATTAATATTGAGTCGCCATAATAGTGTAATTGAAGATTCTTCTTTTGAATGATCGGATCATTACTTAAACCATCTAAATGTCTAAGAATCTCATACTTTTTGATGACTACAACGGTGGAATTGGATTCCTAATTATAACTTTCATTAGTCAAAATAATCCTATTTTAAATCACATTATTTCATGATTTGGATCACGTAATTCACCCTCTTTACATTACAATAACTGTGTATACGTGTTGGTTTTTTATTTGGTGAGAGTTTAATTATACAGAGAAAATCAAGGATCCATTTTAAATGGTACATAGATTAGATGGAGAGGGAGGTTGGTGGGTCGGTGATAGCATATTATCAGCATCAGAGACTGCTGCATATTAATGACTAGGTAACGTAATAAAGGTTTAATTGAATGTGATAATGCAACAACCTTTTTGTTATCCTGAATCTGATTATGTAGATGGTATTTGACAATATGTCAATCATGTTTGTTTATCTAATTGTTGATAATGATATGTAATTATCCAATCTTAAACAGAGGGATATACATAACATTAAAGAGAAGAAGAAGAAGAAGAAGAAGATTAGACATGGGGATGGGGATGGGGGTGGAACCTTTAAAGCTGAAAAAGAAAAGGTAGGAACCGACTTTGCTTTAGAGCTTACCCAAAGAGATGCTTATGCTATTGCTCTTCCACCTCACTCTTAACATGCTGCCGTGGAAGCCACTTGATTTGTGGGTCCTTATTACACACCATCTTCTAATTCTTTCTCCTCTCTTAATAATCGTACTCATACATAAACATCAGCCATCCCTCCACTTTATTGTTATTCTTGTATATATGTATATATATATTAATAAAAACTATAGAATAAAACTTGTCAGGATGGCCGAGTGGTCTAAGGCGCCAGACTCAAGTTCTGGTCTTCGAAAGAGGGCGTGGGTTCAAATCCCACTTCTGACATTTGTATTTTTTTTGTTTTGTTTTGGCCAACTAAAATGTATTTAATTTCTTTTTTCAATTTTTTGTTAGCCCAACTAATATGTAATTAATGGAAGGAGGACAAAAGTTCCCTGATCAAAGTTGATGGGGATCTGGTTTGATAATTAGAAAGCATGTTGCACACATGATGGTGTTGTGCAAAAGCGAAAAATACCTGCGTTTGCAATGTGGGAAAGTCTAAGTCTTTTCATGTGCTAATCACATTGTATCATTCAAAACTTTCCATCGTCATTCATGGATGGGCGTCTCTGCTTTATATTTTACACGAATCACTTGATAACGTGCAACACACTATAATCAAATTATCATAATACACGAAAAAGTAGAAAACTGACAATTACATAACTCCAAACTCTATGTTTTGTATATGTAATCAGATACTGACTATATTATATATCTTAATGATTATATATAGCAAAGTTTTCAGCCATTAACTTAAAATAATGCAGCATCTTCTTCATTGTCAAACAATTTATTATTGGAAACAGACAAATTAAGGGAATTATTAGCAGACTACTAACTAAGAAAGATTTCTCAGGATTACATTAATTGTTTGTGACTCAAAAACTTTTAGAAGTGGAACGTCTACACTGCCTGTTGAAAAGTAATGTTAAATAATTAATTATTTGCATGAAAAAGGGTTCATGCATAGTCCCTTAATTTGCATTCAGGTAGAGAATTCAACAATAATCCCCTTAATTTAGTAGCCCACTAAGAGTCTTGCCTGTTTATACTACACTTAAAAAGTCGGCAAAATAATTGCAAAAGGCATTTAGTGATACACTGAATCCATCGTATATATTACATGCATTTTGGATTCTTCACTTTTCTTCTTCCATTATCAATAGCAGCAAGATCCTTTGTATTTCAGGCACTCAGATGAAAATTATAAATATGTTAGTGTAATGGTGGCTCGTACAGGTTGATGGTTCATTGAATTCACAGTGCATTAGCCTTTAAGTTATCTCTTTAGCATAATCAAGATGATGTATATGTATCCATAACAATGTGCGCCTGAGAATTAAAAAGCTAAATGGGGTCAACTTATCTAGTCTAGGAGAAAGTAGACAAACGATTATACGTATACTTCTTTCAAAATCTGAGACTGTCCTTTGACATGTTATCTGTCGTGTAAAGTACCAGTCGGATAACTGTTGCTGTTATTTATGTTTTTCCTCACTTTCTTTTCTCCTTTCTCTCTCTTTGCTGATGAAGATTTGCGTCATTTATAACTGTCTTTGATTTGATAACCTATAAAGGAAGGGCTGCTTTTCTCCTTTGTTTGCCAACTTTATATTAATTATCTGCATGTAGCCATACTTTGACTTGTATGTTAAATGTTAGCTCAGTGATATATTAATTGTAATGGATATATATCCATAGCAGTTCGAAGAAGAATTGATACTGGGCCATACAAATATATTATGTTTCAGAAATGGGAACCATGCAATTAAACTTTTGGGGCCAATTCACCTAAACCTCACGATTCATGATTTAAAATTCATATTATAAGTTGATCAAAGTAGACTTATACTTAATAGATAGAAAGATAGGACACTACAGACATGCTTTTGGATAGGAGGTTATGAAAAATCTCAGAATTGGATAAACCTTACTTTGTTACATCAACATATATGCACGAGGCCTCAGTAAAAGCAAAGCGGAAAAGAGGTAAAAAAGAACAGCAATTTTGACGTGGATGCAAATACTGCCACCAAAGCAAAGGGTACTTGTAGAAAGTTTTGAGTAATTTTTGACATTTTGATTCGCTATTGCAAATTCATCTTTATTTAATTTTCAAAATACATATGACTGGAAATAGCAACTAGCATCTACCTTCAAAGCTAAGATTTTGCTGCTTTATATATGAATTTATTGGGAAAAAACGATGGGAAAGCCAGAAAAAATATAGAATATCACTTACGGAAAAAGTTAACTGCATGTGTAAACTGTTTTCTTTTATACGACTTATTTCTGCAGTTAAGCAGCTTGATTATAAAAGAGAGTCCCAAATACATAAATTATAAATGATTGGTTTCTCTTTCTCTTTTTCTTTGTGGGGTGAGGGTGAGGGTGAGGGCCTCATTTGAATATTATTGTTTTCTTTGTGGGATTTTCTTAAGATTTGTTCAGGTGAGTCAAAAGAGGCAGCACTTCTGTTTCAAGATTTCACAAGACTAATTAATATATAATAATACTAAGAGGTGTTTGGTGCTGATTAATTAACCAGTCAAATGTACACCTTATCTATTACTATTAGCCAATTACGAATTTAAAATCTACGTGTATATATATAGTTATAGCATCGTTTTCTCATGGTCTAAAACGTTTATTATATATATATGGCTTGCTTTGCTTGACCAGAATTAATATCTCTCTACTGTGTTTGACAAGAGAGCAGCACTACCTTCGTTCTTCAAGCAATAAGTTTGACAATGTTTTATAACAAGGCCAGTGATAATGTTTCCATGAAATTGAAACATAATGGAATTGCAGAAAGGTTCATGCTGCATGCATCCTGCATGAAAGATGTTTGTCCTTTCAGACGCAGACGAGAAAAAAAAAGGGGTTTGGTGTAAATCGTATAGAAGTAGGTCAATAGACGCAAAAGAAAACGAACTTGGTTGTAAAAGCAAAATTTGGCCATGTTATTTGTCTGTTTAGACTTTAGACGGTTTACTTCTTTCAACAACAATATTCTGTGTGCTGAAGATATAAATTTAAGTAATTATGTTAGACCCCTTCCAACATTAACAACGGTACTTCGGGGCTAGGACTTTCTCTCGAAGTTGATTCATTAATCATCCGTGCATGTTGACTGTTTTTACCTGTTCCTGGGTTTTGCGGCGGCTACAATACTGATTTTTTTTAACGAAAATTCAAACCAAAGGGAATGAGTTGAACATTGGGCAGCATGTTGGGGTAATTAAAGAGTTGGCAAGTCATAATCGTTACCAAATATTCATAAATTAATGGGAAACACATGTTAACAATTGGGAAGGACTGTTGTGTCATGTGTGCCTAATTTCTGGGCCACCCCTACACAGCTAAGCAAAATAGAGACGCATCATCTGTCGCGGTCGTACACATAATTCTCAAACTGGTGTAAAGCATGCACCATTCTGCATTCATTCTCAACTTAGAGCCGTGGATAAGCAAGCAACTACGCCCACATGGCCACATGACGATAATAAATTTGCAATGCATCCCAGAAATCGGATAATATTCAATTCAGCGTGAACGTGCTTATGCTTACTGATGTTAACATGTTATGGCCACTTTCTGGTGAGTTTCAGTGTTGAGTTATAGTTGTGAAACGAGTCATTTAGCAACAGGGATTTTTAACCCAATGCCGACGAAGAGATCTAGGGATTAATAATTTTTAATTTATTGTTTGTGAGATGAGAGAATGCTGGATCAAGGGCAACAATGCATGCGCCTACGAATAGACATCCCAACAACAAGTTTTACTAATCAATTAATATTGCTTAAGCTACTTTGTTTAATGGGAATCCGAGGCTGGAAATTCTTATTTAAGATTTTGATTGTCTCCTATTAATTTCATTTTAAATTTACCATATTCAAGTTGAGATATGGCAGCATGCTCAAACTTTGATCCTTCTAATTAATGAAAGACTTAAAGGCAGGCAGTTTTCCCAGAGAAATGGGGCAAAAGAACACAGTAGGGACCACGAGGCGGCTGATGAAAAGGGATCAAGGTTGGCTTCTAAACTGATGATGGTGATACCTTAGCCGGAAACAGTAAAATTGAACTTGAATTGCATGCCTACTTCCCAACATTACATTCTCCATTTAATCCTTTACATAAAAGTAAGTTCACATATACTGGAAACAGAGTATGATTATCCATATAGGGGAATTGAAGAAACGTCTTCATCACAGACACAGAGTCGATTAAACTTGTGATAAAAAGGTGAATGCAAATTGCAAAATTCTCCACTTGTTGCACAACTAGCTGGATATTGCTCATTACCTTCCACTTGATAATATATATTATATTATCCATTCTCTAATTTCTGCTTCTATGATGAATGAATACAACATGGTGATGGTGCGGAATTAAGACAGCCAACATGAAGACAAAAACTTTTGATAAGATTTTTTTTAATTTTATTTGGCATCAATGCGGTGGTTACATATAATAATTCAATACATTCTAGGAGCCAACAACAAATGAATCCCATTCCCTCTCTCCTATAATAAATATATTTAATCCTATTTTCTAAAACTACTGACAGCCTACCCTAATTCCTGCATTGTCAACATACAAATGTCAAGTAGTTGTAGTAGGCTTCAATCACCGGCTAAGCTTTTTCCATCATGTGTCATTTCCGCGTCACCACGGGGACCCAATACCTTTGCTGACATGGGCCTTGCCTCTGTTTTGGGCCAAAGTTTTTGTTTGTATACATACCCTGACCCTATTCAATTAAAAAGTGAGCGTTAGTAGAGTTGCCACAGTGATGCTTATAATGACCGAAATGCCATGTGATCCCAACACGTGTCTACACGTGGAGGGAGATGCGTCGCTTTGATCCAAAGCACCTTCGTACACCATTGTGCTGTTGACGAGTGCTGAGTTGTTTGTCGTAGTACTAGTGTCAGTGTTTTTACCACCCTCAGAGGATTTCTGGCTGCAATGAGAAACAAAAACAAAAACTATCCGTTAGGACTATGCTTATAAAAAACAGAAACTAACCGTTAACGTGTCCCCTCCTGATTGTATCCCATAACTGCCCTTTACTTTAGTCATCGATTGGCGAGTAAGTTTAGGTTACCAATTTTACATTAATCTAATATTAAATTGACTAAATTACCCACCCTTCTAAACACCTTTAACGTTATATTCAAGTGTCATAAATTTCATGCAGATTTTCAACGCAAGACTATTTTTGTGATAAGAATTTTTGACAAGGTTAGTTCTTGAATGTAAAAAAAATATTTTGTTGATTTTTAATAAAGTGACGTTATAAAGCACATGGGTCATCCGGAAAATGTGCCCATGGATATATGGATTGTTCTTTTCATGTCGGCATTGGGCGTCGGAAATCAAATAAATATCTCCTCTTGCCGCAACATTAAAAGCTGAGCCCACTACTTAACGTCCATATTTACGGCTTTCGTTAAACTTTTCTTTATAGACAAGACTACCCTTTTAACGTAAAAGTAGAATTACCTGGTGTTAGGTGTGGGACAGAAGGTAATAGTGTAGTCGGGTCCAGATGCGCATGTAAAGGTGCTGGTTTTGTCGTCGTAGGCATAGCTGTATGCATGTGGGCACGCGTTCTTGAAGATCTGAGAGTAAGAAGATGGCTTGCAAGTGTCCGGCGTACTATACGCACCATTGCAACAGTATTGTGGCTGTTGAAATGCTTCACACGCGCTCTTACAAGCTACGCCGTCTTTTCCATCCTCACTCATAACTTTAAGCTCTGACGGGCACGCGCCGTTCAAGTCCACCACACATCCCGTGGTTGAACAATTCTGACCACTACCTCCCTGAGGAACGACGAGCATTGGAAGGTTGTAGCCATCGACCAAACTAACATCGTAGTAATCAAGACCGCCATAACCATCAAGCTTGAATTCAGCTAGCGTGGCAGGTGGAGCAGCGCCACTTCCGGAGCATTCAACCTTGTTAGAGCCGCAATCACCTGTAACGCATGAGAATTTACCAGTGGAGTCTTCGGAGCAAAGAGTTCGACCCCACATGCGGCCGCCCCATGAAGTCGGCGCGGTTATAGTTTTGGACTCACCCTTTTGGAGGGCGAAACCGGTGGTGGAGAGTGCTGGTGCGTCTGCGTTTGAAAGAATGCCTGGCCATACTGTGTAGTCACATTTATTAATCATGATGAAGGTTGTGGACATAACCCCATTAATCAATAATTGAGAAATGAAAACAGGTAATAAAAGAGAGATTATTGATGTTAGTTGAGGCGCCATTGAAGTTAGCTGTTTATGAATAATAATAAAAAAAAAAAAAATGAAGAATGAAAAGGGAAAAAGAAGAAGAAGTGGTGAGTTCGATACGAGAACCAAATTCCCACCGTTGAACTTCTTCTTCTTTGAGAGAAACGAGAGCGAAGAGGGAGAGGTCAGAGGTGGATGAGATTCCAAAATGACAACACAGAGTCGGTATTTCCCGTTATTTATAAGCAAAACTGGGAGGACCCACTAAAAAGTTACGTTGAGAAAATGACTAAAAAAAGGGCGTCCTGCATTTGCATTTTGTGTTCGGAAATTTAACGGTAGTAAGTTGAAGATTTTCAACTTCAGATATTTTATACATCATATGCCATCACCTTCCCTTGTAGCAATTGATAGAATCCATTAACGGGTAGTAAGTTAAAATTTTAAGCTTCAGATATTTATATATCATATTCCATCACCCTCCCCTGTATTCTTGATTACATAACAATAGATTGAAAAACATTTATGAACAACAACAACAACAGAATGTCATAATTCTTAATCAGCAACTAACGTTAACCACCAAGTATAAGACTCCATTGAAATCTAATTTTAAATTCTAACGTCTTTAACTCATGATCTTTATTTTACAAATTTTCATTGGACTTAATAAAAATGGCTTCTGCGTGTTTCAGTTGAGTGCGTGCAAAGATTTGCTGCTTATATTTACTCCAAATTTCTTAAGTTCACATCAGAATTAATAATTTAAATGCCATACTGTTCCGTTTAGTTCAAGAAACCAACTGGACCTCACTCTCATCTGAAATGAAGAAATTCTGGGGATTATTGAATGCCAATAATAGTGTTATAAATCATTAAGGCTTATTATATTTAAATACCCGTAAAAAAAATGAATTGAAATGTTCAAAATATGAAAGAAAATAAGCAAAAGATTATGAAATGGAATTACTCTAACGTATAGTTGATTTCCAATCTATATCAGTTAGTTGATGTTGAAAGGTGAACCTACTTTGGTGGAGGAAATGATGGTCACAGTAGAAGAGTTGGTTGAAGACAAAGAGGAAAGAAGCAGAGTCACCAGGTCGTTGCAGCGATTACAATAGCCACAATGATAGAAATAGTCGCTGTAACCAGCCTGAATGTGAAGAAACAATTACAGCCGCGACGATGAAAATGATGGCCGCGACAAGCGTCCTAGATTCAAGTTTTAAAGTTTATGTTAATTTCATGTTTTAAGTAATTTTGTTTTATGATAACTTCTATGTTTTGCAAGATTTGCTACTTTAATCAAAGTCTTGTTTTAGGAATAAGAGTTTCAAAATATGTATTTTCCTTTTGTTAAGTTTAAGTTGAATTAAGAAGTAGTTTTTTATTGGAAGTTTCTTACCATAAGAGATGTGAAGTTTTCAATGTATTTTGAGTAATTCAGATTAATAAAAAGAAGTTTAGCTTTCTTTTTGTAAGCTCATCACGTTTTTGGACTTTGCAAGTTTGATTTGTTACTCCCAATTTCCAACAATTGACAAGTGAAAATGGCAACCACAGTTGATAAAATAGAATAAATTAAGGTAAAGTGCTGGAGGCGGCTTCTGTTATTGTCATAGAGTCTTATTTGGTTTGTATTTTGGCCATATAAAATTAAATTAATACACGTTCGGTCAACTTCGTAGTGCAAGTTCTTGGTGTGGTTTTGACCAAGTGTTGAATTGAGCAATATCCAAAATGGTGATTAGCCAACAATTTGACACGCAGCATGGAATTTTAAGAGATAGTTAAAAGTTAGCTTCAACTTCCAACGGTTGAGACAATCCGNGCAGCTTCTGTTATTGTCATAGAGTCTTATTTGGTTTGTATTTTGGCCATATAAAATTAAATTAATACACGTTTGGTCAACTTCGTAGTGCAAGTTCTTGGTGTGGTTCTGACCAAGTGTTGAATTAAGCAATACCCAAAATGGTGATTAGCCAACAATTTGACACACACCATGGAATTTAAAGAGATAGTTAAAGGTTAGCTTCAACTTCCAACGGTTGAGACAATCCGAGGTATTGGTTGAACAGCCTTCACCTTTAGTTTTGTTGTGCCTAAAAAATCCCACTTATGTCAACACCAACTAATCAAAGTTTAAGAAGGTTTTGTATCGTCCAGAAGCTATCACATCACCCTAAGACAAAAAAGATAAGACCGTCACCAACCTAGCAGATTCAAGTTTTGTCTATAAGTGGATGATGACCGTACACTTGTTCCAACTTTATTAAAATAAAGTGATAAGGATCAAGGAGTGGTCCCACGTGTTATGACAACTTGCAGAAGCACTCATTAATTTGACTTAAAAAGTGTATAAATGACCACTTCTCTTTACGAAAAGAATGGGGTTTTGGGACATATGAGAGCTAGGTCTAGATTTGAGCTTCATTATTTCTCTCTGTAAACAAAATATTTCTTCATCTTTGTATGCCTTACGAACAATATCATAAAAATAGTCAAAGAATAATAAAATAACAATAGATGTAGGATTTGCTTTAAACATCCGAATCACTATAAAAATCTCTCTTGTCAGTTTATTATTTATGTTTCTGTAACATATATATCTCAGTACCATATTTAGATCTCATGGATTGATCACGTGTAATTTCTAAGATTCTCATAACACTTTACATGTGTGAGTCGTTAGTGTCTAAAATCAAATCATCAAGAAGTTTCAATCACAGTTTCTAACAACGAAAATAGTCTTACCGAAAACAGCTGCTTTCTTCTTCTTGATTACACGAAAGATCTCCCATTTAATGAAATGTTGGATATTTTCATACAATATGTCCACTTGCATGTGTTAAATTAATTTCATTCCCGGGAGATTTTAACTTGAAAATGAATTATCTGGGTTTGAATGTGTCAAGTAGCCACCACCTTGGACTGAGCTTGGCTACCTTAGCACGCCAACCAAGACAAAACTGCAGCCTGGGAATCCATCTGTAAATGTTCATATTATTGGCCGCAGGGTCACACTCATCAGTCGCAGTGAAGCAGACATGAATGATCAACATTCAATCTCTCTACTCATCTTCAGATTAATACAATTTATATATGTTTTAACTTGTACAGCTCACAATGCATGCACTGGGAACGCTGTGAAAGAGAATCAGAAACCTCCCACTCTGTATGTGATAAGATAATATCATTCCACCAAATCATAAATGGTCAATTACTGACTATTATAAAAGGGCCTTCTTCCATCCTTTTCAACTCCAAGATAAGGGCAATTCCATTATTAAACAGTAAGGACTTGCTTGGTGTGCGATTCAAATATGAGTGTTTAAACATGTTTTACATATTTAATTTCTACAAACTTTAAACGTGATGAGAATAAGCTAATGATCACTATGAAGCAATAAACTCAATATTTTGTTTTTGGGTTGTTTTCAGAATTAAATCTTGAAACACATTTTTTTTAAAACATATGAACTGACTATGCTTTGTATGTATCCTTTTATTTTATTTTATTATCACCCAATTGAATAATACATTTCTCTCGTCAGGCTTAAACCTTCCAACATATAACTCCAACTCTGTTCCATCCAAGCATGTATCAGCAGAAAAAAATTAGGGCTTAATTTATTAGGTAAAGTTGGGATTAGCTTTATAATTATTGAATTAACCTTATATGTTCATCTTATCCCTTTGTCTTCCACCCAAACTTGGTGTCTGATGTGGGGTCAAAATGGTTTACAATTTGTAAAAGGGTCGGCAACCTCTCAATTCAATGTGGCAGCAGCAGCCAGCAAGCGGGTGAGATATAGTCCAAATGCTAAGCTTTCTTATTGCTAAGAAATTATAACAGTAAAGGCCAGAATTATTCTTGAAGTTAGGGCAAATTCTTTGTTAATCTAGAAAGAAGATTCTCATTGTCGACCATTGAATTAGCTTAGTTTTTGTCTAAAAGTAATTTCACTTTGGTTTTGAAAATCAAAAAGCTAATCTAACAGATGGCCTCTTATTATTTATTAGCATTCAACAAGAAAACGACGTCAGGTTTTTAACCTCCAGGCTTCTATATTTATAGTGAAAACTTGAAAGCTGTTATTTTGAGTGGATTATGGCATTGTTAATATTTTCAGCTAATTTATGCTTAACCCTAAATCTAACTGGTTTGTCTTAACTACTGGAAAGTAACAGCTTGTGGTCGACTGGTGATGATTGGACAAGATTTGCCGGAATTCTTGAATTGAAGGCATGAAAATTCAACAAAGTTAATGTTATAGGTGGGATTTTTGATAGTGATGGGAAATTTAACAGTGTGTTTAGACTTTAGCAACAAATCACGGGCGGCTCTCAGTGAAATGTCAAAACAAAATTCACCTGCCGTTTTGAATAGCTAGAATTCTGAAATGAAATTTGATTATTATCACCTGATAAAACGCACTTGAAACAGATGCCATCACTCATTTCGTAATTCTCCATCAACAAGGAAGTGATAACAATTTTTAAGCAACTTTGATGCTAATTTGTCCAATTTTTAAATCACATCTACTTCTGCTGATGCAAAAAGGTAGCCATTTGAACGCCATTATTGAGACTCAAGATTGCTTAATTTAACTAGCAAAGTTTTGTAGGTTTCTATCATGACAAATCAGTTACCATCTTCTCTATTATCCTTGTGACCTACTCTAGCTGTTCAACATGTTCAAGTGTGAACCGCAGAATTAAAACCATTGTGATTTGATATCGCTTTCTTTCTTTCTTTCTTATTTGAAAGACAGTGATTTTCTTTTCGAATAATTTGTCTAATTATTGTTGCTTGTTCTAATAGAAGACTAGCACCCCTCAAATGATGAGCTTGGACGAAAGCCGAAAAGGGGACAGGGTTGCTTCAGTTCACATTATCGTATTGACATAATTTTGTCAAAACAAGGTTTAATTTTTGTGGCTGACGAGAAGAATCTTTTGACAAATTGGCTACAACTTTTTGGATTAGTGTATTTTTATTGTTTTAAAGGAAAATATAATAGGCCGACTGCATAAAAGACACAGAACCAGAGGGGGAAAAAATACAAGAAGCCCACAAATCAAAGCTAAAGAAGAGTCTGACCCAACTAAGCCACAGCCAACTTCAGCACATCAGGCCTTAAATTTAGACATTACCAGATTTCTTATGGACTATCTAATTTCATGGCATCCACTGATCCATCCTGTGTACTTGGTGCCTGATGAGATGACACTGAGCATTGAAGTATGCTAAAATAAAATTTGTTTCAACTGGAAAAAAAAGAAAAAGAATAATAATGATGCTATATACAAAATTAATTAGACATCATCCACCGCTATACGCTTGGCAAGGATGCGAAGAAAACGAGTGAGGGACTTTTTGGCACTTATAATTGCTGCATCAACTTCCCTTTCATTTACTTCAACAACAGTCCTGCTTTCTTCACTTGCGTGTACTCTCTTCACAAGTTTGCGCAATTCCTGTCAATGGGGCAGCATAGCTTATACTCAATATTGGACCGAATATTGCCAGATACAAAGATACTCATCCATGTGATTCTACTGCCCAAGTTATATTGGGTTATTCAACTTTCACGTGCACTTCGCGTCCAAGGGGAAAAATTGCTAAATGTAAGGTTTCGTGGTGTACAAGGGACATGGTCATGCTTTCAAATTGGCAGGTGACTCAAAAGTTCTCATTATCTAAATGGTTTACTTTCAGCTAATAAACAGCTCATCTATCATCCTTATTACAGAGCGATCAAATGATCAATAGCAATCTATACTCAAATGATAAACTAGAGCTTGCAAGGAGGACTGTACTTACCTGACGATCAAAATCAACATTCTGAATTGAGTAAACCTCATTTGTAATTTGAACATCCTTACTTATCAGGCCGTCGAACCATCTAGTTGCCTTGTTGATATGCTCAAGTGATTCCTTAAAAACCACACATAAAGAGTAAGAAAACTTGCTAATATTTAAGAATATAAGCTGAGAGGAAGTCTTCTGACAACAAAAATAATATTTGGCCTGACAATTTCTCCCAATGGTCATGAAGAAAAAGCTCCCAGGGAATCCTAATAATTTGTTTCACTTGAATGTAAATGTGCAATCAAAGATTGATGTTTATAAACAAAAGAAATTATATAATACCTCTTCTTCCTCCTCATTCTCACTTTCTTCAGACTCTTGGTCATCATCTCCAATGATTTTTGCCTCTGAGCCAGCTAAAGCATGCAGCGTATGATGGTCTCCATCTTTTGTTGCCTGAATTAATGCTTCCATCAAGTCTGGTTCAACTTCCCGCAGCAGTTTACCTAACACACATTTCACCTTAAGTAAGTAAAGAGGCAGACAAGCAGCAGGATGAGAGGAAATAATGTACCGTCCCAAGATTCACCTTTTCAAGGAATAAGACCAATCATAACGGAAACAACCATCTTATATTTTTACCTCACGTAATAATTACTAAAGCATACAAATACTCATAGAATTTGAAATGGACTTGACTTCTCACCCAATAATAAGACATTTTTGAATAGGAGGATTATCTCCTCTTATAAACCAATAGGCTTGAGCGATCAAGCTCATATGTTGAGTTATGCCTATTGATGGAGGTAGTTGTTGGCTTTAACTCTTCACCCGCTAATCAAACACTCAGCTTAACTGTGCCTAACTCTGATACCATGATAGAATTTAAGGTGAGTTTGACTCTCACCTAATAAGACCTTTTTGAATGAGAGGATTGCCCCCTCTTATAAACTAGTAGGCTTGAGCGTGCCTGGTCGGTGTGAGACTTCAACACTCCCCCTCACGGTCAAGCTCATATGTTGGGTCATGCCTATTGATGATTGTGTCAGAGTTTGAGTTTTGGTTGTTTGCCATTGAAAAATCTAACTGAGTATCTGTTTGAATTGTAAGGACAGAAAGAGAGACTAGCTGAGTATTGTTTTAACTGAGTATCTGTTTAAATTACAAGGACAGAAAAGAGAGGCTAGATGAGCGAAAGTTGATTGAGAGGCTAGATAAGCGAAAGCTGATAATTTAGTGAATTCAATTATTATTGAATTGATTATAAATGAATCAACATTGCCTATTTATAGAAAAATAAGCTATTTAATAAGGAAACATAATATTGTAACAATACCTAAAATCTCCTAAAATAAGGAAAGATAATATTGTTTCACAATTAAGGAAACATATATTTTTTATTCCATTTTGCACTTCAACACCCTCCCTCAAGCTTGTGGTTATAAACCACAAGCTTGCGTAAAAGATGCAAATGTTGGTGATTATGTNACTTGCTAATATTTAAGAATATAAGCTGAGAGGAAGTCTTCTGACAACAAAAATAATATTTGGCCTGACAATTTCTCCCAATGGTCATGAAGAAAAAGCTCCCAGGGAATCCTAATAATTTGTTTCACTTGAATGTAAATGTGCAATCAAAGATTGATGTTTATAAACAAAAGAAATTATATAATACCTCTTCTTCCTCCTCATTCTCACTTTCTTCAGACTCTTGGTCATCATCTCCAATGATTTTTGCCTCTGAGCCAGCTAAAGCATGCAGCGTATGATGGTCTCCATCTTTTGTTGCCTGAATTAATGCTTCCATCAAGTCTGGTTCAACTTCCCGCAGCAGTTTACCTAACACACATTTCACCTTAAGTAAGTAAAGAGGCAGACAAGCAGCAGGATGAGAGGAAATAATGTACCGTCCCAAGATTCACCTTTTCAAGGAATAAGACCAATCATAACGGAAACAACCATCTTATATTTTTACCTCACGTAATAATTACTAAAGCATACAAATACTCATAGAATTTGAAATGGACTTGACTTCTCACCCAATAATAAGACATTTTTGAATAGGAGGATTATCTCCTCTTATAAACCAATAGGCTTGAGCGATCAAGCTCATATGTTGAGTTATGCCTATTGATGGAGGTAGTTGTTGGCTTTAACTCTTCACCCGCTAATCAAACACTCAGCTTAACTGTGCCTAACTCTGATACCATGATAGAATTTAAGGTGAGTTTGACTCTCACCTAATAAGACCTTTTTGAATGAGAGGATTGCCCCCTCTTATAAACTAGTAGGCTTGAGCGTGCCTGGTCGGTGTGAGACTTCAACACTCCCCCTCACGGTCAAGCTCATATGTTGGGTCATGCCTATTGATGATTGTGTCAGAGTTTGAGTTTTGGTTGTTTGCCATTGAAAAATCTAACTGAGTATCTGTTTGAATTGTAAGGACAGAAAGAGAGACTAGCTGAGTATTGTTTTAACTGAGTATCTGTTTAAATTACAAGGACAGAAAAGAGAGGCTAGATGAGCGAAAGTTGATTGAGAGGCTAGATAAGCGAAAGCTGATAATTTAGTGAATTCAATTATTATTGAATTGATTATAAATGAATCAACATTGCCTATTTATAGAAAAATAAGCTATTTAATAAGGAAACATAATATTGTAACAATACCTAAAATCTCCTAAAATAAGGAAAGATAATATTGTTTCACAATTAAGGAAACATATATTTTTTATTCCATTTTGCACTTCAACACCCTCCCTCAAGCTTGTGGTTATAAACCACAAGCTTGCGTAAAAGATGCAAATGTTGGTGATTATGTCAGAGTTTGAGCTTTGGTTGTTTGCCATTGGAAAATCTAACCTAGTATCTGTTTGAATTACAGGGACAAAAAGAGAAGCTGGTTGAGTATTGTGCTATCCGAGTATTTGTTTGAATTGTAGAGATAGAAAGAGAGGCTGGCTGAGCAGAAGTTGATTCAACCTAGAAGCTCTGATACCATGCCAGAATTATGAGCAAATGAGACTTAAGGAAAGATAATATTGTTTCACAATTAAGGAAACATATATTTTGTATTCCATTTTGCACTTCAACACTCCCCTTCAAGCATGTGGTCATAAACCACAAGCTTGCATAAAAGATGCAAATGTTGGTGATTATGTCAGAGTTTGAGCTTTGGTTGTTTGCCATTGGAAAATCTAGCTGAGTATTTGTTAGAATTGCAGGGACAAAAAGAGTGGCTAGCTGAGTATTGTGCTAACCGAGTATCTGTTTGAATTGTAGGGACATAAAAGAGAGACTAGCTGAATAAAAGCTGATTCAACTTGACTCTGATACCATAATAGAATTTGAGGTGGGTTTGACTCCTCATCTAATAAGATTTTTTTGAATGGGAGGATTACTCCACCATGCCTAGTCGGACTACAACAAATACAATTTCATACCAATCTAAAGCTATAAGAGAAAAAGCGTTTCAAGCAGTGAAGCAAAAGATACAAACAGTTTATTTAGCACGGGAACAAAAGTAGTTTGCAATAATGGACTTGTTTACCTATATAGTTATACTGCCTCCGCTTTCCTTCTTTAACATCGGGCCCAAGTCTCTGCGACCAAAGAACAAACACTTAATCCTCACCAACAAAAATAAAAACCAGTGCTTAAATCAAGCAAAAGAAACATCAAAACTAACCAATAAACCCAATGTAAAGAAGCACCTTAACTAGCATTAGAGCATCCAACACATCTTGGTCAAGAGAAGCCACTCTACAATCCCCAATAAACCCCCAAAAATAAATAAATAAAACAGTTAATTCTTAATAGGCAAAAACGTATGATGTCAACTTTAGTAATTAAAAATAATTGGGAATGTACTTGAGGATGCGTTTGATTTGAGGAGTGGAGAAGGCGGCAAGGTCCATGCCCCAATGGACAGCGCGCTTAGCCTCGCGCTTCTTGTGATTGCGGCTCTTCTTTAGCTCGGAATCAGAGTCGCTTGTGTTGTCATCTTCTTTGGGATCAGATGTTGTAGTAGCATTTGGTAGTCTGAGTCCGCGTGAGCGGTGATGGACGTTCCGACGAGAGGAAGCTACTGAGGTTAAACACATACAACACGACCAAGAGTTTTTAGTGGTTAGTGTTGGTAGTAGGATTGACGACAGTAAATGATTGGATGGTGCTTGGGAGCAGCAATGCTGCTGAAGCTGTGGCCATTGCCTTAAAGGCCGCATTAGTCGCGCCATGTAAAACTTCTCTGCACTGCACTGCGCTGTACTGTCCCTGAAGTGGGGTGCGATGGCCAACTTAAACCGGGAACCGTTTTATTCAAAATCAGCGGAAGCAAAAGAACTGGGTTAAGTCTTTTGGGCCTGACTAGATTTGTATGTATCCTTTTTTTATTTTATTATCAACCAATTGAATAATACATTTCTCTGTCAGGCTTAAACCTTCCAACATATAACTCCAATCTGTTCCATCCAAGCATGTTCAGCAGAAAAAAATTAGGGCTTAATTTATTAGGTAAAGTTGGGATTAGCTTTATAATTATTGAATTAACCTTATATGTTCATCTTATCCCTTTGTCTTCCACCCAAACTTGGTGTCGATGTGGGGTCAAAAGGTTACAATTTGTAAAAGGGTCGGCAAACCTCTCATTCAATTGGCAGCAGCAGCCAGCAAGCGGGGTGAGATATACCAAATGCTAAGCTTTCTTATTGAAGAAATTATAACGTAAAGGCCAGAATTATTCTTGAAGTTAGGGCAAATTCTTGTTAATCAGAAAGAAGATTCTCATTGTCGACCATTGAATTAGCTAGTTTTGTTCGAAAAGTAATTTCACTTTGGTTTTGAAAATCAAAAGGCTAATCTAACAGATGGCCTCTTATTATTAAGCATTCAACAAGAAAACGCGTCAGGTTTTTAACCTCCAGGCTTCTAATTTATAGTGAAAACTTGAAAGCTGTTATTTTGAGTGGATTATGGCATTGTTAATATTTTCAGCTAATTTATGCTTAACCCTAAATCTAACTGGTTTGTCTTAACTACTGGAAAGTAACAGCTTGTGGCGACTGGTGATGATTGACAAAGATTTGCCGGATTTGAATTGAAGGCATGAAAATTCAACAAAGTTAATGTTATAGGTGGGATTTTTTGATAGTGATGGGAAATTTAGACTTTAGCAACAAATCACGGGCGGCTCTCAGTGAAATGTCAAAACAAAATTCACCTGCCGTTTTGAATAGCTAGAATTCTGAAATGAAATTTTATTATCACCTGTAAAACGCACTTGAAACAGATGCCATCACTCATTCGTAATTCTCCATCAACAAGGAAGTGATAACAATTTTAAGCAACTTGATTCTAATTGTCCAATTTTTAAATCACATCTACTTCTGCTGATGCAAAAAGGTAGCCATTTGAACGCCATTATTGAGATCTCAGATTGCTTAATTTAACTAGCAAGTTTTGTAGGTTTCTATCATGACAAATCAGTTACCATCTTCTCTTATCCTTGTGACCTACTCTAGCTGTCAACTGTTCAAGTGTGAACCGCAGAATTAAAACCATTGTGATTTGTACGCTTTCTTTCTTTCTTTATTTGAAAGACAATGATTTTCTTTCGAATAATGTCTAATATTGTTGCTTGTCTTATAGAAAGATAGCACCCCTCAAATGATGAGCTTGGACGAAAGCGAAAAGGGGACAGGGTTGCTTCAGTTCACAATCGTATGACATAATTTTGTCAAACAAAGTTAATTTTGTGGCTGACGACAAGAATCTTTTGACAAATTGGTATAACTTTGGATTATGTATATTTTTATTGTTTAAAGGAAAATATAATAGGCCGATGATAAAAGACACAGAACCAGAGGGGGAAAAAACAAGAAGCCACAAATCAAGCTAAAGAGAGTCTGACCAACTAAGCCCCAGCCAACTTCACACTAAGGCCTAAATTTAGACATTACCAGATTCTTATGGACTTCTAATTTCATGGCATCCACTGATCCATCCTGTTACTTGGTGCCTGATGAGATGACACTGAGCATGAAGTATTATGCTAAAATAAAATTTGTTTCAACTGGAAAAAGAAAGAATAATAATGTGTACTACAAAATTAATTAGACATCATCCACCGCTATACGCTTGGCAAGATGCGAAGAAAACGGTGAGGGACTTTTTGGCACTTATAATTTCTGCATCAACTTCCCTTTCATTTTCTTAACAACAGTCCTGCTTTCTTCACTTGCGTGTACTCTCTTCACAAGTTTGCGCAATTCCTGTCAATGGGGCAGCATAGCTTATACTCAATATTGGACAGATATTGCCAGATACAAAGAACTCATCCATGTGATTCTACTGCCCAATTAATTGGGTTATTCAACTTTCACGTGCACTTCGCGTCCAAGGGGAAAAATGTAAATGAAGGTTTCGTGGTGTACAAGGGACATGTCATGCTTTCAAATGGCAGGTGACTCAAAGTTCTCATTATCTAAATGGTTTCTTTCAGCTAATAAAAAAGCTCATCTATAATCCTTATTACAGAGAGATCAAATATCAATAGCAATACTATACTAAATGATAAACTAGAGCTTGCAAGGAGGACTGGATTACCTGACGATCAAAATAACATTCTGAATTGAGTAAACCTCATTTGTAATTTGAACATCTTACTTATCAGGCCGTCGAACATCTAGTTGCCTTGTTGATATGCTCAAGTGATTCCTTAAAAACACACATAAGAGTAGAAACTTGCTAATATTAAGATATAAGTGAGAGGAAGTCTTCTGACAAACAAATAATATTTGGCCTGACAATTTCTCCAATGGTCATGAAGAAAAGCTCCCAGGGAATCCTAATATTTGTTTCACTTGAATGTAAATGTGCAATCAAAGATTGATGTTTAAAACAAAAGAAATTATATAATACCTCTTCTTCCTCCTATTCTCACTTTCTTCAGACTCTTGGTCATCATCTCCAATGATTTTTGCCTCTGACCAGCTAAAGCATGCAGCGTATGATGGTTCCATCTTTTGTTGCCTGAATTAATGCTTCCATCAAGTCTGGTTCAATCCCGCAGCAGTTTACCTAACACACATTTCACCTTAAGTAAGGCGGCTTCTGTTATTGTCATAGAGTCTTATTTGGTTTGTATTTTGGCCATATAAAATTAAATTAATACACGTTCGGTCAACTTCGTAGTGCAAGTTCTTGGTGTGGTTTTGACCAAGTGTTGAATTGAGCAATATCCAAAATGGTGATTAGCCAACAATTTGACACGCAGCATGGAATTTTAAGAGATAGTTAAAAGTTAGCTTCAACTTCCAACGGTTGAGACAATCCGGGTATTGGTTGAACAGCCTTCACCTTTAGTTTTGTTGTGCCTAAAATATCGTACTTATGTCAGCATCAACCAATCAAAGTTTAAAAAGGTTTTATGTCGTTTAAGAGTTGTCACATTGCCCTAAAATAAAAGAGATACAAGTTCACCAACCTAATAGATTTAAGTTTTGTTTATGAGTGGATGATGACCTCACACTTGTCCCAATTTTATCAAAATAAAGTGATAAGGATTAATGAGTGGTCTCCACGTGTCATGATAACTTGCAGAAACACTCATTACATTAACCTAAAAAGTTGTATAAATAAACACCTCTCTTCACGAAAAGAAGGGGATTTTGGGGCATATGAGAACTAAACATAGATTTGAGCCTCATTATTTATTTCTATAAGCAAAGTATTTCTTCATCTTTGTATGTCTTACGGACAATATCATAAAAATAGTTAAAGAATAATAAAATAACAGTAGATGTAGGATTTACTTTAAGAATCCGAACCACTATAAAAACCTCTCTTGTCAGTCTATTATTTATATTTCTGCAACATATATAATCTCAGTACCATATTCAAATCTCATGGATCGATCACGTGTAATTTCTAAGACTCTCTTAGCACTTTACACGTGCGAGTCATTGGTGTCCAAAATCAAATATCAACAAGTTTCAAATGGGTGTTCAAAAGCGGTTAACCGAACCGGATTTTCGGTTTGGGAAAATTCCCGAACCGAAACCGAACCAGTTTTAGGAAAAATCGGTTTTTCGATTAACTGAAAAACTAGTTAACCGTTTTAAAAAAAGCGGTTAACCGGTTGTAAACCGGTTTTCTCTTTTTTTTTTTTTTAATAAAACATTTTTTTTTTAATTTTGTTCTAAATTAAATTGCAAATATAGACAATACATTGGGAACTAAGAAAAAAAATTTGGGTTGGGATTTTAGATTAAGTGGATTAGGGATTTATTTTAGTTTAGGTTATTATTTATTTATTTAATATATATATATATATACACATTTTTTTGAACACTCACTTTCAATCACAGTTTCTAACAACGAAAATAGTCTTACCGAAAACAGCTGCTTTCTTCTTCTTGATTACACGAAAGATCTCCCATTTAATGAAATGTTGGATATTTTCATACAATATGTCCACTTGCATGTGTTAAATTAATTTCATTCCCGGGAGATTTTAACTTGAAAATCAATTATCTGGGTTTGAATGTGTCAAGTAGCCACCACCTTGGACTGAGCTTTGCTACCTTAACACGCCAACTCAATACAAAACTGCAGCCTGGGAATCCATCTGTAAATGTTCATATTATTGGCCGCAGGGTCACACTCATCAGTCGCAGTGAAGCAGACATGAATGATCAACATTCAATCTCTCTACTCATCTTCAGATTAATACAATTTATATATGTTTTAACTTGTACAGCTCACAATGCATGCACTGGGAACGCTGTGAAAGAGAATCAGAAACCTCCCACTCTGTATGTGATAAGATAATATCATTCCACCAAATCATAAATGGTCAATTACTGACTATCATTAAAGGGCCTTCTTCCATCCTTTTCAACTCCAAGATAAGGGCAATTCCATTATTAAACAGTAAGGACTTGCTTGGTGTGCGATTCAAATATGAGTGTTTAAACATGTTTTACATATTTAATTTCTACAAACTTTAAACGTGATGAGAATAAGCTAATGATCACTATGAAGCAGTAAACTCAATATTTTGTTTTTGGGTTGTTTTCAGAATTAAATCTTGAAACACATTTTTTTTAAAACATATGAACTGACTCGGCTTGTAATGTATCCTTTATTTTATTTTATTATCACCCAATTGAATAATACATTTCTTCGTCAGGCTTAAACCTTCCAAAAATATAACTCCAACTCTGTTCCATCCAAGCATGTATCAGCAGAAAAAAATTAGGGCTTAATTATTAGGTAAAGTTGGGATTAGCTTTATAATTATTGAATAACCTTATATGTTCATCTTATCCCTTGCTTCCACCCAAACTTGGTGTCTGATGTGGGGTCAAAATGGTTTCAATTTGTAAAAGGGTCGGCAACTCTCAATTCAATGGCAGCAGCAGCCAGCAAGCGGGTGAGATATAGTCCAAATGCTAAGCTTTCTATTGCTAAGAAATATAACAGTAAAGGCCAGAATTATTCTTGAAGTTAGGGCAAATTCTTTGTTAATCAGAAAGAAGATCTCATTGTCGCCATTGAATTAGCTTAGTTTTTGTCGAAAGTAATTTCACTTTGGTTTTGAAAATCAAAAAGGCTAATCTAACAGATGGCCTCTTATATTATTAGCATTCAACAAGAAAACGACGTCAGGTTTTTAACCTCCAGGCTTCTATAGTTATAGTGAAAACTTGAAAGCTGTTATTTTGAGTGGATTATGGCATTGTTAAATTTTCAGCTAATTATGCTTAACCCTAAATCTAACTGGTTTGTCTTAACTACTGGAAAGTAACAGCTTGTGGCCGACTGGTGATGATTGGACAAGATTTGCCGGAATTCTTGAATTGAAGGCATGAAAATTCAACAAAGTTAATGTTATAGGTGGGGATTTTGATAGTGATGGGAAATTTAGACTTTAGCAACAAATCACGGGCGGCTCTCAGTGAAATGTCAAAACAAAATTCACCTGCCGTTTGAATAGCTAGAATTCTGAAATGAAATTGATTATTATCACCTGATAAAACGCACTTGAAACAGATGCCATCACTCATTTCGTAATTCTCCATCAACAAGGAAGTGATAACAATTTTGAAGCAACTTGATTCTAATTTGTCCAATTTTTAAATCACACTACTTCTGCTGATGCAAAAAGGTAGCCATTTGAACGCCATTATTGAGACTCAAGATTGCTTATTTACAATAGCAAGTTTTGTGTTTCTATCATGACAAATCAGTTACCATCTTCTTCTTATCCTTGTGACCTCTCTAGCTGTCAACATGTTCAAGTGTGAACCGCAGAATTAAAACCATTGTGATTTGATACGCTTTCTTTCTTTCTTTCTTATTGAAAGACAAGTGATTTCTTTTCGAATAATTTGTCTAATTATGTGTGTTGTTCAGAATACTAGCACCCTCAAATGATGAGCTTGGACGAAAGCCGAAAAGGGGACAGGGTTGCTTCAGTTCACATTTTCGTATTGACATAATTTTCAAAACAAAGTTTAATTTTGTGGCTGACGAAAGAATCTTTGACAAATTGGCTATAACTTTTTGGATTAGTATATTTTTATTGATTTAAAGGAAAATATAATAGGCCGACTGCATAAAAGACACAGAACCAGAGGGGGAAAAAATACAAGAAGCCCACAAATCAAAGCTAAAGAAGAGTCTGACCCAACTAAGCCACAGCCAACTTCAGCACATCAGGCCTTAAATTTAGACATTACCAGATTTCTTATGGACTGTCTAATTTCATGGCATCCACTGATCCATCCTGTGTACTTGGTGCCTGATGAGATGACACTGAGCATTGAAGTATGCTAAAATAAAATTTGTTTCAACTGGAAAAAAAAGAAAAAGAATAATAATGATGCTATATACAAAATTAATTAGACATCATCCACCGCTATACGCTTGGCAAGGATGCGAAGAAAACGAGTGAGGGACTTTTTGGCACTTATAATTGCTGCATCAACTTCCCTTTCATTTACTTCAACAACAGTCCTGCTTTCTTCACTTGCGTGTACTCTCTTCACAAGTTTGCGCAATTCCTGTCAATGGGGCAGCATAGCTTATACTCAATATTGGACCGAATATTGCCAGATACAAAGATACTCATCCATGTGATTCTACTGCCCAAGTTATATTGGGTTATTCAACTTTCACGTGCACTTCGCGTCCAAGGGGAAAAATTGCTAAATGTAAGGTTTCGTGGTGTACAAGGGACATGGTCATGCTTTCAAATTGGCAGGTGACTCAAAAGTTCTCATTATCTAAATGGTTTACTTTCAGCTAATAAACAGCTCATCTATCATCCTTATTACAGAGCGATCAAATGATCAATAGCAATCTATACTCAAATGATAAACTAGAGCTTGCAAGGAGGACTGTACTTACCTGACGATCAAAATCAACATTCTGAATTGAGTAAACCTCATTTGTAATTTGAACATCCTTACTTATCAGGCCGTCGAACCATCTAGTTGCCTTGTTGATATGCTCAAGTGATTCCTTAAAAACCACACATAAAGAGTAAGAAAACTTGCTAATATTTAAGAATATAAGCTGAGAGGAAGTCTTCTGACAACAAAAATAATATTTGGCCTGACAATTTCTCCCAATGGTCATGAAGAAAAAGCTCCCAGGGAATCCTAATAATTTGTTTCACTTGAATGTAAATGTGCAATCAAAGATTGATGTTTATAAACAAAAGAAATTATATAATACCTCTTCTTCCTCCTCATTCTCACTTTCTTCAGACTCTTGGTCATCATCTCCAATGATTTTTGCCTCTGAGCCAGCTAAAGCATGCAGCGTATGATGGTCTCCATCTTTTGTTGCCTGAATTAATGCTTCCATCAAGTCTGGTTCAACTTCCCGCAGCAGTTTACCTAACACACATTTCACCTTAAGTAAGTAAAGAGGCAGACAAGCAGCAGGATGAGAGGAAATAATGTACCGTCCCAAGATTCACCTTTTCAAGGAATAAGACCAATCATAACGGAAACAACCGTCTTATATTTTTACCTCACGTAATAATTACTAAAGCATACAAATACTTATAGAATTTGAAATGGGCTTGACTTTTTACCCAATAATAAGACATTTTTTAATGGAAATATTACCTCCTCTTATAAACCAGTAGGCTTGAGCGGTCAAGCTCATATGTTGGGTCATGCCTATTGATAGAGGTAGTTACTGGCTCTAACTCCTCACCCGTTGGTCAAACACTCAGCTTAACTGTGCCTAACTCTGACACCATGATAGAATTTGAGGTAGGCTTGACTCTCACCCAATAACGCCTTGTTGAATGAGAGGATTACCCCTTTTTATAAACTAGTAGGCTTGAGCGTGTTTAGTCGGTGTGAGACTTCAATACTCCCCCTTACGGTTAAACCCATATGTTGGGTCATGCCCGTTGATAATTGTGTCAAAGTTTGAGTTTTGGTTTTTTGCTATTGGAAAATCTAACCCAGTATCTGTTTGAATTGCAGGGACAGAAAGAGAGACTAGCTGAGTATTGTTCTAACTGAGTATCTGTTTAAATTACAAGGACAGAAAAGAGAGGCTAGATGAGCGGAAGTTGATTGAGAGGCTAGATAAGTGAAAGCTGATTCAATCTAGAAACTCAAACACCATGTCAGAATTATGAGCAAAGGAGACTCAAGGAGATAATTTAGTGAATTCAATTATTATTGAATTGATTATAAATGAATCAACATTGCCTATTTATAGAAAAATAAACTATTTACTAAGGAAACATAATATTGTAACAATACCTAAAATCTCCTAAAATAAGGAAAGATAATATTGTTTCACAATTAAGGTAACATATATTTTTTATTCCATTTTGCACTTCAACACCCTCCCTCAAGTTTGTGGTGCGTAAAAGATGCAAATGTTTGTGATTATGTCAGAGTTTGATCTTTGATTGTTTGCCATTGGAAAATCTAACCGAGTATCTGTTTGAATTACAAGGACAAAAAGAGAAGCTGACTGAGTATTATGCTAACCGAGTATTTGTTTGAATTGCAGAGACAGAAAAGAGAGGTTGGCTAAGCAGAAGCTGATTCAACCTGGAAGCTCTGATACCATGTAGGAATTATGAGCAAATGAGACTTAAGAAAGATAATATTGTTTCACAATTAAGGAAACATAGATTTTGTATTCCATTTTGCACTTCAAAACTTCACTTCAAGCTTGTGGTCATAAACCACAAGCTTGCATAAATGATGCAAATGTTGGCGTTTATGTCAAAATTTGAGCTTTGGTTGTTTGCCATTGGAAAATCTAGCTGACTATTTGTTTGAATTGCAGGGATAGAATAAGAGGCTAGCTAAATATTGTGCTAACCCAGTATCTGTTTAAATTGTAGGGACAGAAAAGAGAGACTAGCTCAGTGAAAGCTGATTCAACCTAGCTCCGATACCATAATAGAATTTGAGGTGGGTCTGACTCCTCACCCAGTAAAACTTTTTTGAATGAGAGGATTACCCCACAGTGCCTAGTCGGACTCCAACAAATACAATTTCATACCAATCTAAATCTATAAGAGAAAAAGCGTTTCAAGCAGTGAAGCAAAAGATACAAACGGTTTATTTAGCACGGGAACAAAAGTAGTTTGCAATGATGGACTTGTTTACCTATATAGTTATACTGCCTCCGCTTTCCTTCTTTAACATCAGGCCCAAGTCTCTGCGACCAAAGAACAAACACTTAATCCTCACCAACAAAAATAAAAACCAGTACTTAAATCAAGCAAAAGAAACATCAAAACTAACCAATAAACCCAATGTAAAGAAGCACCTTAACTAGCATTAGAGCATCCAACACATCTTGGTCAAGAGAAGCCACTCTACAATCCCCAGTAAACCCCCAAAAATAAATAAATAAAACAGTTAATTCTTAATAGGCAAAAACGTATGATGTCAACTTTAGTAATTAGAAATAATTGGGAATGTACTTGAGGATGCGTTTGATTTGAGGAGTGGAGAAGGCGGCAAGGTCCATGCCCCAATGGACAGCGCGCTTAGCCTCGCGCTTCTTTTGATTGCGGCTCTTCTTTAGCTCGGAATCAGAGTCGCTTGTGTTGTCATCTTCTTTGGGATCAGATGTTGTAGCAGCATTTGGTAGTCTGAGTCCGCGTGAGCGGTGATGGACGTTCCGACGAGAGGAAGCTACTGAGGTTAAACACAAACAACACGACCAAGAGTTTTTAGTGGTTAGTGTTGGTAGTAGGATTGACGACAGTAAATGATTGGATGGTGCTTGGGAGCAGCAATGCTGCTGAAGCTGTGGCCATTGCCTTAAAGGCCGCATTAGTCGCGCCATGTAAAACTTCTCTGCACTGCACTGCGCTGTACTGTCCCTGAAGTGGGGTGCGAGGCCAACTTAAACCGGGAACGTTTTATTCAAAATGAGCGGTAGCTAAAGAACTGGGTTAAGTCTTTTGGGCCTGTTTGGGCTTACTGTTCGATCTAGTGATCAACGTCTCGGTTAAGGAAAAAAAGGTGACGCCCTTGCTTACATTGGGGTTGTGTAAGAGAAGTTGTCCTCTTCTGTGTTAGAGTCCAGCTGCTTGAGAAAGAGGACAAACAATTGTAAAATCATACTAACAGGTGGGCTCTGGTGAATCTTCTTAAAATTGATATTTTGTGGCCGGAGTTAGCATTGATTTGTCACAATCTTTTTGTGGCATTAATCATCTTACTCGTTTTCTATATATGATTCATTGCACAATCCGCTGTGTCCAGACTCCATACAGTCACAATTATTAGTTTTGACTATGATTGTGTATATAAATTGACCACTGGCAAATATTACTCCTTGTGGACAGTCAGTGAACAAAGTGGCTCCTGTTAATAGTACTTTGAACTCGGCAGCGGAATCTCAAAAAGTTTGCAGCTCTTATATTATCCTCTCTTATCTACCGACAAGGCAACTAAACGTATGGTAGAGATTCAAATTGGACGGTGATTCAATTGTAGACATCCAAATTGGATAGTGATTGCAATGGTGGAGATTAAAATTGGACGTGATTAAAATTATTAATTGTAGTTACTTACGTAACATCAAGTCCGTTGTCGTCCAGCGGTTAGGATATCTGGCTTTCATGACCCGGGTTCGACTCCCGGCAACGGAATTTTATTTTTTATAAGACAAAACTTCTTTTTTCCCAAACGAAAAAAAAGCACTCTTGAGAAAATATGGCTGGCTTTTTCGGGTTTGATGGCATCTCCTTTGGTTTCTATAATGTTGTTTATAAATCTGGAAAAAAAAAAAAATAATAATGTCTTTCGAGGGTTTAATGGCTTCTCCTTCGACTGAGATGCAGAGAGAAGCATTGAATTTTGAGAAATAAGACTAGATATACAGGTCAACTGAGGCATATAATAATGCTTAATCTCATGGTCCACTGCACTCTTGAGCATGTTCTATCGGTGATCTTTTATGTAATTATAGCAAAATAATTGGCAGAGACCCAGTTATTAATCCATAAGCACCCACTAATTACAGCTTAAATATCAGCTTTTCTCAATTAACTGACGTTTAGTGCTGTGTTCAAGCATACAGATTATGTTTATTTTTCAGTTTGGTGTGTTTTAGCTCCATACCTCGGCAAGACCCTGAAAATTTGAAGTCAAGACTTTCACTGTATAACCTGATGTTTTTCTCAAGGAGATATAGCTATTTCAAGGCCTTTTCATAGGTTCAAGGATCAGATTGATGAAATAAAGGATTTTTAACTGATGATGAGAACCCTGTTAATTTCAGATTAAATTAGTGCTAGATTTATATCATAACATGACACCGACAATTGGAGAAAACAGAACAGAGAGTACCGGAAGTCTGCAACTTTATTGTAAACATTTTTTCTTGAACCAGATTACTGTAATTGAAGATTAATACATGCCTCGGAATAATAAAGAAAGGCAATTGAAAACAAATAAAAGAAATCATGCATTGAATCTGGGGATTACAGATGTCATTCAACAATCAAAGAAGAGAAAATTCAAGGAACTGGATAGAGGTATTGAAATTTTCATTAAATCCAGACTATAAAAATGTCGCCTGGTTTAAGTTTCAATTTCAATCATAGATATTTACAGGCACTATTCAGCATTCCCTATAAACAAGAACAAGGGTAATGCTTTTACAATATATATTTTTAAAACTCTCATCCTAAGTAACTAACGCCGCCCATTTTGCAGCTATTTCCTACCAGCATTGATCAGTTTCCCAAGACCGCCGTGTATAGCCGGAAAATCTTGCATTCGAAGAGGTGGCCATTGTAGTTGCCCCTCCTGACATTGCAAAAGGAGAACTTACTGGGTTTCTACGCTTGAATAAGGAGCGGTCGTAATCTGCTCGCTTCTCTGGATCAGAAAGAGTTTCATATGCTTCATGTACCTTCATGAAGTCATAAGCTGTATACTCCTTTTGACGGTTAGCTGCTACATCTGGGTGTAAAACTCTTGCCAACTTCCGGTAAGCAGTCTTGATTTCCTGACATGTGGCACCCATTTGAATCCCCAGAACTTCATAAAGTGAAGCCGCTGGTGACGCAATGTATTGAGGCGCTGTTCTCTCTGCCGTTGTTGCACAAGCAGCTGATACACGAAGTGGGCGGAATTTGACAGACACGGGATGGGAATGAGCTTCATTGCCCACGAAATTTGAGCCAAAGAAATGAGTTGTGGAGCTAAAAGATGCAAGAGAAGAAGATGTGTAAGCCATGATGATGAACATGTGATGCTCAATGTTGACTATGGAGTCGTTAATATATAGAAAAGTTGGGGGAGCATTTAACCGTGGTCAGTTAAGTTGGGTTAAGGAATGGGTAGGCTTAGCCATTTGGATTTTTATTTTAGATCTATCGTACGCTGAGTCAGAAAACCGTCGGTGTTGATGAGGCATTCACCGGATGGGGTTCAGTAATAACTGACTCAGTGTCTGTGATGACTTGGATCCACGTTAAAATAAATAAATATTGTTTGTTTGGATGTTAAAAGTGTTGTTGATTTGGAGTTGGAGACTACCGAGGCTCCAGTTTTGTAATTTGTGTTTGTCTTGTTTGTGGCTATAATATTCTTTTTACAATTTATATATTATGATTTCTGCTTCAAATTTTCAAGGTTTGCTTAGCAGATTGAGAGAGATATTTGGTGACTTCACTGCTTAATTATTAATCAGTTTCTGCTTATTGAATGACAAATATTCTAGAAGAAACCTTGTATTTTCTGCAAACGCGTTACATCTATTTTCACTTCATGAAACAGGCACTGCCAACAATGACAAAACGCCAGGCAAACACCAGCTGCCAAGCTGACTGCACCATCACAACAAAGAAGTCTTCTTCCGATTTTCATATCATCATTCACGAATGGCGAAAAGGAATTTCTGGATGAAAAAAACCACATACATAATTTTCCAAAATAAAAATAATTTAAAATATCTTTTTTTTTTTAATTATAAAATTTGGATAAGGTGAAGCGGAAGAAAGATCAACAACGCCTTATCTACATACCCATTAAAAACTGGGGACAATTGAAAGGGTCTACACAGGAATACAGGATAACGTGTGTGGTCGGTCGTTACTTTAACTAGAATTATTGTTTGATTTGACGTGAAATTATTTTATTTTATGCCTTGCTTTTGTCACCCATTCTGCTCCCTTCGTTTGTTGCATAGATTCAGCGTCACATAATAATACTTTAATATCTTCCAATTAATAAACCTATGAAATTCAAATTATTGTTTTAATTTAATTTAGTTGAAAAAAAAAAGACATTACCGCTTAGATTTGTAGGTTATCCATTTGAAGGAGCTCATGTGATCATGTGACTGCGGGGATAAACTAATCTGGGACGTCTAGAACATTTAATAATGAGCGGACAGGTGTCCAGCTATGGTAAAGTGGGCGGTGGGTTACGGTAACCTGGAAGAAGAGTCAATGACAAGTAATAAATATTAAAAAAATTAACAAGAGTACAAAGAAATGTCAAAAGAAATAGTAAATTATATGGGAATGGATGAGATACAAATAGTAGCCGTTGTTTGGAAGCCGCAGATTCACGTGAGTGCAAACAACAGTTACCCGAATTTGAGTATCTATCCACGGGGATTGGGGACCATCCCCAGTTTGTCGGTTACTTGCTTAACATCATCCACTACTAAAAAACTGTAAATCCATCACCCTGGAAGTTTGAACTTTATCTCTAGAACTTTCTTTGGCGAGCCAATTATGGGCTAAAAAATTTGGCCTTTCTGATTTGAGGTGCCCAGTCTACTAACATCGCCACATGAGAGCCCATAACCAGCTCAACTTTTGATCAATCCACTAACATCAGAGCCCGTAAGAAGCTCAACTTTCACAGGCATTGTACTTGTGCTCTATCAACTCAACTCAAATGACCAAAAATATGAAACATATTGCCCTCTTCCCGCGATTTTCTATTATTTTAGAGTTTTGTGAAATTCTGTTTCTTCTTTTGATCAGCTAACCAAAATGAAACTTAAGAAACCCCATTAACCTTCCCAAATTAACCCTTCTTCTTCTTCTTCTTCTTCTTGTTTGCATTTGGAGGGCAGTGTTAGTGGACGCTGATTCGTCCATTCTTTTCTTAGACTGGACTGTTTCTTATTCTGAACGTGCTCCTCTTGGCGTTGATAAACAGGTAATATATTTCAAGTTTTGCTGAAATGTTTTGTTTTTAACTGATTTATAATGGTACATTTCTAAAATGATCAGGTTATAGTAATCAATGATCAGTTCCCGGGACCGCTGTTGAACGCAACAACAAATGACATCCTCAGTATTAATATTCATAACAACTTAACAGATCCATTTCTCATCACATGGTACATATTACTGCCAATTAATCATGAGTTTATAATTATATTATGAGTTTAATTAATTGTTATTGGGATTCATATCATGTTATAAGGAACGGAGTGCAACTGAGGAGGAACTCATGGCAAGATGGGATGCAAGAGACAAATTGTCCCATACAGCCAGCCCAAAACTGGACCTACAGTTTCCAATTACAGGATCAAATTGGAAGCTTTTTCTATTTCCCTTCTCTTCTTCTCCAAAAGGCTGGTGGTGGATATGGTGCCATCCGTGTAAATGATCGTCAAGTTATTGCTGTTCCATTTGATCAGCCTTACAAAGAGTATGATATTCTCATTGGAGATTGGTATAACGCTGATTATCGGGTATATTATGTGTGACAAATAATATTGGTTTTTAGTTAAATTACTTCTGGTCTTTTTAATTGAGAAAGATTTTTGTGTTGCCTTATTTGGTCCAGGACATGAGAGCTTCACTTGATGATGGAAACTCATTCTCTGTGCCAGATGGTATCCTCATTAACGGATTTGGACCTGAAAAAGCAATTTTTGATTTTGAGCCAGGTTATTTCTCTCTTGGACATGAACAACATATCTTATCATCTACAATATTACACTAATGCCGGATCCATAAAATGGATGGATAAAAAAAAAAAGATTGTGGGGATGCTGAAATTACCTCAGAATATATTGGCAGTAGCCTGCCAGTAAATTAAATATTGATATTTGAATTGCAGGTGCTACATATAGGCTAAGGATTTCAAACGTGGGCTTGAAAGCATCTCTCAACTTCAGAATAGAGGAGCATCTACTGTTGTTGGTGGAGACTGAAGGATCTTACACACTTCAACAATACTATAGTAGCTTGGATGTGCATGTTGGCCAGTCTTACTCTGTTCTAGTTACCGCTGGAACCTCTTATTACATGGTTGCTAGTTCCCGTTTTATTCCTTTCCAACTTATTGGAGTTGGTATAATTCGGTATCCAGGTTCTGAACCATACCCCATTACCCCTCTTCCAGCCGGACCACAGCCATTCGATTATACATTCTCTTTAGATCAAGCTCGTTCAATAAGGTACATTAATTATCTTGAATAAACGCAATCGTATTGCTAATTAACACATGAAGCAAAAGTTATTAACATTTGTGATTTGGTGTGACAGATGGAATCTAACAGCAGGAACTGCCAGGCCAAATCCCCAAGGTTCCTATCACTATGGCATCATCAATATCTCTCGGACACTGGTCCTTGAGAATGGTATGCTGAAGGATGGAAAATTCCGCTACACAATTAATGGAAAATCATTTGTTCATCCAGACACACCATTGAAGTTGTTGGATTTTTTCCAGCTCAGTGTTGATACAGTGCCTGTTACTCTCCCTTACGCACCTTTTGCTATTCCTCCTGCGTTGGGAACTTCAATAATTGATGCTAATTACCATGATTTCCTCCATCTAGTATTAGTTAACCCTCTTCCGTATTTGCAGACATGGCACCTTGATGGCTTTAACTTCTTTGTTGTCGAGTGAGTCTTCTAATATTTTTGCATATTTAAAATGTAAATGCAGTATATATCTTAATAACATTGTGTAATTTTATTTGTAGCATGGACTGGGGATGTGGAATGAGAGTAAGATGGAACAATATAACATGATTGATGCTATTTCTCGCTCCACAGTTCAGGTTTGTAGATGAATGATACATAAAAATCCAACTTCATTTTTACATAAACAATATTAAGTTCATTTATCATTATTTGTGTGATTAACGAGCAGGTTTATCCGTTTTCATGGGCGGCAATAATGGTAAAGTTGGACAGTGAAGGACTGTGGAATTTGAGGTCACAAAATGCTGAGAATTGGTATCTTGGACTAGAGCTTTATATTAGAGTCAAAGGTGGCTCATCAACCATTTCTATGGAAGATGAAGCTCCAATTCCTGCAAATGTCATCAAATGTGGAAGGGCCACTAATCTATAATCTTTTCATAGGATAGGTTAAAACTGTTTGATATTTTGCAATTAGATGGTTTGCTCCGATTTTTTCACATATTTTTCCATGAATCACTTGAATAAAGAGGAGACATTATTTGGAATCATATGCTAAACTTGATTAACTGAACAGTCCTGGACGTCTTCTTCCAAAGTCTCTTCTATTGACTCCATCTTCATGGCACCTTCCTAATTTTGAAAGGAGTGAAATAGTTTATTCGTCTGAAGTGTTATCGTGTGTTGACAGACGTCATTTCTAAAGAGTGGAAACGTGCTGTGTTGTCTACATCCCACATCGCGTAGAAAACAAAGATTGGTTTGAGGCGTTGCTATAAAGAGCTGACACGAAAGGTGTGTAGAGTATGATCCTTCAGGCGGTTTAACGGGGATGTGATGAGTGGTCATCACTCGCTATAACTTTGCGAGATGGGTGTCCGACCTATGCCTGGTTACGACAATCTGGGCACTCCCATCTTTACCAATCTGATCCCTATGTTGAAGGAACTTTTAATCCTAGTTTAATTTTTATTTTTCTTTCAAACAACTAGTCAATTTTCTTTTCCTATTGAAGACAAACAGTTTTGCGATTGAGTTCGTTAAGAGTATGTGATATATATATATATATATATATCGGATTGGTGGTTTGAGGTTACTGTTCAGTGATTATGAATTGCATAAGATTATATCGGAACATATACAGCATATTGAGAACCAGAAAACAAATTGACTAATAATATAGACCACAACTGAACAAAGCAAGAGGACACCGTTCCCATCACAAATCCTAGAGGACTACACAATAAATCCAAGGGTAACCAGTAAAGTAGTCAAAGAAACCACAGCAACTCCTACAATGAACCTCTGCTCTTTTGAAGCTCCATTGTCAAATGCAGTATTATCAGCTAAGCCTTGCTGGTTACTTTCTCCAATTGGCTGATTAGATGTAGAATATGGCTGATTAACCCCCAAGAATGGCTGGTCTGTAGAAGAAAATGGCTCAGTTAACCCGGAGAAAGGTTGGTTTACGGTCTGTTCTTGTGGATCGTTTAGCTGTTGTTGCTGTTGGTAAACCGGTTGAGGGTGTTGTGTTAAAGGGGAATTTTTGTTAATGAGAGTAGGAAATGGAGGAGAAGCTAGGAGGGGCATATTTCCACCGTTCTGTGAAGGGGCAGTTGGTTCTTGCTGTGCTGTGGCTCCTTCCATTGTTCCAGCTGGGGACACAGCTTCTCCATGATAAACAGAGGAACAGTGAATGATAAGAAGAAAGAGAACCAGGCATGATTTGTGGGAATTGAAGATTTCCATTGGGATTAAGGCACCAAACAAATGATGATTCTAATGAATGCACAAGTGCTGTGCTAGAACTGTTTTATATTAACGAATGAAGTTGTTGCAACTGTTTTTTGAACTCAAGTAGGAGCGGTTGGTCTACGCATATGGAGTTTATACGATGAAATGGAGTCAGTGAGATAATCAGCTTACAACTATCGACTTTTCAAAATATAATGAGGTTGAAGACAGAGACACAGATGTAGACACGAGATTGAAGTGCATGATATTGTATGATTGGAAAAACAAAACAGAGCATTCCGTAAGTATTACCAGAACTATGATCCAGCTGAGCCTGAGAACCAGTTAGCGCAAGAAAGCAGTTATAAAGAAGGCCAGTAAGCTTAACTAATGCACAAATTTACCGACTTAGCTCTCTATAGTGACTTTGGCTATGGTTGCGGTACAATCTACATTGACCTTTAGGCGTCCACAAGGACTTTCGATCAACCACAGCAACACGTCCAACCGCATCACCCCGTCTTAACTAAGATTATAAGGATCTGACACATTTCCCTAGTTTAAATCAATTAATGAAGTTTTTAGCTTTCATAATAAGATATCTCAATTTACATTTCATATTTAAATGACAAATTCGTATTATTGATTTTGCAAAGTGAAGCAATCTTTGTCGTTCCAGCGAAATACCACGTAATATTTCGAACGACTTTCTGTTCTCACTGTTTTCATGACTGAAACTGCGAGAACGTTAACAGTGCTACTCGATTTCACAGTTGAAAAACTGTTACACATCTAAAATTGAAAATTTTCATTATCATTAATCATTATCACCTTTCTAGTAAATATATAACCATCCAAGGAGTATATATACAAGGGACTATAATCTTATAAGATTAATATACAAGGCCCTCAAATGGATTTAATCGAAGAACAAAAGCTCAAAACCTGGAATTTAACCCATCCACGACATCCAAATCTAAGTTGGGTCTCACTCCGAATTCCCTGTTAGGAGAGTTTCCCATGCTTCTGCTCAATGCAAAAACTTTACTTCTCTGCTCGTTGGCTATAACAAATTCTTGACTTTTACTTATTCCTGGAATTATTCTTCTCCCATTGACTTTGTCTAGCAAATTTCTTTCTTCTTGAGAAATCTGAATCCACTGGGTTTTAGCAAAATTGTTGAGAGAACGAATCCGCTGCATTTTAGAGAGTAAAGCCGTTTCCTTGTTGAAAGGGGAACGAGTAGGCAGAGGCTGGAACCCATGATCTCTATGTCTTAATATGCTGATCAATCGGTGAAGCCATATCACCAATTCAAGGATGTATTTCTCTGTCTTCTGTTTGTCTGCATGATAGAGTGTCTGCAGGCGAATTGGATTGTTGTTTGTGGTTGCACTTTTGCCAAACTCATGTCTGTCAAACAAGAGAGAGAGAAAAAAAACCCTAATTCTTAGTCTGTGGTTGCAGTGTATCCTGTGCATTAACATATTTATTTATATATATAGATATGGAGGGAGGGAGAGCCTTTAACTTACCCAGTGTTTGCCCATTCACCAACCCAGCCGAAACCTTGGTGTATTCTTTTATGATTTGTAACAAAAAGAGAAGCAATATAAGTGAAATATAGTAGTAGAATATATTATTATAATATCAATGGCAGTAGTAATAAGGGAAGAGAAATCTTTGCTTAGTTTGGTACAAGAAAAAGTATAAACATATGCAAAGTAGTGAGAAAGTAATTCATTTAAGGAACACAGTAATTTGACATACTTGGTTGTATTAGTGGCAACCGGAACTAGCCACTGAAGGACCTTTTCCATTTCTCCTTTTACTTGACAAGCTGAGAGCTGCAGAAAGTACAACATCCATCATTCAGTTATGTACAAGTAGAAATAGTGATAATGACACGTGATATCTACATCATGCACCAAAGAACAATAAGCGTCAAGCCAAATGCAGAAATGAAGTTGACTGCTAAAAAGACATGGTATAAGCCAACTATTCTGCAGTGAAAATACCTCTTCCCTCCCATCAATAATCTGCAACTGTGAACGCAGAGTTGCCTTAAGACTGGTTGGCAATCCATGATATAATGTATCCCTCATACTAGAAGGAAGATGTGTAGAGCGAGACGCCTGATGACACATAAATTTAATAAAATTAAATTTTCAATCCGGCAAATTGCTTCATTGGAAGCATGTGAATACAGTGACAAAAAATAACTTACGATATTATCTATCTGATTGATTATGTTAGCATAGTGTAGTGCAAGTCCAGCTACTCCGAGTCTTTGATTAATTGTACTGGGTTTGTTAATTATCATTTTCCTACCTGCAACAAATCAACTCTGTAAGATATAGACCAATCAGTTAAGGCACTTTCTTTGAAGCCAACAAATATCACATACATGCCCAATTCCGTACAGCCATAAAGGTTTGGAATGAAAAACAGCAAATTTACATGTATCAGCTAGTTTGCTGTATCAGTGTCATGAAATCATAGAGCTGTAAGAAAAGATTTTGTAGTATGACACATATATGCAGAAATTCACCACCATATAACAGTGTCCAAACCCTCCACCCTGTACCATGGATCTATATTTTCCTTTAGAAAATTTTGTTGACACGTGGGACAAATAAGAAAAGATGGCATTGGTTGAAATATTGTGAACCTCCCACAAACTAATAGAGCATACCTAGTAGGACAGGCTGCAGCAGAATCATGATTGAATTTGTGTTCAAATGGAACTATAAAATGAATAGTTTGTTCTACACCTAGAAGACTGTAGACTTAAAGCCATTATTTTGTAAGCAGAAAAATTGAAAATTATAGAACGCAAGAAAATTCTAATGAGATAAAATCCAACAGAAACTGCATTCTTTTGGTTACCAGCAGTTGTAATTTTAGAAAAATAAAGTCTCTAAAAGTACAAATGAGGAGATACAATGATAAAATCATGCATTCATCTGATATGTATGTAAATCATAGTTACAAATACAAATGTTCCTTGATTCTCAATTTCGTTATATGAGTTGAGCTTAAAGACTCGTACCGTTATCTCCAAATGCTTCCAAGATTGATTGATGCATAAAAGTGGCACTGTCAACAAGCTTTTCCATGATCTGCAATTAACGGAACTCAATTTAGACATGGTAGCTGATTCTAATAATAGACAAATATTTTACTGTATCCTGTAGAAGGCAACACCACAAAATGTCAAGATTTTTTGACCAAATAATTTTGACCACATTGTATCTCAAAGTAGAATTGCCAATAACATCAGGAAATGCGGTATACCATCAAATCATTAATAATGTAAAAGGAAAAATAAGAATTACTAAAATAAGTAGTTTGTTGGATAAAAAAGAAGAAGAAGAAGAAGCTGTTTTAATTGGTAGAAACGGATAACAATCTTCCATTCAACAGCAAGTGAATCAATAGCAGTTTTAACTTCTTAACAGTTATAACGAGTTGTTCATAATTATATACCTCCTCCAATTTTCTAGACCAAAGAGATTTCTTTTTCAAGCTCCTTACAAGCTTTTTTTGCTGTTTTAGCTCACTTTGTAGAATCATAAGAGTCTCTCCTACATTTCAAAGAAAAAAAATTAGCTGTTGAATAAAATAAGTTAAATAACTGCATCAGGTTAATACGCGAATTGCAATAGAAAGAAAGGAGATAAACTATTAGCTAAGAAAGTAGTTAACAGAACTAGAACAATAAACACACTTATATGCACAACAATCAGTATGACTCAATAATAACTTGCTAGAATGCAGTAGCATAACCCTGCTTCACATGCTTAAACACACTTGTTGAATCAAATGCACTTCACAGTAAACAAACACCTGTTTATAATTAATCTATAGTGGGAAAAGTAAAGGTTAGGTAGTTTTAATACACCGTCTATGGTTAGAGGAAAAGGTTAGGTAGTTTTAATACACCGTCTATGGTTAGAGGAAAAGGTTATGCATGCCTAACCTTTTCGAGGAAGGTTTAAGGAATCCACTTCCTCAAGCTTTTGCCGGTAATCTTGTTCGAATCTGTCCAAAGCATTCAACTCATGATACAATTCCTACATATTTAATAAAAGAAAAAGGTTAAGATTCTTCGAGTAGAAACATGCAATCTAAAAGCTAAAGCTTTCGAGTAGAAACATGCAAACTAAAAGCTAAAGCTTTGCAAGAACAAAGGTATACTTATAGACACATTGTCTGTAAAGCTTGAAAGATTAAACAGATCTTCATAATGAAATATTTTAAATTCCCCATTAAAGGAAATAAGTGGCACTATTTTTCACCAGGATCATGCAACTTCAATGCAAAATTGATTAAGGCATAGCACTGCCATTCAAGAGATTGCAGCATCCCACAAGAAGGATAACTTGATGCTGCATACAAACTTAAAAGCTAAGTTCAATTTAATAAGAGGAAAAACTTACAGAGGTATGCTGTGCCAGAGTAGTTAACTCTTGCATTCTCATCTGTGCCTCTACTTTAAGCTGTTTATGGTTTATATTCTCTGAATCTAAACTGAAAAAGAAATATCACATCAAGAAAAATCCATTGTCAGCAAATATCGGCAATCTAGCTATAGAATAATTGACCGTAAGATATTTGACTGACCTAGAAAAATATCGATCCAGGTTGTGCCATTGTGGGTCCTTACAAAGATTTCCAAATCTGATCACTTCCTGCAAGAAAACATCCAATTCCTCCCTGAAAATGCACAAGAAGAAGAAAAAAAAGGTAATAAATACCAAACACCTAATTCCAGGAGGCACGACTACAGTAGAAAGACTAAAACAAAGTCAAATAATATATTCTCAAAAGGCAACAACCTCTTGTCAGCAGCAGCAATACTTAGCAACTCTTTCATATTTGTGGAAACTAGTTGTTGTACTCCTTCTGAATGCAATATCTCTTTTTTCAAGAACTGCATGTCTTTTTCTGAAAGAGATTGGAACAATTTTGCACCTTTGGATATTGTATTAGCTACTTCAAATGCCAATACAGATATTTTACTCCCTCTAGAAGCCATGCCAGAGACAAACCCACTGCTGGCATTCAAATTTGACATGCTACTTCCCAGAGTGTCTAGAACATCTATTGTCCTCTCCAGGCCCATGATGCCAGCTCGTCCCAGAAATGAGTTCTTCTGGTTAACCTACAAAAACACAACATAAATAAAAAACTTTGAGTTGTAAAGCCAAATACTTTCCATTCTAAAATGATAATAAAGAACTCCCAAAGTAAGCTTACACACAGTGTAGCATCCAAAAGTAAGTTATTCTGCACATATTTTTGGCTTTGAATTATTTTTAGAGCTATATTACAGAATTAATCTTTGACAAAGAAAAGGGATTTCTGCATTTTTTTATCAGTCCCACTAGTTTGCATACAGTTCATAATTCTTCTCAATTGTCCTATGTGTCCCATTCAGACTGCAAATACATTTTATATCCTATAAATTTTCAGACACTAGATGATTAATTCTAGCATTTCATGCAATGGAGTATAAGAGTACATTTTCAAGTGATTAGACTTCCATATAGAACAGTTGTTATTTAATGAGATAGCTAATAGCTGGTTACAACAAATGGTGGAGCCAGAATTTTGTACTCGGTGTGACTTATTGTTAACGAAATATTTAATAGCAATAATATATCAGCTCATTAATAATATATATAGTTAACATATATGTGCATCTATTACTGATTCAAGATCAATTAAATTGAATTACTTTCTTAAATGATGAAGTAAAAGAGCTTCAAATGATTAGAAAAAAATTCCATAGGAAGCTTAATTTTTATCAAGACTAAAAACCAATATACTTATTCACGACAAACTCAATCTGGTAAAAATGTAGTAGTGAAGAGCTGGTGATGAAGAGGCCCTGCCCTTGTAAAATATTGAATACATGGTGAAACAGTAAATAGAGACAGTGTCAGAGAACTATGAAGTCATATGCAACAATGCCTCACTACAATCCAAAAGTAAAAATATTGAAATATTACTCTCAAGATTTCAGTTCAATGTACTCCAGTGTCAGGCATCTCTTGTATTCTTGTCTAAAATTTTGCAAAGGTAAACCCAATATTCAGGTGAATTCCTACCGAGCACATTTTAATCCAGCAAAAGTCAACACCGAAATACCATTCAGGTTGTTATTTTAAACTTATATGTCAAACTCTTCCTTCCTTCTTTCTTTGTTACTTTTTATTTAAATTTTTTCTTTTCTGTTAATATAATAATAAATCTTTAAAACTATATAACAAATTATAACCGCACCCAACTATCATACTATGTCTAAACATACCTTAGTAGCCATCTTAGAAGGTGTTGATGGCAGCAATTCTCTGGAAAATGGAATTGGAAGCTCGCAAAAAGAATATCCCTGCCTCCTCTTCGCTACATCATCTGCATTGGCATTTGAATTATGATTCTCTTTCTGTTCACTGCCCTTGGCTAACTTCTGCTTCCCAGAAAACTTAGAAGCCTTCTCTATAGACTTTGTATTTTTCTTTGTAGTCCCTCCTGAACAAACTCCTCCCATGTCTTTCAAAGAATAGTTGTATTTAAACCTGACAAAATTAAGTATATTGAGTTTCTTTTTTGTTTTGTTTTTAATTAACAGTGATTATCATTTATATTGAACCTCGAATCCTAACAATAATGTAAGAAAGACAAGCTGAGAGGAAAATCAAGGAGAACCAAACTGGAGCTGTATTCTGTTAGGATAATACTAATTTCCAAAAATATAATCCTAGTCCTACATCAATATATCAAAAACCGAAGAAAATAAGAAGTTAAGAGCCAAGCTGAGTTTATTCTTTATGAAAAACATGATGTTCTGACCAACGAACCATTCAATTCTTCAACAAATGATAATTTTGGCATTACAAATTAGAGGAGGAGGTTGAGAAAACAATCAAACATAAACATACCTGTGAACTGAGTAATTAAAGCATCAAAAGAGAAGAATAGAAATCTTCTGTTGAACTAAGAATGAAGATAGGAAATTATGAATGGAGGGGTAAAGAAATTATTTGATTGAATGGAAAAATGCCAAACGGAAGACGAAAACAGAAACAGTTGACTATTCTCATCTGTAATTCAGACTTTGTAGTTTGTGCTATAGGAATGAAAGTCCCGCCCGCCGTGTCTGAGTTTAGTCTTTGCGTATCCTTTTACCATATTGCCCACCAAGTATTTAATATTATTATTATAGGTAACTGTTAAGAAAGCTTAAAAATAATACCTATCTCTGTCCCATCTTACCGACAGTTTCTGCATAGTCAACACCACGGAGTTTGACTTCATCTTTAGCCTTAAAATCATCCATCAATCAAATAAATAAACGTGCGTGAACTAAGACTATATAAGTAGTGTACAAGTATTCCAGTTTATTTTATTGCTGCCAAATTGATGTATTAAAGTAAAGCAAAGTGACATGAAATGTTTTGAGTAAGTAAAGGATGTTATTGTCATTTTGAAACTAAGTATTAATGTCAAACAAAAACTCTTCTGGTATGAAACTTTGAATTGGTCGTTATTATATAATACATATCTTGTACAGGTCATGATGCATGCCCAATAAATAAACAAAACATTTTGAGACATCGCCGGTCCAAGTGTCCAGATGCAGACATAGGAATTCGAAGTTACTAAGATGGTTCTAATAGCTGGCTGCCAATAGTTGACACATAATTCATTGGACGGACATTCTTGCAGGAAATTTCCTAACCTCATTGTATATAAATAAAACAATTTGTGATCATCAATTAAGCATACCATTACGCAAATATTGTTCAAATATTAAATTAGTTATATATGATGCCAATTTTGATCCAACATTAATTGAAAGGATCATTCTTTCTTTAACTATAATTATAATATTACTATAAAGTTGATCACTCTTTGTTATTAATACAATACCACACTTTGTAATTCGTTAATACAATAAAAATGGTGGTCGATCGTGGACTCGTATATCAGAGCTTTATTGAAGGAAACAACCATAACATAACATAACATAATAAACTACTCAAGACAGCTGACCACAATCAGCAATCACAACAGGCCTAGCGGTCCTCCCAGAAGAAGATCCAACTTTCTCAATAGCCTTCACCACTTCCATTCCTTCCACAACTTGTCCAAACACCACGTGCTTTCCATCAAGCCACTCCGTCTTAGCTGTGCATATAAAGAACTGTGATCCATTTGTTCCTGGCCCTGCGTTTGCCATTGACAACACCCCTGGTCCAGTATGCTTCTTTATGAAATTCTCGTCCTTAAATTTTGATCCGTATATAGATTCACCTCCCGTTCCATTCCCTGCTGTGAAGTCCCCACCTTGGCACATGAACCCCGGGATCACGCGGTGGAATTTCGAACCTTTATAGTGAAGGGGCTTGCCACTTCGGCCCTTTCCCTTCTCTCCAGTGCAGAGAGCTCGGAAGTTCTCCGCGGTTATCGGTGTCGTCTCCGCAAAGAGCTCCATTACTATACGCCCAGCTGGAGCTCCGCCAATTGTCATGTCAAAGAACACCTTAGGATTCGGCATCGTGGAGAATCTGTAGTATTTTTCCCTCCGGTTTATACAGTTACGTCAACGTTATGCCTACTAACGAACGACTTCAAGATCCTGTTAGTGGAGCCTCCTTATAAAACATTTTTGCTGGGATAAGAATATCTTGCAAGGTTGAATCGTGGCCTTTAAAGTTTACACGTGTAAATATTATGGTTGGACTGCTGCATTTTAACGCGACCCCTTTCTGGACTCCACGTGGCGGAAAGAGACGAACAACATGTGAAATGAGTAATATTCCCACGTCGTCCTCAGGTAAAGATGAGGCGGTCCGTCTGATCTTTTTGGTCCCATAAAGGAAAATTCTGTAAATATGGGCCGAATGGGCTGAGTCTGGGCTCAAATCAACCTCGCGCCATAAACCGTAGAAGGAATGGGCCTATTAGTCTTTGTGACGATCTTAATATGTATGATTACAACATGACCACTGATTAAGCCAAAAACCAATGTTTCATTGTCATTAACTAAACAGACTGTTCATCTTTTTGCAATTAATAATATTAAATACAATAATATAATAATATTTAGTCCGCGGTTTGGTTTGACCATCACACGACAACGATATAGCCGGCAGAAGAAATATATATTTAATGGCCGGCAATTGATAAAACAGTTAGTACAAATCCAATGCAAGTTACTTGGAAGAAAATTTCTGATAAATCATAAACTATCTTCATTTTTCAGAGTTTAATGTCAATATAACTTGAGCATCTTCACTTACAAGTCCTAGTAACTTTCAGGTGTCCATTTATTAGGGTAAGTAGCAGAGTGTTTTGATCAAACTTAAAGTTTGATCACTTCTGGTCTCCTATGTTTTTAGAATAAGAACCTTGTGGAAAAGGGTAGTTTAATCTTCTAGCTGTTTTTTCTTTAACTCCGAATTTATAATCTGTAAAAGATGGCTGGAAACTATAGGTTTGCTATGGACCAAAAGGATATTGTAAGATTATTGATAACAAGTGTAGGAAGTTTCACACAAGATCGGTTGATTGGTAAGGAGCAAAGAACACAACACAAAGAACAGTGTGCTGAAAGATTAGCAGCTGAAGATGAGAGCTCTGGTAAAGATGCAGCGGTTGGATACTCAGATCAAGCTGTACTTGCGAATTTGGATTGGGGCATTGACGCCCTTGAAGAAGCTATCAACACATCTAACATGGAAACTAAGCTTGCACGTTTGGACTATGCAGAGAAGATGCTGCAAGTTTGTGCAATGTTGGATTCCAACCAGAAAACTGCTGGTGTTCCCAATTTTTACCTCTCTGCTTGGGCCCATCTCAATCTGTCATATCTTTGGAAGTTGCGAAATAACGTCCATAAGTCAGTACTTCATGTTATTGAGATGTTTATTGTTGATCCATTCTTCTCCAGGATTGATTTTGCTCCTGAACTCTGGAAACAATTGTTTCTTCCACAAATGAGTTCAATTACTGGGTGGTATTCAGAGGCAAGGCACAGACTAATGATGGATGTAATTCCTGACTCTTCTGATTTGTCCTTTACGGCTGATTTGGATCAATTCTACAATGAATCTTTGATCTTTTCCATGAGGCCAGAGCAAATGGAGAAGTTGCAAAAGCTGGAGCAGCTTTATGGGGAGTCACTAAACGAGAATACACGACTTTTTGCTAAATACTATAAGGATTGCATGAACTCTGATTCAACCTCTAGTAAGAAGGTGATTCCAATGTTACCAATCGCAGAACCGCCTATGACTCCTTTGCATGAGGTCAGCCGCTCAATTCCTGATTATGTAAGATTTGGTCCTGTTTTGCCTAAGAGTGCTGGATTTACGCCAATTCTCAAATCTAAAGATAATGTGAGAGGACCTAGCAGGTTAGTTTTCACTTCTCTAGTAAGTATGCAGTTTGTAAAATTTTGGAGTGAAAATTAGTTAGTTTTGTAGTCATTTGTCTAGGTTTTAATTTTCACATGTTAAAAATTTAGAATTCAGTTTCTTATTTGATTTTAGGCTATAACATGATATATAAGTTAATGGTGATTTGGTTGGCAGAATGAATGTAACTTCTAGACCTTCTCAGTCACAGCATCTGGAGGAGTCTGCTACATGGGATCCTCAAGTAAGGCTTCACACTGATGTTAATGCTTGCTTTATGGAGAAAAAAAAAAAAAAAAAAAAACATTGTAATTTTTTAATAACCATTCTTCTGTTCTTGATAACTTTGCCAGGAGGACATGCTTGAGGAGAATGAATATGATTCTGATTACAAGCCTAATGATGCTTATATAAATTCTGAAAACCATAACTTAGTTTCTTCTAGTGGTGTTAAAATGACCGAGGATAAGGAAATTAGGGTAAAAGGACTGGAGTCTAAACCAAGGACCCGAACGCCTTCTCCTCCAATTTTCTCTCCGATGGATTCTTCTAGAACTCCTTCAAATGTTCCATCTCCAAAACTGAATTTGCAGAATTTATCTCCAAAAGCTGATGTGCATAATAGAAAAGATGTGTTGCGGCTATTGTCTAGACGTGTTTCTGATTGCTCTATAGCCAACTCTTTGCCTATGTCTCCACGTACGAATAACGATTACAGCATTAGCTCAGCAGAATCAGATGGTGAAATGGTAGTTTGTTTAAAGCTTAAGGTTCATCTGATTTTTTTTAACTTTGTTTTTATAATGTTGGACTCCTTCTGATAGTATCTTTGCAACTCAGGAGCATCGAAAAAGTTCCAGAAAAAAGCATGTCCGGCCAGGAAGTATGAGTTATGACAATGTGAATATCGAAGTGTTAGATAATAGGTAGGCATTATTTGTTTCATTTAAATTTTTAATGGAATTCCATAAGGTATTTGTGCATTGTTTGGCCTTCAGGGTTTGACCAGCCCATCTACAAGAAATCTTCAGCCTTATGTTAACTAAATTTGAAATCATTGGTTCGCAGTTTCAATAATGAAAGTGATGAAGGAAGCCAAAGCTGCATTTCACTCCCCTGTTCTGAGAACCTGACTTCTCGGTCAAGACCACCAAAAGATTTTGTTTGCCCAATCACGGGCCAGATTTTCAATGATCCCGTAACCCTTGAAACTGGTCAGACATATGAAAGAAAAGCCATTCAAGAATGGCTAAAACGAGGAAATACGACATGCCCTATCACTCGGCAACCACTCTCTTTAAGTGCACTCCCTAAAACAAACTATGTCTTGAAAAGGCTTATAACATCTTGGAAAGATCAGTATCCTGATCTTGCTCAGGAATTTTCTTACTCTGAAACACCAAGGCATACATTGTGCTCACCCTCCATTAAAGAAACGGCACTGGTATCCACTCCATCGAGGACATTTGATTTTTATAGTCATAATAGTACAACAGAAGACCGTATTAATCTTAGGAGCAAAAGATTTATGCGGGCAGCAATATCTACATCACCAACTAGTGTAATATCTCAAGCTTCTGTTGAAACAATTATAAATGGATTAAAACCATGCGTATCTTGTCTCTGCACTTCAGAAAACTTGCAAGAATGTGAAACAGCAGTGTTGGCAATAGCCAGATTACGGAAGGAGTCAAAGGCTGATCCTGGAGTTCATGCTTACTTATCTAAACCAACAATTATAAACGGCTTCGTGGAAATACTATCAGCCTCTTTGAACCGAGAAGTTCTTAGAACATCAATTTACATTCTCTCAGAGCTGATATTTGCCGATGACAGTGTTGGAGAGGCTCTAACCAGTGTAGACACTGATTTTGATTGCCTGGCTGCTTTGCTAAAAAATGGGCTAGCTGAAGCAGCCGTTCTTATATACCAGCTAAGGCCAGCGTTTGCTCAGCTTTCAGCTCATGACTTTATACCCTCCCTTGTCCAGATAATCCTCAACAAAAGTGAAGAGTTTGATGATCTTCAATTTATCATGGAGCCCAAGGATTCTGCTATAGAAATGCTTGAGCAGATACTAATGGGAGGGGATGAAAACAGCAGGTCACTTAATGCTTTGACTGTCATCTCTGCCAATGGAATTCCTGCGTTAATCAAGTGTTTGGACAGGGTGGAAGGAAGGAGGTCCATTGTTTCCATACTGCTATGTTGTATGCATGCTGATAAGAGTTGTAAAAATTTAATAGCAGACAGAATTGAATTGTCTCTTGTGCTTGAATTGTTCCATGCTGGAAACGATAGTGTTAGAGGCATATGCATAGATCTTCTGGCAGAGCTGGTTCAATTGAATAGGTAAACAGTCTGTTATCTGCTTTATCTATCAAAATTTTCCTTTCTTGATGATTTTATGCATTTATATGTTTAACCATTCTTCATATCCTTTGTTGTGGTATTTTGTCTATCAATATTTTGAAGTGAGAGAATATACTTAAGCATTCATCTTGAAGATGTCCTTGAAAACACACACGAATCTACTGATGTTTTGAGTCTTCTGATTCATATCCTTCTAAAAGCCAAGATTGAATGTTTTATTTTATCTTATGGTTTTTCAGGAGGACATCCTGCAAGCAGATTTTGCAAACAATTAGAGATGAAGGAGCTTTTAGCACATTGCATACCTTCCTAGTCTATCTTCAGATGGCTCCAATGGAGCAACAACCTGCCATAGCCTCTCTACTTCTTCAGCTTGATCTGCTGGTTTGCCTCGTTGTTTTGAAATCTTCCAAAATAATTGAAATTTATAAATAAACCTTTTAATAAACAACAATAGGTCATCCAATTTTAGATTCTTGTAAAATTCTTACAACAGGTTGAGCCACGGAAGATGAGTATCTACAGGGAAGAAGCAGTAGAGGCTCTAATTGAAGCACTCCGCAGAAAGGATTTCCCTAACTCTCAAATGATGGCTCTAGATGCTTTACTATCTCTTTCTGGGCGTTTCACTTCTTCGGGGAGGTCCTATACTGAGGCTTGGTTACTTAAGATTGCAGGGTTTGATCCAACTTACAATGCATTAATGAAGACACAGCGACTCACTAAACCTGAATATGATTTGGTGGAAACAATGGTTTGCATCTATGTGGTTTTTGGGTGACTGTGGAGCTTGTTACTCTTTATTTTATATCAATCCTGAATTTTAAATTCTTGTAAATAGGAAGAGGAA